GGGAACGCTTCCAAGCGGTCTACGAAGAAGTGCTCACGCCAGAGGTCTGCGCGATCTCATTCATCGATGCGCGCGGATTGCGACTCAAAGTGCGGATATGGGATTGGCGCACCCTCAATGAAGTGGAGCGAAGGCGCTGCGACCATGGAACTCGAGTGTACTTGTAATGCTTTGTGAAAATTGGGTTTGATTCGCAGACACAAAACGGAAAGTACAGCGCTTGATGGTCTGTTCTCGCTTCGAATCTTAACTCTCATTTGCAGCGTTTACTCGGTACCTGTGCCCAAGATCACTTTGTACAATGAATGAACATTCCGCGGGCGAGACGGAAAGCAACACAGGTCGCTGTCGGGCGACACTCGCATCGCCGCGCAGACACTTTCGGAGATTAGACCTGGATCTAATTGCATTTTTGTTGTTGTTGCTGTGGTTGTCAAGCCTCATGCGACACATCTCACAAAACGGAATGCGCTTCTTCTCCATATCCGGCAGTTACCGGCTGCTCGTGGTAGAGACCGGGGCTCGCGCGTGAAAATACCATTTGGGTCGCTGAACAGAGTCTACGTCGTACGCCAAGCACTCGTTTTTGTTGTAGCTGCCCCACGTTTGTCGACCGGCGCTTCGTCACAGGCTCCCTGTTGCTCGTGTTATTGCTACCATTGCTTGAGAGCTCTGCAGTTCTTCTGTGCCAGCAGTGGAAGGAATTCGGACAAGATGCGGTTTCGTTCGTTTTGTGTGTGTGCTGGTGTTTGTTGTTCATTTTGGTAATTTGCGTAAAGTGTCGCCAAAGGCGCAGAACCCAACCTAAACTTAGAGTGTGCAGGCGCAAAATTCGCGTTTTGTTGTTGTCGTCGAATTGTCTGTCCTATTTGCGACCTTTCTAGGCAATAGAGGCAGCCAGGGGTCGGGGATTGGCAAGTGATGGCACGCAACTCAGGCTGTGCATCCGTTCGCAGCACATCTTGTTCGCTGAACAAATCGGGACGGCAGCCCCAAGACAACAAGTGTGATCGAGCAATCGGTATTTTTCGATGCTTGATGCTCGGCTTGAGCTCGAGGTGAGGAGGCGCGTTGGCACCTTAAAACAGTCAAAGCGAATCGAATGATTGTGTGGGATTCGAGATCAAAAAGTTCGAGCCCCATTTTCGCTGGCTTGGTTGCTACTGGGGGTCGATCCTCGAGTGGAATTCGCCATTGGCGCGCCCTCTGTTTTTTTGTTTGTTTTTTCTCCGTGCGTTGGTGAATCGGGCGGTTGGAAAGTGTGATTCGCTTTGTTTGATTATTGAATTTTTTTTTTTATTTTGTTTTTTGTTTTTTTGGTTGGATTTTGGTTTTTGTGTTTGGTTTTTGTTTTTGTTGTTTTTTTGGATTTCATGCCAGTCTTCAATATCTATCTGCCGTCTTTGGACCCTTGTCCCCTCTCGATTTGTACTTCATCTTTGTTGCTTTTCATCTCTTCACATTGTCGTTGGCTGCACAACCCCGAAACAAGCACCCAAGTCGCGTCTTTCAATGAAGATGGTACGGTGCATGCGAAAGCTAAACAAACCCACCGCCCCACACTTTAACACGCTTCACTCTTTCCCCACAACCTGCTGGCTTCGCCCCTCGCACCCAGGATGCTGGGTGTCTACACTTGCACATTGTTTCCGCGAACTGTCGCGGGACAACCGCAACAGCAGTGGGCTGCAACAGCCAACACAGACACAAACTCAAAATTCGCATCCCGCCCCTTTTTTTTTTTTTTTTTTTTTTGTTTTTTTTTTTTTTTGTTTTTTTGTTTTGTTTTTTCGCGAAAGCGTGCTGGTGACTCATTTTCGTGACAGTGCGGCGCATGCGAACGGAGATCGAGTTCGTAGGATGCGCTGCCGCGAACTTTCCACTTGTAGCATTCTCGCAGGTTGAGATCGTGTTGGAAGAGCTCGTGTTGGGGAAAATATGAAACGAGAAAACCAACCCAAAAAACAAAAAAAAAAAAAAAAAAAAAAAGCCGTTTTGTTGATGTTGTCGACGCGAACACATAGCGCTCCAGAATCAACACGGTGCTGCCTGGCAACAACGTTGAAGGCTTGCTCCAGTTCGTTGCTTGTCTTGTTGAAATGAGAAGCAGAGGACCACTGCAGAAGAAGAAGTGGTTTGACCGGGGAAACCATTGATTTTTTTGTGGATGCGTCATACTTTGCTCGCGCGCGTGCAGGAGGTGTTGGTCAAACCAAATTCATAAACAATGCAAAAATTCGGCGGGTGTTGGGCGGGTCTGATGGCTGCTCTCTCTCTCTCTCTGCGCTCGCAACACAACATTGCTGTCGACATGTAATGGAGGGTTGAAAATCAAGAAGAGATGCAGTAGTCTAGTCAAGGGGAAGAAACACAGCAAGCAACAAAGTCCAGACTTTGTTCCCCTTCTTGTTTTTGTTTGTTTTTTTTTTCTTTTTGGTATTTCTTTTTGCGTCCTGTTTCTTGATTGCTTTTTTTTTTCCGCAGACACCTGTCGCGTGTCGAGATTGCAAATGAGCCGATCGAAACGGGGGAAGGGGCGGACTCAAAATATTCATCCATCAAAACAAAAAAATCGAAGAAAAACACATAAACACAAACCACAAGCGGTCGCCACATCAAAATCACTCAGATTCTTTGGCTTGAAATTCTGTCACCCGCAGCAATCAATCAAGCAAACACTCCCAAGTCCGCTGGCACTACTGCTCTTGGTAGCGGCCATCATGCTGGGTTGCGGCTCGCTTTACACCGCCGACGCAACCACGGTTTTGAAAGTTGGCGTCCTGACAGACCGCACCGGTCCCGGCCAGTCTACGTCGATCATGTACGAGACTGTCTTCAACACATTCCTGCAATTCTACAACCTCGGTTATCTTCGAACTCCGATGGCCAACTACACTGTCGCGCTCGAGTACCGCGACTTTGGAGGCAACCCCAACATGGCCCTGTACCATGCTCAGGATCTAGCAGCAAACGCTCACGTAGTTGCTGTCATTGGCGCCGGTGATATGATCTCTGTGGGAGCGGCAGCACTCGTGCTCAACCAGTACGGCATTCCGCTGCTTGCCTATTCCGTGACCACCAGCCTCTTGAGTGTCCCGCAAATCTTCCCGACGTTCTTGCGTACAGTGTCCAACGACCTGCAGCAGGCGCAGTACATTGCCGAGTTTGTCCTCGACATGGGCTGGAATCGCGTCGCGATTGTGTCGAGCAATGGCGTGATGAGCTCTGCCGACTCGATCTCTGTCGTCTTCCGAGATTCCGCACTGACTGGCCATCCCATCGAGATTGTGATGGAGCAGCCAATCATTTCCAACGATTTCAAGCGGCCAGACTTTGAGATGCAACAACTCAAGGACAGTTCCGCGCGCGTCATTCTTCTGCTGACGACAGAAGACGACGCCATCAATGTGCTGGCCTCGGCAAATTCGCTTGGCCTGCTTGGCCCAGACTATGTTTGGATTGTTCCGGACCTGCCCCTGCACATCATTCCCGACAGCCCATTGTGCGACGGTCTTGATTCTCTTGCAGTCGACGCGTTTTGTGACTTTTCCGGACTGACGGAAATGTACAACGCCGGCAACGTCATTCCTGGCTCCAGCTTGACCTGCGCGGGCTTTGCTGCGTCTTGTCGCTTCTTGAAGCGGGTTCCCTCGGCAGAAGAGCGTCTTTCCCTCATGAACAACATGCGCGGCTTGATTGGCGTTCGCGGTCAAATTGTTGCGTCGCCTGCCTACGTCGCTGCCAACCAGATGTTCATGGCCACCTTTGGTCAGCCGCTGCTCGAGTATTCGCTTCATGCGTACGACGCAATGGACACCATTGTTCGTGGTCTCGAGAACTTTACAACCACCCTGCACATGAACGGCATCGACAACCACAACTTCACCCTGGCGGACGGCCCTGTTCTCATGGAGATTATGCGCGCAGAGACCTTCGTTGGCCTGACGGGTCTCGTGACATTCTCTGGCGTTGATCGCATTTCCAATTTTGAGATTTTGAATTGGGCCGCACCCGACAACGAGACCCTTGCCCCGAGTCTCGATTACGACGTAGATGGAACTTTGATCGATTTTAGTACGGCAGGCTTCGGTTGGGTGCTGCGCGGCTTGCACTACTACGAGCACGCGCTGCAGCAAACTGCTGGCAGTGAGTTTGAGTGGTACAATGAAACTCGAGGCATTGTACCAGCCAGCACGCTAGCCTTTTTCGACAACACTCCGACCATTCCGCGCGACTACCCTTGCCACGCGCAATGCAAGCCAGTGCAGCCCGGCATGCCTTCGAGCGACGGCTGCTCCGGCCCGGGCGCCGATCAGTGCACCATTTGCAACAATGCCATTTTCAACAACACTTGCGTTGCCGCCTGCCCCATTGGACACTTTTCCTCGAGCACTGTCATGGGCCAGCTGTGCTCTGCGTGCCACAACGAATGCAGCTCTGACGGCTGCAGTGGCCCTGCTGCCAGCCAGTGCGTGACCTGCCTCCACTTTTACGACTCGAGCAGCTTGGCGTGCACCAACACCTGCATGAATGGCAAGATCAATACGGAGCTGAGCCGCGCCTCGAGCGTCTCGAGCGGTCTGGTTTGCGTGCACATTGACTCTCTCACGGATGCCGTGATTGCCGTCATTCTGACCTTTACCGGCGTCCTCTTGTTCCTGTGCGGAGTCCTGGTTGTCATGATTGTGGTCTTCCGGGACAAGAAGGTGATGCGCTCTGCAAGCCCGACCTTCTTGCTGCTGATGGTGTTTGGCACCGCAACGTCGCTCAGTAGCATCTTCCTGTTGGCTGTGGACAATCCGACGAATGACTATTGCATGGCCGCCATGTGGATTCGTCACATGGGTTTTGCAATCGCCTTTGGCGCGCTCTTCCTGAAAACCTACCGCATTGCTCAAGTGTTCCGGGCCAAGTCCTCTCGCGCGGCACGAGCGCTTCGCGACGACCGCTTGCTGCTCAAGCTGTTCCAGCTGTGCCTGCTCTTTGCCGTTTATCTCCTGATCTGGTCGCTGGCCCATCCCCCGCAAGTTGAGCTGAAAGAGACCCCCTCGCACGAGCAGTTCCACACTTGTGACCGCGACTGGTTCTTCTTTGGCCTGCTTATCGCCGAGTTGATGTTGCTGGCCATGTCGGCGTGGCTGTGCTTTATTACGCGCAAGGCGCCGTCGGCCTTCAACGAGCTGCGCCAGCAGTCGCTTGCCATCTACAACTGGACGTTGATTTTGCTCATTCTCGAGATTGTCGTCAACACTGTTGCCAACGATGACGCGAACGCTGTTTTCGCGCTGAGCTCGCTCGAGCTCTTGCTCACGCAAGGCTTTGCGGTCATGATTGTCTTGCTCCCCAAGGCTGTTGCCGTTCTTCGCGGCGAGGGCGACAAGGTCAACACTAGCACTCACCAAGCGGGCTCGGGACCCTCTGGCAAACACTCTGGCACGAATGGGCATCACAGCTCAAGCTCTGGTGAAATCTCTGGTCTTGACTCCATGTCTGGCGCTGAGGTGAAGGAGCGTCTTGTCGCGGCTGTCAAAGAGACGAAGCGGTTGATGGCCGAAGTGGAGCAACTCCGCAACGTTGCGGTCGGTAGCGGCAACCGCCACCTTGCGCCCAGCGCCTCCAAGGAAAAGTCTGGCAAGGCCAAGTTTGCGGGCGAGCAGCGTCCGCGAGGCATGAGCGTTGACACGGGTTATGGCGGCAGTTTGGGCGGCAGCATCATGGGCATCTCCCCGTCCACGTCGTCTCAGCCGTCCGTCGAGATTGACATGCACCAGATTACTCCACCCACGCCCACGTTGGCGACGACTGTCGAACTCACCGAGGACGACATGATGTGAAGAGAATAAGCTTAACGTTTTACCGCTTTTGTATTTTTTTTTTTTTGTTTTGTACATTTTTTTTTTTTTTGAAGTAGCATGTCGTTGTTCTTATGGTTTGTATTTTGTTTTCTCTCTCGTTTTTTTTGCCGAGTATTTCTCATTGCTATACAGTACTGTCTGCTACTTTGTTGTTGTTGTTGTTGTTGTTGCTTTCGTTTTGTTAAAGAAACCAATACACGTTGCTTTGGCATTGAGCTTTTGTGCGCTGAGGCTTACTCCAAGATCTCTCGCTTGATCGGCTATTTGATTTTGTTCTTTTATCATCATTGAGATTACTATTTTGTTTTGTAGATTTAAGATTGTTCGCCATAATTGAGAAACGAAACAAAAGTCTCAGTCTTTTTTTTGTGTTGGCTCTTGGGAACATGTCGTTGTTTGGTCGCCGTGTACCAGCAGTCCGACCGCTCGAGTCATGCTACACGGGCTCTGACATGATTCCCTTCAAGGTCTCGAGCTTCAACGGTGGCCAGTTTTCATCCGAGTACGGCATCATCGTTGTTTGATTATTCCTGAGCACAGCCTTTGCTCATTCATGCTGTTTGGCACAATTGCTTGATCTGCGCCGTGTCACAGACATGGACCTGCCAACACGCTTCAAGCTGACACGTCATGCTTCAGCTCTGCTTCACGGTGAGTTTTGCACGACTGGGGCAACGCCAGCAGGCGCAACCAGGCGCAACCAGGCGCGAGCGTCTTCCCGCCACACAGCGAAACAAAACACGAAACAGCCAATCTCACTCACGCTTGGAAGGTCGCACAGCATGCGACACTTTCGCCATTCTGGACTCCCCCCCCCCAACGTACGATGCTCCGTTTTCCCGCATGCTTCACTCCAGCAGATCGCGCGAGACAGGCAGGCAGAGCCGAGTGGGGGGGTTTGGGTTGGATGGGCGAGGATGAGGGGAATATCGGCAATGCTGGATGACGTTGTCTTTGTCCATCTAGCTGCGTTGTGCTGATTCAACCCGTCGAGGGATGATGGTGTTGAATGTGCTGATTACTGTGTTTTATACTCACTCGCACCGATCCATCTCGGGAACGGATGGTGATGGCTTGTTTTGGTTTGTGACACAGAGACAACGTCGGCGTACTGTATGAACTTGGAGCTTCCGTTGCGTTTGTTTCAGCTGCAAACTCCAACGCAACGCAGCCACTCTCAGCAGCCTCATCGCAAGCACACTACAGGGAGATGAACCGCGTCCATGCTGCACGCCCCCGCCGATTGCGTTTTTCTACCAATCGCCACCTGCCCGTTGCAGATCTCACCTCATCCGTTGCAGATCTCACCTCATCCGTTGCAGATCTCACCCCATCCGTTGCAGATCTCACCCCATCCTCCATGCCTCTGCGTCGACGATTTACGCGAGAGTTCTATGATTTTGGGACGAGCAGTGCAGCAGACGCAGTTGTAAATCCCACCTCAACCCTCCAGTCGCAGCCTCGATATGCACCAGATTACAGTGGTGTTGGGACCTACAATTGGGAATCAACAACCGCGGTCAGGTCACGTGAACCATACGTGCCAGAGTGCCATGCAGATTGCGATCCGCCTCGTGCAGATTGCGATCCGCCTCGTGCAGATTGCGATACGCCTCCGGCTGGCCTTACACCAGAGGACCTTGATTTGGCTTCCACAGAATTCGAGGCAATGACATCGCCCTATCCGTGTGCCTCGCCCATTTTTGACGAGATCATGGCGCATCGACGAATTTTGCGGCGAGACGCGGCGATGCCAAATCTCTCCACTCTGTGGCAAAATTTCTCGCTTGTGCGGCCAGCGCTTGGGCCTACGAAGCCCCCACCCCGAGAAAACAAGCTGTTGAAACGATTCCTTCGTCCGTCCTGCTTCCTGTCAGAAATCATCATCAAGGCGCCAGACTCGGGCTACACGTCGCCAGTTCGCGAAGGGGTTATTTTCCTGTCTTACGACGCACCACCACGCCCTTGTGTCGTTGCTTCTTACCGGGATATAAGCGAGTCTGACTTTTTGCGGCGTCGGCTGAGTTCTTTGTCGGCGCCGCACGAGCGCCCGGATGCGTTTTTCAAAGTGGACGAAAAGACAAACGTTGCGACCGTTACGCTCCCTGTTGCTCGCACCGTACGATATGTTTATATTTTGTTTCTGCGGTCGCACTCAAGCGCCGATAACATTGACGTGCAGTTTGTTGGCTTCCGAGGATTGACGCGGCCGACGAGCACAGCAAGTGGCAATCTCAATTGAACAGCCCCCCTTTTCTCCTTTGTTTTTGCTTTTGGAAGTGTTTCGTCGTTGATGGTTTGAATTTTTTTGATGGTTTGGATTTGCTGAAATACATTGATTCTTGTTTTCATTCTGTATTGTTTTCTCAGAATTCCCTTTTTCAGTGCTTCCAGTCATTGTTCTTGCTTGTTGCAGCGATTTGGTGATCATGAGTCGAGCTGCGACCCATCCGCACATCCGCGCCGTCCTGTTCGACCTGGGCGGTGTGCTGGTGACATCTCCGCTGCGTGCAATCTCCAACTTTGAGCGCGACGCTGGCCTCCCTCCGTGAGTTAGTGCCCAGTACAGTGCAATCTCAAATTTCAATCCGACTCCGACTCCGACTCGATCGCTGGTTGGTTTGATCACTCACACAACAACAATCTATGCTTTGTGATTTATGTATTCTGAACAACGAAACTGGAAAACAACAAAAAAACCCGGGAGCAGAAAGTTCATGCAAAAGCTGTTCGTCACAAGCGGTCAGCCGCAGGGAGCGTTTGCCAGGCTGGAGCGAGGCGATCTGCTCATGTCCTCTGTAAGGTTTGCGAGAACAATGTTCAGTGAATTGAAATTGAGGCAAAAACAATCAAGCACGATTTCTGACCAAACCAATCCCCACGATCGTTGGCTAGTTTTTGGTCCAATTTCATGCTGAATGCAACACGCTGCTCGAATCTTGGGATGCGCAACCAAAACCATCTGGAGTGTCCCATGATAACGTCAGACGCCTGATGCAATCGATGGGCGAGTTATCTCTTGTTCCACGAATGCTCCAGCTTGTCGCTACCATCCGAAATCAAGGTATGGACGAGAAATTTGAAGCGATTTGGTCGTTACAAGAATGACAGAGTGTCTAAATACTCTTCTGTCGATGGAACTTAGGGTTTAAAACTGCTTTGGTCACCAACAATTGGATTGACGACACGCTGGACCGCACCGATGCGCACGGCTCCTCCAACCTGTTGCAAGGAAGCGCAGTCACCCAGCTCTTCAAGCTTCTTCGCCCTTATTTCGATGTGGTGGTTGAGTCTTGTCAAACAGGCATGCGCAAGCCCGACCAGGACATTTACTTGCACACCTGCAAGCTGCTTGACATCCAGCCCACTCAGGTGAATTTTGAAAGTTGGGAGATGAAGGCGATAACTCATTCGTCAAGACTCACTCTTTTTGTTATTTTTGTTTTGTTTTTTGCAACAGGCCGTATTTGTGGACGATCTCGGACATAATGTCAAGGCTGCGGCACAATGTGGAATGACGGCCGTGAGATGCCTTGATCCTGAGCAGGCCGTGAAAGACGTGTCCGACTTGCTTGGCCTGCAGCTTCCTGCCGCGGCAACGAACGCCTCACTCGCTACTATTTCAACCGAGCGACAGCCCTATACCGTGTTGCTGCGTCAAAAGCCGCTGACAAAGGAAGACTCTTCCGCAAGCCCTGCGTTTTTGGCGCAGCCTGCTGACTGGACTGCATCTACACCATCGGACGTTCTTCCGTTCGACCCCGTGCTCGATGCTCCGGCGTGCACGGTCGATTCTGTGCCACACGCCTTTGTGACCACCCAGACTGGCCATCGCATTCACTATGTCGAGCTGGGCGAAGGTCCAGCGATTGTTCTGTGCCACGGTAAGTCATCCTCGTCGCCGCGCTCTCGAGACCCGATGCTAGCGTTGGATGCTGGTGTCGGAGCTGACAGGTGGTTTTTGTGGTTTTGCCTTCTGTATGTTACATGTTCTTTGCTCTCTTGTTTTCCCCATCAGGTTGGCCTGAGCTGTGGTATTCCTGGCGTCATCAAATCCCAGCTCTGGCTTTGGCTGGATTCCGTGTGATTGCGCTCGATCAGCGTGGCTACGGCCAGAGCAGCGCTCCACGAGATCCGTCGCTCTATGGAATGAAGCAATTGTCCGAAGATGTGGTCCACTTGCTCGACCATCTCAACATCGCAACGGCCACCGTGATTGGCCACGACTGGGGTGGCGCGCAAGTGTGGGCCCTGGCCCTGCACTATCCGCATCGCATCCACGCGGTGGCAAGCATCAACACGCCGTTGATGATTCCCAATCCAGCCAAAAACCCGATGCAGACATTGCGCGAAAACCCCGGCCGCTTTGACTACCAGCTGTACTTTCAGAGCGATGCCGCTGTCGCGGAGCTTGGCGCCAACGTCGAGAGGACTGTGAATTACATTCTGCGACCAACGATCGAGATTGAGCGCAACCCCGAAATGCGTCGACTGGCGGTCAATTTTGCTACCGCGACGAAACGGGGCGGACTGCTCGCCGGAATGCCCGACAACATCCCCCCGACTCCAATGCTCTCGGCAACCGATCTGAAGGTGTACACGGACGCATTCCGGAGCTCGGGATTTTACGGCCCGCTGAACTGGTACCGCAACATGGAGGCCAACTGGCGCTGGCACGGTCGGATTGCCGGCAAGCAAGTGCGACAGCCAGCACTCATGGTCACCGCTGGCCGCGATCTCGTCCTCACCCCTGCCGGGTCGGCGCACATGGAACAGCTCATTCCTTGGCTGTCGCGAGGACACATTCCAGCCTCTGGCCACTGGACCATGCAGGAACGCCCTCGCGAGTTGAACCGAATTCTCGTCCAATGGCTTCGCACGGTGGTTTATCCTGCGCAGGTGGCGAAACTGTAGCGTGGTTTCGTTCTTGTTGTCATTTCGCTGTTTGCTGCAAGGTGGGTGGGATGTGTGGGTCCAATATTTGGCAACTTTGATCAAAAACTCGTACGAGAAGAAACAACAAATGTTGTAGGAAAATGTTGCCCGTCTAGCAGGCGTTTATACAAAATGAAGAGGACAGAACAACAAAGGGTTTACAGAGAACGCAAACACCTACTACACACACAGCAACACCAAAACAAAACAAAACACGGCAGACCAGGCCAAAAAAGGGGGGGTGAGAGACAAAGATTGTCATCTCCCTTTTTCGCTGAAAAGCTGGAAATGTGGGTTTAGTGGAAAGCCTTAAGGTACTCCTCGGCGCAGATGCGAGCGCGAGCGTTGGTAGTGATCTTCATTTCGCTGATCTCAACATCGACGTTCTCCATGAAAGTGATGATAAAGTCGACCAGCTTGTGCTTGAACATTTGCTCAGTGTGGAAGTTGGTGATGAGGAAGCTAATGTCGTAGCCCTGTGTATCCCCACAAGCCGGATGTTCAAAAGCGCAAAGTGAAAAACAAGCGCAAGGGAACAACATTAGAGCTCATTTTACGAAAGCCACTGCTTACCTCGACCGGCTTCCTGCGCAGAATGAAAAAGTTCTCTGCGCGCATCATGATGAACGACATGAACTTCTTGCAAAGGATCTTTTCAATCTCATCGGCTTGCTTGATGCCGATGGAAATGCGAACAGCGTTGATCGATGCCTCAACAAGAACGCGCTCCTGAGCGTTGCGGCTAATCACAACGGGTTGAAGGAGGACCTCCTTGCTTCCCCTGCAGAGCGAAATAAAAAAGTTGAGTTCAAGTGAGAGAGTTGAAGCAACAAGCCAAAAGCAAAAGCAAAAGCAAAACGGAAATCCGACAGCCAAAAAAAAAAAAAAAACCGTACTTGGTCTCGACCTCGGGCTTGTTGTGGCGCTCGACGTGCTGGGACGAGAAGTTCTCGAGGCAGACGGCGGCAGTGATGGTGGCGCGCACAGCGTCCAGGTAAGGGCGAAGGGTCGTGCTCTGGTCAGTGCAAAAAGAGAGCGACAGAGTGAGTTTGCATACACTCGTTTTCCATTCCAGCGACTCTCATTCTTGCCAAGCCAGACTCGACTCAATGTCTGCTGCCTTTCCAACTGAATGACAATCGACAAAAACGACTTTGCAGCCAAAACCAAATCCAAAAAAAAAAAAAAAAAAAAAAAATGAAAAAGGAAAGCAAAAAAAAAAAAAAATGAAAAAAAAAATGAAAAATAAAAAACAAAACTCAATTGTTTTTGTTGTGTTTGAGCTTTTTTTGGTTGAGGGACAGACGCGAGCCTGCCGCGGCACTGCAATCCAAGGCACAGATGGAACTGGGTTTTCCTCAGAAGTGGCCCGTGTCGTGCCCGCGCTGATGCACTTCTCGGCTCCGGTCAAAGACGACGAACGGCAAAAAAAAAAAAAATGTTATTTTTTGCGATCTGTTTTTTTTTTTTTTTTAAATCGGCTGGTCCTGCATTGCAAAAGCAGCCAGCGAACGGCAGGGAGAGCAAGCCATCGGTAGTGATGCGTCCGCTGTGTCATGTCGCCGCGCGCAATCCCCAACTCGCCAACAAGCCTGCAGGGGGGCGATCGGATCCCTTTCAAAAAGCAGGATTGTGGAATTACAAGGAAAAAAAAAGAAAAGAAATCCGTTGCGGGCAGAACGAACGCTCGGTGATGGACGCGCAGGTCGTTTCCACGGCAGAGCGTGGCGGATGGTCGAGGTTGAATGGGAATACGAGGGCGAGGCGGTGGGTGCGGGGAGGGCAACAAGGGGGGGAAAGAAGAGCGATGCGGACGAGCGATGGAAATGAAATTCTCAAAGGAAAAAAAAAAAAAAAGCAGTACCATTTTGTATTGAAAGAGATTGGAATCGACTGAGCTCTCTCTGAGCGATTTGATTTGACAATGATCAAGGACGAGACGGGTTTGGTTTGACAGCTCTAACGTTGTGTGATGCAACGAGGGTCATATGGTATGGTGTGGCAGTTGGAGGCTTGAATTTTAGTGTCGAATCGAACTGAGATTTTGGTGTGAAAACAAGGGACAAAAACGCCTCAAACGAGAAACGATAATGGTATTGCAGGAATAGTACACAAAGTACAAGGAATATTGCAAGGGAGGGAAAAGTACAGGAATAACACGAATAACAAAAGGGCGGAACTGTCAAGAAGGAAAAAGCGACAGAAAACGAAAAATCAAAAGCCACCCGCTTTGGTTTGGTTAGATGGGGCTCAAAACACTTCCAGATTCGAAATGACATCCGTCTTGTTTTTGCGCGATTGCGAATCCGGGGCCGATGATCCAGTCGAAGACGAGGCTGGCGTCTGGATGTACGTTTGCTTGGAAGGCTTCAAACTCGCATCGGTTGTGGAAGGACGAGCAATGCGCCAATCCGACCCGCTCCGTCGTGAGGGCAGAATGACGGGCCCGAACGGGTCTTGGTGGGCCCCCTCAAAGTCGCCGGGGTGGGCAGAATCTTGCATGGCACTGAAGAGGGCTGATTCGAGAGCACCCTCCGAGGCAATGCGCCGCAGCGAGCCCTCGGAGGTCGGGATGTGCAGCTGCGGCGTGCCTCCGTCGTCGTCTGCAAGGCTTTCGTCCAGGGAATACTCTTGCGCAGCCGGGATGGCCAATGGGGCCAGACCCTCGAAAAAGGCTCCTCTTGAAGCTACGGGGGACGGGGTGTGGAACTTGTGGTGAAGCAGCGCACGGAAGGGACTCTGGGGGAATGAGGCGAGGAAGGGCGATAGTGCCGAAGGAGAATGCCCAGAGTGTGAACTACCTGGCACGTTCTGCGCTCCTGGCACGTGCAACGAGGCGTCAGCCTTGTCATGCGGATGGACTGTCGCGGGATGATCAACAGCATGTGTGAGTAATGGCGGTGCAGATGGTTGTGTCTGCTCCGCCTCTGCAGGTTGTGTGCCACCCGGACGTGACTCGAGGAGGGCAAACTCGGCCACAACGGGGATGTGATCCGAGAGCAACTCGTACTCGCTCATCACACGGCAGTTCAAGGCTCGAATGGTCTCTGGAGAATACATGATGTGATCGTATGCTCCTTTGAGTGAGAGACCAAATCGAAGAGGCCATTTCCACGTTTTGCAACTTGGCTGGAACTCGATCAACGAATCGTTCAACGGCTCCTTCCCGCGCCCGCCCTTGAGCCAAACAACAGCCGCGCCGTCGTGGCCCTCGTTGAAGTCGCCCGCTACAATGATTGCAGAGCCAGGCTATGGGGGAGGGAAAGGGGGGGGTCGTCAGCCACAAAAACAAACCAAAAAAAAAACAGCTTCAATTTCAGTCCAAAAGCAATTGCCGTGGTTACAATGGTGGCTTACCTTTGGTTTCATGCGATCGTAAAAGAATTGAAGCTCGGCTCGACGAATGCTGGATGTCTGGAACAGCGCGCGGAAGGACGGCTTATGCACATTGGAGATTGGAGGACGCAGGTGCACATTCAACACTTGCACAGGTTGGCCTTCAACAACAAGCTCGACCATCCAGCCCGGGAAGAACGAGCCAGCGACGGGCGGCTGCTCATACCAGAGCTCGTGCAACGGATGGACGGATAAAAACCCCTGGCCGCCAGCGCTGGACACGCTGTTCGACTCAGGGAGCACAGTGTCGTGGTGACGAAAGATCATGTGCGGGTAAATGTCGCGCAAGGACGACCGAAGAAACTGCTCCCACCCATGGTGCGTTTCCTGCAGGCAAACAATGTCAGCGCCGGAAGTGCGAATTCCGTGCGCAATCTGCACAACCTTCTGGGACGCGATTCCCATTCGACAAAATCCCTACAGATCACGATGGTAATGACGATTGAGCGGCAACAACACAAAAAAAAATAAGAAAAAGCACAAGTCAAGGCAATGGTCAGCACGCAGCTTTTTGAGGACGAATGACACAAAACAGAAATCCGCAACCCAAAAACAACAAGCTGGCGTTGACTTACCCAGTTCACATTGTACGTGAGGACTGTTAACTTGCGTGCCCCGCTCAATAAAACAAATTCGCTGGCAGTGGACATGGAGGAGCGCCGAAGGGTCGAACGCTTGCTTGGCGCGTCTGGCGCTTGCTCCTCGGTGGAGGCAAGCTGATGTGACGCCGGCTCCTCCATCGCGTCTGCGGCATCGATGGGTGCAAACGACTCGCGAGGAAACCCATCACGGCCATCAGGATTGGACTCGATTTGAGCCAGCTGTCGCCTTGGTGGAAGAATCGGGGCGCGAGATTGTAGCTGTGGCGGTGCAGAAATGGGAACGTCTGCCGATTCCGAGCTGCCAGAACGCGTTGGAGCCATGACCAGTCGTGTCGATGGTCGCGCCGAATCGCGCTTTCTCGGTTTTAGAGGATCTGCCGCAGGAGCGGGCTGCGGCGGTGGGGTGCCGGCGCCAGAGTGTGCATTTGCCCTGCTGTTGCTGGGCGAACTGTACGATTTCGTCGGTGACGTTCTTGAAATCCTGTCGGTCGATCCATGGGCAGCAGAAGCCGACAACAAGTGCGGGGCGTCTTGAAACTGGTCGAGAAACTGCGCTTCGATGCGCTGGAGCTCCTCGTTGATTGTCGCCGTGGCGGTGGCAGCAGCGGGCTGAGTGTGATTCTCGCTCTTGCTGCTGTTTGCTGAACGTCCCTTGGCTGGGTCCTTGTCACTGTCCTTGGCGCTCTTGCCAACCTTGACAGCAGCAGTCTTGTTCGTGCTATTGTTGGTGTTGTTGTTGTTGTTGTGGTTGTTGTGGTTGTTATTCTTGTTGCCCTTGCGCTTCTTGCTGGAGCTGCTCGCGTCGGCGTCCGCGGCGACAACCACCGCGTCAAAGTACGCCGGCTGGGCCTGAGCGGGCGCGTCCTCGTACTCGAGGCTTTCCCAGTCGCCGCCGCACAAGTCCGCCATGGCTTGCGACTGTCGGTGCCCTTCCGCAACCGACGCAGCGGCAGTGGTCGTCGAAGCCAACGCGGACGGGAGCGCGGCGGTCGAACTGCCGCTGCCGCTGCTGCTCGCTCGGTCCCGGTCGCGGTCGTCCGAGTGAATCACCGCCAGTGCCGACGACAGGCTGGCAACGGGGGACTTTGGCTGCGTCTGCACAGCTTGCAGGGGTGCTGGTTGCGACGGATGGTACCCGCCACTGCCAAACGGCCATTGCGAGCTCAGCGCGTACGCGGGGCGAGCAGGAGTCCCGTCATCGCTGCTACGACTGATGGTGGCACCCGACTCAGACATTGAGCTTTTCAGAAAAAAAACCTGCCGCGCTCTGCTTTGTTTCAAATGGCTCGATGTTTTAAAATACTGCGTTGAGTTGTCGCTCTTGTTGCTGCTTTTTGGTTGTCGGAGAAGATTGAATGCGGCGAATCTTCCCAAAAAAAAAAAAAAAAAAAAAAAAAAAAAAAAAAAAAAAAAAAAAAAAAAGAGGAAATGCGGAAAATGTAAATGTAAAGAAAACAGACTGAATTGAATTGATCTTGAATTTGGACGATTTGGAGTTTTTGGGAGGTTTTGTTTTTGAGAGGCCGACGAGGTCCTAGTCAGTGCTCTCGGCGGACGTTCACAGAATGGAGTGGCAGCGACTTTTGACAGGCCTCCATGTGTTGTAGCGCAAAACAGGGAGGTGAAATTGGAAGGAGGGATAAAAAAAAAACCCTGAATTTGGGGGGAAATCCCGACTTGAAAAATTTCCGGTCGGTTGAAATAGTTTCTCGGTGCGTGCGGCAAATGACTGGCTGCTCATTCATTCACAGAGTGTGTGTGGTCTTGGTGGTAAGTCATCGTTGGATTTGCCGCAGGTCATCTGCCTGTTTGCTGGGCCGATCGGCGCATCGATACCTAAATGTTTCCAACCCAGTGTTCCATGTGTGATCTGAGGTGACACAACAGGATTGAAAGATTGCACCAAATTTCTATTTTCGTGCACGAGAAAAGTCACATGGATGCGGATAAGCATGAGGCAAAAGGCGAAAAACGTCAACAAATTTGCTGCAGAGCTGGCCAGAACAAGACAAATGCGGCGCATCGCACTCTGAGGCCCGCACTACGTGCAAGACGAGTAACTGCAGCAAGAGGAGGTCAAGCACTGGACGCGATTGGTGGGGTGGCGAGAGCGACGATTTTTACTCAGGCTCGTCAGGCTCGGGTCGAAGGAGAAACAAAAATCTTTTCCCAAATTTATTGAAGAACACGGAAAAGGATGCTGCCGGAAACACACAATACGGGACAAGCGAGCGCACACCCGCCAATCTCGTATTCAATGGCAAACCACCTCGCTTTGGATCGACAAGCGGAAACACGAGCGCGACCTTGCGTGTTTGTTTCATGCGCTCGCTCGACACGCGACCAGACGCGCAATCATTTCACCAGCCAGTGCGTCGAGCTCACATTGGACAGCTTCGTGGAGCGGGCCTGCAAGTTTGGCCATGAGAGTGGGAGTGTCCTTGCTTCCAAAGATTTCGTGGCTGCCCACCAAGTTGACGTACGTCCGCCAGTAGCGAGCGTCTCGAGGCGAGTCTGGCGCAGTCAAAAATGTCTTGCCTGCTTCCCACCTGCGGCATGCCTCAAGAACAGGGTGTGGCTGCTCCTCGTTCGACGCTCGTTGATGCTCGTTGATGGCGCCTTGAAAGTTCTGCTCGGTGAAGTAGTTGATGAAACGGGTGACTGACTTTGATGAACAGAGTTTCTGCTTCACTTGGGCGGCCTGGTCGTCAGCAAAGCTGCTGTCCGTGAGTGCACAGTGCACGAACAGGTAGGACTCAATGCAAGGCAAACTCGTGAAGAAAATTTGACACCTTGGTCGCACCTCCTTCTGAACGTTGGACAAACAGTACTCGCCCCAGGCCAGGAGCGATTCGGGCCAACAGGCCCGGAGTTCGCTATCTCTCAGAATAAAAAGGGGCTGGTTCACGGTCTCAATCAGCAGCTTGGTCAGGGTGGGGAGCTGATGTCGCGTGTCTGTGCCGCCGCTGATGAGCTGGAAATGCTTGGAGAGGTTCGGTACATACTTCTTGTAGAATTCCACGTCATTTTTGCCATCAAGAAGTAGCACTGGACGGTCAATCGATGTGATTTGAGCAAGCTCCTCAACATAGTCCGTCAACGAGGCAGCGTCAAGGCGAATCGGGCCAGCCGGCCCAAGCATGACAATGTCCTGTTGGTTGACAGACTTGGCAAGTGCCTTCGAGTTGGTCGTAATAACAAGTTGGATTTTGGCGTCGTGACAATCTTGCCGAAGTCGAAGAAAAAGCCGCTCAGCGACACAATCGTACAGTAGGGCTTCTGGCTCGTCGATAAGCAAGATGCGCTGGGTGGCTTCATTGTCGTCACAGTCCTGTCTGCCCTCTGCTTCGCCGGCAGTCGATACACGAAGCAGGTGGAACAGGACATAGATCGCCACGACCTTCTGCAGGGACGCCGCGCACATGCCGATGTCGAGTTGAACGCCCGACTCCTTGACGAAGAGACGGTTGGGATCGTCAATGAACTCCAATGTGAGGTCGTCGACACCAAAGATGTGTTGAATGCTGCCTGTGATCGCAGCGAGAGCAGCTGCGTCCTTCTTGACGAGATCTTCGACGCGCCTTAGCATGTGCCGTCGCCCGGTTGTGAGCAAATGCTTGTCGCCAGTGTCTTCCTGCCTTTGGTGTTCGCCCCACAAGAAGGATGGCTGCACGAACGCGTAGCGGACCTTGCGAGGGGGCTGTTCCGCCGTGTCGGGTTGTTCAATCATTCTCGCCCGATTACTCTTCGCGGGGTTGATGACAAACGAGACCTTACGACCGTCGCTGAAGTTGCCAAGCAGCGTTGCTGTGGTTTCGCCTTGGCGGATAAGTGCCGAGCTCGTGTCGGTTTCGTACTCAAAGAATGGGTCGCCGAACAGTGGACCAAGTGCCAAAGTCGGCTTGTTCTGCTTGTGCCAGTTGGACGTTGCGACACGTGTGTTGTAAGAGCGCAAGAAGATAGCGATAGCCCAGAGAAGCTGCGTCTTGCCGGAACCATTCCGACCCATGATGACTTTGGGGCTGGTTGTCAGATGGAAGGTTTCGTCTTTGAACTTGCGAAAGTTGGTAAGCTGAAGCGAGGTCAGAAAACCAGTCATGGTGCCTATAGAGAGCAGGAGAGTCAGTGTGAAGGTACAATCACCCATACATTATCTGTTGAACAATGCTTTTGAAGAAAATCCGAAAAACTGAAAGAACAGCCAGGAAATGAACAGGGGACTTCGGGTCGTTTGAGACGGTCCTCCCGAAATAAAATAATAAGAATAAAAACGGTTCCATCATCATTGAAGTTGTTACATGGTCAGGGAGCTGTGTTACAACGCACTCTCGCGTGGTGATTGACCAATCGGATTTCCGCTCTTTATTTGGCGCCAGGCCAGTCTTCATCCGATACACCTCTCAGACGTGTGTATGCATAAGCTGGAAATAACGTACCGAGAATGATGAATGCAAAAGTGGACTAGATTGCGTGAATTGGGGGGGGGGAATGAAAAATGAAGACCACGAAAACAAGATTCAAGACAAATGCGGCACATTGCTGACATCATGCATCGACTGGAGCTGTTGAGGAAGAGGATCCTGAGGAGGTAGTAAACTTCCACAGGCCATACTCCTTCCCTACATCGGTCTGCCATAGCCGCACGGTGCCATCCTCTGATCCAGACGCGTAAAGCTCGCCGTCAGGCGAGAATCGCACGCAGTGCACTGGTCCATGGTGACCCTTGTGTGTTTCTGTGATGCATTTGGAACATACCGGATCAGTCTATGTGGTGTTGTCACAAGCACCGCTCTTCATCCGGTTCGGGAGCAACGGGTGACGACGAAAAGTTCGCTACATACCAATTTCGCGGAGAGTCTCGTAGTCATAAACGTGTAGGTAGAAATCATTGCCGCCCGCAACAAACTTGGTTTTGCTGCCGTGAAGAGAGGCAGAGTACAATGGCGAAGTGTGCGTGATGGACTTGATTTTCTCAAATCTGCCATCCAACCATTCAAGGCAATGAAGGATTTCCACAAAGAGGAAAGCAAAAGATAAGTTGGAGCACATGCAGGGCAAGTCCTGTCGACGATCAACGTGCACTCACGTCTGCATGTTGAAGAAGCTGATGCTGTGTCCATGTGCGACGGTCATGATTTGGCCGTCCGCAGAGACCTCCACGCTGGTGGCAGACGCATCAAGGGGAATGACCCTTTCTTCTTGCCGAGTACGCAAATCCCATAGCCTACGCGCGGTGAATTTGAGTGGAAGCGGTGAGTTGGACATTGCTCAAAACCTCGGGGGAGCAAATATAATCCGCCGCTTCGCAAGTCTTACCGAATGCAGCTGTCTTCCGCAGCGGTTAAAAGCATTGAATCATTGTTCACAAACATGGCCACACGCGCGGTAGCGGTCAAGCCATCGAAAATCACTGGCTCCGCTTCAGGCCGCTGCAAGTCAAACAATCGGATTTTCTTTTCTGCACTGCCTGTTGCGAGTTTTGATGCGTCCTGGATCACCATGAAATGTTAACCGAGGCGAGCCAAGTGAGATATGTCGCAAAGAGGTGCAGTGCAACAAAGAGATGCAACAACAAAGGATTTTGTAAGATTCCACAAGCGGCTACCTTGGAGAACTCGACCGTTCGAACAATGTGCTTGTGGGCAAACGAATACATTTCAGTTCCAGCAATGGCATCCCAGATTTTTCTGTCAAGTTTGCATTCAAAGGAGAAGAGTGAGTCAGAAATTAGTTGATTCGAAAGCACCTTTGAAGCGTCTCAACCCTCCTCTAGGACGCTGCTGCCATCGCTGGGCTTGTATTTGCCAGAGCAGCCTTGTAAAGAATGAGGTGGATGATACCAGTACCGAATTGGGTTTTCGATAAACGTTCCTCCAATCTCCATCCTCCTATTTCCACATCAAAGAACTCATCTGCCTTACGCAGTGAAATCGGCTGATCCAGTGGCTGCCCGTGTTGCTGTATGGTTGAGGCGAGCTGCCCAAACGGCGCCCTTGTGCCCGTCAAACGTGCCAATCCAATCGCCAGTCTGACCGACTCTGAGCATCGGCTTGCCATCTGAACAATTTAGCACAACCAAACAAAACGGGAAGGGGGACGAAAAAACAAACAAGTCAGTGCATGCATCTCAATTTCATGGATACCACTTGTCTAATTCATTGCATCTCCAGACGATCAGAGGAAGAGGCGGATGACTGAGGATGACTGAGGATGAGGACGAACCGAAGCAGAGTAGAGCACATGGCGAACCAAATCCACAATTCCCTTCCCTTGCTTCCTTCATCCAACCCAACGCCATCGACCATGTTCACAGCCCAATGAGCCAGATGGACTCGCTGCTGCTGCTGCTGCTGCTGCTGTGCTGGTGCTCGTGGTCGGGAATATGTTCGCGCGCGAGTGCCGTCCGAGAACGAAAATTCTGGCTGGCTCCGCGTGCGCCGTGCTAAAACACTCGAGCTCAACCAAAAATCCAGCAACCCCATCCACCTTTGGTGTCGTCGTCCCGCGCTCGATGGGATGTCAGACAAGCGTAGAGTGACATACCTTTGCAGGCGCTGATGAGGAAGTAGCCGTCCGAGGTGACTGGGCTGAACGCCAGATCAACCACCGGTCGCGTGTGTCCGTTGCAAGTCAACGGAGTTTGTCGAGTTGCCATCGAACGCGAGAGTGAATGGAATTGAGGAATGGGGCTGGTATGAGAATGTTGTTGTTTTGATTCAAGCAACAAGTGGCTAAAAGAGCACATTGAGGCACAGTGAGGCGTAGAAGAATAAAATCGAAATCAATTTGACAATGACAGGAATCACACAAAAAGAAAACACAGGAGTTTGTTAATTTTTCTTTTTTTTCAAAACAAAACACAATGGCCAACGTTTTTTAAAGGTTGGGGAAGAACTCGTACAACTGGTTGAGCATAAACTCATAACCGCCAAACATGGCAGCGTTGGCAGGGAAGGCACGAAGCATGACTGGGCCGATGCCCTTGTACAGCGCAAGGTAGCCCTCGTTGCGGACAAGGGTGCGGAAGACGTCGCGGAGGCCGTTCGGATAGGTGCCGTCGGGGGCAGTCTGCAGGCGGGACTTGAGGACGTCGGCAGGGATGGAGACGCACCAGTTGGCAATGCCAGCCATGCCACCGGCAAACAGCGCCTCGTGCATGCGGAGGTTTTGGCCAGAGCCGTCCTTGGAGAGGGTGCGCTTCAGGTACTCGTATGCGCCAAAGTACGCACCAGATCCGGGAACGTCACGAAGCAAAGTAGCGACAGTGCCCTTGTAAATGCCACGAATGCCCGACTCGGCGTAGACCTTGACAAACACGTCCTTGGGGCCAGAGTACTTGGGTGCAATGCCTTGCGAAACCTGAGCGCCTTGGATTTGGAGAATGCACTTGACACGCTCGCCGGGGACCATCACAGCCGTGGTGAAGACACCCGAGATGCAGCCAGCGTTGAACAGTTGCAGGAGCGAGAGACGCTCGGTGGGCGTCTTGCGCTGGATGCGTTGGCCAATGTCATAACCGACAAAGCAGATGGCGTACATGGGGGTGACACCAAGCAGCGGCGCAAGCATGCCACGGTACAAGCCCGAGAAGCCCTCGCGCGCGACAATCTTGCGGAAGCAGTCCAAGCCACCTGAAGAAATGGTGAGAGGATGGTGAGTAAGGGTTCAAGATGTTTGTATCGCCCATTTTGTTTGATGCTTGTTTCCAAGTCGTCGCAGCGTGAGTTGAGTGATGACATTGCGACTGAGTGAACATTGCGGTTGGGTTGCCACTGTGAAGCAAAACCGCGCTCAGTGGTCAAACGTTCGTGTTTTCATTCTCGCTGAAATATCGCCATCATGCGTTTTGTTTCTCTTTGCACTTTGTAATGCACGTTGTAATGCACTTTGTAATGCATGCTCTTTGTTGGGGGAAGAGTTCAAAAAACAAAATAAAACAGCAGCCGATCGGCAAAAAAAAAAAAAAAAAAAAAAAAAAAAAAAAAAAAAACGAGACAAAATCACACGTGAAATCGAAACCGGAAGCAAACAAAACAAATAAATAGAAATGAAAATAAAAAATGAAAAATAAATGGTGACACTGTGGAAAAAGCCGATGGCTGGATTGAGAGAGAGAAGGAGTGATGAGAAAACCACAGTGATCTGCTTCTGAAACAAGCAGCAAGCACAACAGCAGATGAACGCCGCGATCAGAAGGACAAAGAGAGAGACGAAGAAGACGACGGAAAGGAAGAAAAAAAAAAAAAAAAAAAAAAAAAAAAAGAGCGGGATCTCAACAATGAGTCTTCTGCCCTTCAGTCGCCAGCCTCCTCACTCTGGGCACTGTGCGGTCGCTCACGCTGCTGCCGCTTGGGCATTTGGTCGAAAACAAAAACAGCACGTTGCACGTTTGGGCTGCCGTGAGGAACGGCTGTCGGTTTTGGAGTTTGGAAAAATCGTGTGATGATGATGGCCTTTACCAGTGTACATTGGCGCCTGCCCGGCAACGACCGTTTGCGTCTGCAGGCGGACCTTGATCGTGTCGAGCGGGTGGCCAGCAGCAACGAGGCAGATGCCGCCAAAGCTGCCGGCGAGGAGGTTCTTGAGCGACGACGGAGGCCCATCGCGCGGCTTTGCGGGCCGAGCAACCTTGTATGCAAAGTTCCAAAGCAGGCCGTGGCTGGCTGCCTCCTTCTCCAACTGCGCCCAGTCAACCATTCGTAAGTGTGTCAAGTAAAAAAAATGATGAGTGTCTCAACAAAAATAAAAACAAATAAAACGTAGCGAAAATGTGCTGGGGGTGCCAGATGTACATTGAGGTTTGCCAAGATTTACACCAACCGCCAAATTCGTCAACGAAAAATCGCGCCGCAGCATGCGTCCATGGGCAGTGGAGCCCAGTGTGCCTTTTGGAGGTCGTTGGAGGTCGTTGGAGGTCGTTGGAGGTCGGTGGAGGTCGGTGGAGGTCGGTGGAGGTCGGTGGAGATGCCATCACGAAAACCATCAGACGAAACCCAAAGTGGTCTGACGAACGGCACGCCGATACGATTAAACACGCAAGCACGCATGCCACACCTCATGCATCATGTGTATTAATTGGTTGGCGATAAAATTTCATCGCGCTGGAGGCGTTTGTTGGGAATGGCAAGGCGCGGGCGTTGTTCGGCTTTTGCAGCTCGCTCTGCACGTCCAGTTCTCAGTCTAGCATCCACTTTGCACTGTTGCTCTTTCGCGGAGAATGATCTGCATGTTATTGTCTTGTTAATGCATGAGTATTCATACTAATTACTGTGTTTCTTCTTGCTCACATCGTTTTAGCAATCCAATGCTTGACATTCAAACCTTTGCCTTTCGTCCAGCAAATCCTGTTGCTTTGTTATCGGTTTGTTGCTTGAGGACTGCGTGCCGAACGCGACTTTGGGTCCTGATATATCGAACACATAGAATATTATGAGCATATTTTCACGAAGAAATCAACAAAAAGCACCCGGCATCGCAGCCAGCAACAACAGAAATGTCAGTGTGTGTCTATCGGTCGGTCACTGCGTTCCGCGCTTCGCGTATCCGCCTCCGGCGGTTTTATATTTTCAAAACGACTAACAAATCCCATATCCCTTCTTTTTTTTATGTTAGCAAGTTAGTTAGGTTAGGTCAAAAAAAAAAAAAAAGAGAAGAAATTATAAAAAGTTTTTCGGTCATCTTTGCCATTCTCTCGTTTTGTTTGGAAAAAATCTCTGCTGTTTTCTTGTTTTTTTTTAACCCTTTCGCCCTTTTTGTGTCCAAGCACCGTGTTGGGACTCTCGTTGTTGTTATCACTGTGCAAATCGTTGTAGCTATCGGCACGTTGGCGAGAGCTGCGACTTTAGCAGACTCCGAGAAGGACATTCTTATCGCCATCGGCTCATCCCTGCTCATCAGCCTCTGCCTCTCGCTTCAAGGGCTGCTCTCTTCTGAAGACCAAACAAAAGCTTTTGCGGAAGCTTTTGCGGTTATTCGTAAACACCCAAACCAGCCACCGCTTCCGAACCCAACCCCAATTGACACGACGAACGTGCAGCCGATCTCGGCTTTTTCGCTCATCGTTCCGCCGCCCGCCACTCCACAACAATTCGCCTCTGCTGCGGAGATCAACGCTTTACAAAATTAGCCTGCCAAGTCGCGCTCTAGAGAGAATGAGTACAGATGATGGAGATGAGCTGACTGAAGCGCATTCGGGTCAGTATTCCTCGATTGATTGCGACAGCGATCCTTGTTTTTTTGTTTGCTTTGTTTCATTTCGCTGACTCGATTGTTTGTTTTCAGCATTGACGAACCACGCACGTTTGAGCCAGCGTGTGAACCAGGAGCGTGTGAACCAAGAGCGTGTGTTTGACTGGCTGAGACGGCTCGCGACGTCCACGAAATCTCGTTCCTTGTGCCTTCGTGATGTGACGGACGAGTCTCGATTGTTGTATCGGTTGTCTCTCAACCACCGAAATGCGTTCCTTTTGAGCTCGCGTGAATTTACTAACGTTCCGCTGTTCTTTGGTTTCTCATCCAACGTTACCGGAGGAGCCTGCGTCCTTCAAAGCGACATCCAAAGCCCAATCCAAATTCATGTCCAACTTCAAATTTCGTTTGAGCAACTCAACCCCGATCTCATCGCTGTAGTTGCTTTGTATCGCTGGAAATCGGGCGTGTTCGTGTTTGAAGACAACTACGGAATCTGGCGGTTCTAGTTCGATTTCGCATTTGGGCATGCTCATTGTGCATCAATGGTTGTGCTTGTCATCGCAGTACAGTACAATTTCAATCAAAAACCGAACCCTTCGGCGGATACGCGAAGCGCGGACGCAGTGACCGACCGATAGACACACACAGTCAACTGCTCTCAGAACAACACGTTCACATATGAATCAAACACCCAACTGCCGTATTTCAGTTACGGCCATATCTGGTGGAATGCACCGCATCCCGTTCCGCTCTGCGAAGTTAAACCACCATGAGAGTAGTTAGTACTGCGGTGGGAGACCACGCGGGAATACTGCTTGTTGTAACTCTTTTTTTGCTTCTGCTCGCAAACCACTTTCGTGGTTTTCTTTTTCCCCTTTCACCTTTGATCTCTTCATTGATTTTCGAATTGGCGATGGTTTTTTTTTGTTATGGTTGTTTTGTCCGTGCTGAACAGATGATCAATGAAAAAAAAAAACCCTCAAAAAAACAAAAAAACAAACTTAAAAAAAAACACGAAAGAAAAATCGGCAAAAAATTAGGGGAGCAGTGGGGATTGAACCCACGACCCTTCCGACCCAAACGGAAAATTCTACTACTGAACTATGCTCGAGACTGGTGACAGGGCAAATCGAAGATGAAGTCCGCCAACCCATCATCCAAAACAGAAACTGCACCCAAAAACTCGAATTTCGCATCGTTGTGATCAGCAGCAATAATTTGGATGTTGCTAATAATGAATACTAATGCGAATATGGATACAAACCGACCCCGTCTAGAGTTTTTTTTTTTTTAAGCAGTCCTTTTGTTTTCTTTCTTTTTCTTTTTTGGTTGGAATCGCTGGTGCGATGCGATTCGCTTTATGTCGGATACGTTGAACGAGATTTTGGGTCAAGATGAGAGATATAGATTCTACGTAGTACAGTATTGGAATAAAACCAACCAATAGAATACTCAAAAAAAGCCACCCAACATGCAACAAACAAACAAACAAACAAAAGCCTCTGGAATTGCTGTCCATTTTTTTTCACCACTTGGGTTCGGGAGCAAAGTCAAATTGCTGACCTCCGGCTGAGGCGAAAGGCGCCATTCCCATGGGTGGCTGCGGGCCCACCGGCTGTTGCTGTTGCTGTTGCTGTTGCTGCTGGAACTGCTGCCATTGGAGGAACTGCTGGTACTGCTGCCATTGCTCAAACGAGGGTTGCTGTGACATCGGTGCCTGGGAGTGAACTCGCGCATGTAGCAGACTTTCGGGCTGATAGTAGTGAATGTCAAGCTCCTCGCAAACGCGTTTCATGAACATGATCAGATCCGTCTTTCGTTTGGCACGGGCGCCACCGTCTTGCCACGAGAAGCGTGTCTTGCCACCAAGAGACAGCTTGAGACGATTGGTGTTTTCGAGCTCAACGACGGAAAAGATGACGGGCAGCGCATACCAGTCTGCAGCAGTTTCGCGCAGATAGGTGGCAAAGCGCGTTTGCATCTCCTCAATCTTGGCGGCCGGGGTCGAGACGTGGATTTGCAGGTCAATTACCTCGAGCATGTCGGTCGACCGACGAGCATTTTGAATCGGCAGCTTGTTCAACACGGCGTTGGGATAGGAAATCACCATTCCGTCCCAGCGCGTAAAGACAGTGTTCATCAGGTGGATTTCCGTCACAAAGCAATTCTCATTGTTGAAAAAGACGCGGTCTTGAACGTCGAACGGATGGTTGACAAACAAAAAGACCACCGACTCGTACAGCTCCTTGACAGAGTTTCCAAACACAAAGGTGAAGGCGAGCAAGAAGGTGGACAGCGTCAGGAAAAAGTTGGTGACGTCGACGCCGAGGATGGCGAGCCACACAAACAAGAGAATAAAGCACAGCAGCACCGTAAAGACGTTATCGAGCTTGCGCACGGCCGTCTTGGCGTCGGACAGACCGGCAGCCAGAGCCTTGCGCTCCTTGTAAATGTTCAAGACTGTCTCTTTGGCTTCTGCTTTGGTGATTTTGCCGTCCATGTCGTGATCGAACAGCTTGAAGGCGCGCACTGCCATGTCCGGCTTCAAAATGCACTGGAAATCATCCAACGTGAGGTAGTCGAGCTCGGGAGACTTTACGTGGTTGAAGAGCGCCTTGGCCAAACGGCGGGCTTCGTTGCTTGACTTGATTTCAGACGAGTTGCCGATGCGTTCGTGGATTGGAGTCAGTTGAATCTTGTTCTTGCGCACGAAGCGCACCAACTTGTCCAGCACGTGCGTGTTGACTTGCTTGGGCTTCATCGAGGTCAGGCGGCCTGCAATGCTGTCTTGTCGCACCTTGGTGACGGATGGCGAGGCAGGCATGTTGGAGCTCGAGCTGCTCGACTTGATGAGCGTCGATGAATGATCGCAGTCGGTTGGAGCAGCTCCATTGCTCGTGACTTGACTGGCAGGTGGCGGTGGTGGTGGGGCAGGCTTGATGGTGGGCATCATGATGTGCTCTGCATCTCCATTATCGACAGGCGAGCCCGACGGATTTGCCTTGGCGTGGTGTTGAGCTTCCGCCTCGTCGGGTTCCGCGCATGCTGCCGTCCCAGCAGGGTCGACGAGTCCAATTCGGTCCTCGGACGGCAACGTTTGGTGGACATTCTTTGCAGTATGCCGTCGAAACAGCGAAAGCGCGCTCGTCCCGCGGCTGCCTGGGGTTCGCCAGCCTTTCAGCGAAATGCGAGGTCCGCTTTGCCAATCGTCGTCACCATTGTTCAGTGTGAGAGTGGAGGGCTCTCGCGTGAATGGTGCAGGTGAGTGTGTCTCCTCCTCGCTGATGGGCTTGGCGTATTTTTCCTTCTCGCTCAAGGCTTGAAGCGCATACTCGGAGAAGAGCGCATCCTGAATACGCTCAAAATAGGCCTCCTTGTGGAAGTGGAAGGCCAGTCGCTTGATCAGAATGACCTTGAGACAAAACGCAACCGCCGACACCATGAACGCAACGAGAATGCGTGTGACAAACCACAGCTTGTCACGATCGAAATCGGTTCCATAATTGCTCGCCCAGGACGAGCGGAAGAGGGTTTCCCAGGCAATGAGCACGATGGTGGACCACAAGAACATGTGGACTGGGAAGATGATGGCATTGTAAAAGTAGAGAAAATTGGAGCGCAAGAGGAAAATGTGCTCCACCACCGCGGACACGCCAGTCAGGAGCAGCAACGACCCAAGATAGGTGACGGCGACAATCGCAAAGAACAGCACCCAGGCGTACACTTTTGCGCCCGCGACGGAGGCGGATGGGAAGTACTCGTAGCAAACGACGCCCGGAATGATAAGAACGATTGCCAGCGCAATCCAAAACAAGACACGGAAACCCCAGGGCGGAAGCGTGCAGCGTCCACGATTTCTCTTGGTAGGGGCAGAGCCGGACATGTCCGTTTCCCAGTCAAATTCTGTTGGCGGAGGGACTTGCACATCCTGTGCAATTGCATCCAAAGTAGATTTCAGAGTGGCCTCATTCTGGCCAGACGCAGCGGATTCGACTGAAGTCAACGAGACGAAAGACTCGGAAGGTGTGATGGTGGTCGTCGAGGCAGCAGCAGCAGCAGCAGCAGCAGCAGCGGCGGCCGCTTCAGTCGCATTGCCAGCCTCTTCTAGAATCGTGTTCATCTGCGTCGGGGCAGCGGCAAACGTGACGCTCCGACTCTCGCCATCGAGCTTTGGGGCGACAACCTCGTCTTGCTGGGCGACGGACTTTCGAAAGAGTGAGCTCAAAAATCCCGGGCTGGACTGGTTGGTTCCCCCGTCCATCGACGACACGCCTGGCTTTGGGGTGCGCAGAGAGCTGAAAAACCCGCCGCCCCCTTGAGACGTTGCACTTGGCGGCGGTGGCATGTCGACATGCGACGTGCTATGCGCGGCAATGTTCTTGAGGAAGATGCTTCTTGGGCGTGGCTTGATTTCCTTCCCAATCAGCGACTGAGCGTCGTCATCCTCCGCACCTGAAACGACAGTGTCGACGCTCTGAGGGACCCGCAGAGGCTCCGACGCACCAGCAGCTGTGGCTGTAGCTGTTGATGCAGCTGCATTCATGCGATGAGCCTCAGCTGCGGTTGTTGGTTCTAAACCAGAGGCGCTTGCAGCAGTCTGCAGCGTGCGCACTGGTCGCGACATGTTGTTGTTCTTGTTCTTGTTCTTGTTCTGTTCGTTCGTCCTCGTTGGCAGCCCAAGTTGGAATGGATCCTCGCCGTCGTCGTCGTCGTCCGACGAGTCATCTCGCGCAACAATGTGCGTAAAGACATGTCCTATCGTTGCTCGTGGACTGGATTCCTGGACCTGGACGGACTGCTGTGCGTGGACGAGCGCTGCGGTCGTTGTCGGCGGTATTGCCGAAGCAGCAGCCATCGTTGTCGCAAGTGCGGGCGGAGGAAGAGCAGCAGTAGTAGCAGTAGCAGCAGCAGGGTCTCCGAGTGGTGGCACTGGCACTGCAATGCTCGGCTGAGGCTGAAGCACGGGCGAGCTGTGGTGGCTGAGGTTGAGTGTGAAGGGCGGCAGCGTCTGCGTCATTGGCTGCGACGACGATACCATGGACGACAGTGGCTCGACGGCGACTTGCGACAATTGCGAGAGTCGTCGCACCAGTTGCTGCTGTTGTTGCGTTGGCGAGCCGCCTGCAGCAGTGGTGAAGAACGCCGGGCTCGCTGCGCCAGAGCCAGAGGAGGAGTCGGTCGATTGGACTGCGTTCAGGCGATGCAGCGAGTGCGACAGGTGCTGCTGGTGCTGCAGCCCACGGTGTGCCTGCTGATGCGATGGCTGGCTCTGGAGTGACTGCTGCTGCTGGTGGTAAAGTGGCTGATGTGGATGGGGCTGGCGGAGGGATGGCGGGTGTGGCTGCTGCTGCTGCAACGGTGTCAAGTCCTTGAGCCCCCCGCCGCCGCCGCCGCCGCCGCTGTTGCCATCATCATTATCATCATCACTATCGTCACTGTCGCTATCACTATCATTGCCATCGCGGGTGGCCGCAGCTCGAGCCCGACGGCGGACGAGTTCGGCGTTCGACACGGCATCGCTGCCATCGACGTCAGTCGCATGGAAGGCGTCCATCCCATCGCCATCGCCATCGCCAGCGCCGTCGTCGCCCATTGCGTAATAGATGGAGATGTATTATAGAGAGAGTGTGTGTGATGGTTGTGATGTCCGAGTTGTGGAGATTTGCGCGAGATTTGCGCGAGATTGAGAGAATGGGAAAAAAATCCAAGAAGCCGCTTCAAAAAAAAAAAAAAAAAAAAAAAAAAAAAGCTTAAAAAGAAAGCTAAAAAATGAATGACGAACTTTTTTGTTTCAAAAACAGAATGACAACATACAAAGCAAACAAAAAGGGATGAGAAAAAACAAACCAAAAGCAACGAGATCGGCGACGCGTGTTGCTGTTTTATAGCGCGGGGGAAGGAGAGGCCTCTTGCTGCTGGCAAAGCTGAACGAGATGCTCGTAGGGCGAGGAGCCCTTGAACGACGCAAACACGGACATGAATCGGGCCTTTTCGGAAGGAATGAGATCCTGAGAAGAGGAGGAGGAGGAGGAGGAGGAGGAGGAGGGTACAGCGGGGACGAACAAAGCAAGAACGCAGTGCTTGTGAGCCGCCACATTTGTCAAAAAAACAAAGTCTTCAACAAACAACGCAGACAGACACCGAGACGACAAGACTCACCTGATGAAGATAAAAGTCCAGGGCGGCAGAGTAAAAGAAGCGCAAATCATCGTGGTCTACCAAGCCCGGTCGACTCACAACGAGCGGGTACCTGTGTGATCAAACAACCAAAGCAAAAAGTAAACAAACACGAAGACATTCCGCACACACAAAGAAAAAAACCCATCCCAATTCCCGTACAGCGCACGAATCCACTTGTTCTGAGAAACGCTGATAAACAGACAGGTCAGGCTCCAGAGGGCGCGGGACTGGGGCTCCTTTTGCGTAAAGCTGTGCAGCGACAGAAGCACCCAGTTCTTGACACTGTCGTACTGGCGCCGCAGCTGCAGCTGGTAAAACACTGAAAAGACAATGCCCGCAAGGAGCTCGGGATGGGCTTGCTGGTTGCTGAGGAACTCGCCCATGACCGTGGAGATGATTTGCTGGGTTGGCAAAAAGTCAATCAGCAGGACGGGCACAACACGCGACACGACGCGCGCTTCGTGACGGAAGCCCTTGCGAATCTTTGAGAGGAATCCAGACACACGCTCCATGACCTGAATGGAGGGCAGCTGTTCTTCCTCGGGTTCCGAGACCTCGACCTCGGGGGCTCGGTCGTTGCTGTCAGACCCATAGTCACCAATGACAGTGCTGCTCTTGTCGGTTCCGACATACATGGCCGCCAGTGTTGCAAATAGCGCATGCTGGGCTCGCGAAAACATGCTGCTGTTGGACTTGTCCGCGCAGAGCGTTGCAATCGTCTCACGCACCTTGACACCCAGCTTGTACGAGACAAACAGACGCTCAAGGCCATTCACGGCCGCAGCAAAGACCACGTCTGACTTGTGCGCGTCGTCAATCGCAATGGTGAGCAACGCCGTGACACTGTGCGTCACGAAATCATTGTCCTCGCACTCTTTGGACGCCTGCTCGTTCATTGCGACAATGCACGAGATGATGAGCAGCTGGTGGCGCGGAACGATCGAGCGTGCAAGCGCACTCAGCAAGTATTCAAACAGGATGGGGATGAGGGCGACGACAATCGGACGCACACGGGCCTCGAGCAAGTAGAGCACGCCGTTCAGCGCTGCCATATGCATGCAAACGTGGGATGATGCGAGTGCATCCGTAACGATGCGCACAACGGTGTCGAGATGAATGTGGGCCAAATCTTGCTGCTGCTGCTGCTGCTGCTGAGGCGTGTAGTTGCCGGCTGAGACGGAGCGACCAGAACCAGCACTGTGATTGGATGCCAACGAAGGCGTGCGCGAAAGCAACGAGGCATCAGTGGCCGCGCTGCTGATGCTGCGGGTCGACACGCTGCTGGCAGAACGTGATAGTCCCGACGAGCTCTGCGCGCCAGGCACGTTCAACAAGGTTGAAGATCCACCAGGGGTACTGCTCACTCCGCTGGCACCGCCGGCAGCAGACGACAGTGGAACGGTTGCTGAAGGCAGCCAAGGCACGCGCAAGACTGCCAACGCTTTGCAAATACCAACCACCACGTGCTGCAAGACAATGACATCTTCAGCGGGATGCAACTGGTGAAACTCGACAAACGTGTTGAGCATCCACTCCCACTGGCTTCGCGTCGTGAACAGGTCGCTGAGGAGCAAAACAGCCTTGACCACCTCGCTAAGTACAAGCAGCGAGCGACCAGGACCGCCCCGCATGCGGTGTCCGAACAATTCCAGAATAATCCGCATGTACGATGACAAATCAATGGGCTTGTCACCGGCGCGCGCTGCGTCAATGTTAAACTCGGACGGACGCCACGCCGGAACGGGCCAGGTCATCTGCGCGTCCACTGCGTACGCCACGCTGCTACCCGCAACATAGCCGCTTCGCACTCCGTCAGGTCCACTGGGGTGCTGACCGACACCTGCGACAGCAGCGGCTGCAGACGAAGCAGTCCGGTGGAAGCGGGCGCGAAGCACGCTCGCAGCAATCTGGCCCGAGTACAGTCCTAACGCACCAGAGCCAAAGCCACCTGGAACACGCTCCGTATTGCTATGGAAGGCAGATGCATTCATGTCGACCAGCACGGCCAGAGGCTTGACTGGGAAGGGCACAGAGGTGGCACTCTCGCGCAGCGGATGCCACTGAGCGTCGCTGTCCATCAAGTTGCGCGCCAAAAGGAGCTTCCGTCCAGCCTTGGTGCGGAGCCACGGCATGTTGCGATCACGGCGAATGTGCTTGACAACACCCAAAGGATCTCCCGGCGTTGGCTGAGTTGCAGTTTGCAGCAGAATGGTTGTCAAGCCGCGAATGGCGACACACGTCGTGAAGACGCCTTCTCTCTGTTGGAATCAAAGGAAACAAGAAATCCGGGTTGGTGATGAGTGAGCAAATGTCAAACAAACAATTTTTCTGAGATATTCGCTATCAGCAATGAACAGCCTTTCCCGCAAACCCCACGAACCCCCGCCATCCGCCCCCGCAGCAGTACCTCAGCCTCAGCGCTCATCTCTTCGTCCGGTAGACTGGAGCCCAGCACACTGAGCAGGGACGCCCACGCCTCTTCATACTGCCGCTGGGACGTCCAGCCCAAGGCGGCCACACGCTCCAAGAAGCTAAACAGGACGTCAAAGTCTTCCAAAAACTCCGTGTCAAGAATGGTTCGGGGAATGGCGACGCCACCATCCATAATGCTGTACATGTCGTCGTCATCGTCGCCATCGCCGCCATCCATCGGTCGCCGCTGGGTGAGGGCCAGGCACTGCGCGTGGATCATGGGCAAGTCGACGCGAGCCAAACGCATCACAAGCTCGCGGAAGGACTGCAGCACAAACACTGGCTGCAAGACACGCTTGTGCAATTCAGGAATGCCGTTGCCGTGGCGAATCACGGGTGGAATTTCCAAGGCGCTGCTCAAAAGCGACACGAGTTGGGCCATCCGCTGCAATGGCTGGTTTGCGATAAAGTTCGACGAGGATGTGGCACTGGAAAGCGGCACTGGGTAGGTGGGTGAGGGCGTTGCGTTGACTTCGTTCGGCGCGCTCAACAGACCCTCGGGTGCGGTTGCTGACACAGAGCTCGAGGGCGGGGTGAACGTCGACACTTTTGCGATGGACGGCGGCGCGGAGGCAATTAGGAGCGGATGGGTTCGCGATGGGACACGCTCCTGCCGCAGCAAGGCGTGGTACAAGAGATAGGCGGCATCCATGGAAGCAGCAGCCCAACGCGCCGCTTCATGCGAGGCAAGGAAGGCCAGCACTGAGGGATGCCGCAAAAGTGTACTGTGACACTCGATAAGGATGGTGGCCTGGCCAGGAGAGGCGAGCCCTCGTCGCAAGCGTTCCACAAGCACATCGAGAACAATCGTTCCAAATATGCCAAGCGACTGAGCTTGTGCCGGAGACAGCGGCCGCAAGGGCGGAGTGGGCAACGTGGACGGTGTCAGCACGGGTAGGGCATGCTGCACAACGTTGGTGGCGGCTTGGCATAGGTCGACAAGATGCGACCACTGCGTCTCGCTCTCCGCAAGAGCGACAGCAGATGCCACGTGCGAGTCGGACTCGACGGAATCGGCGAGCAGCTTTTGCACGACCCGATCAATCAAGAGCAACGTGGCGTCCATCGCTGCAAGCAGCAGATCGCTACGGAAGAGCTGCGAGGCATTTTCGGTTGCCGTCAAGTCGCTCCACTCGTTAAAGCCCATGTCCATCGCTGCAAAGCGACTCATGACGGAATCAGCTCCAACCAGCATGCATTCGGCAAGCAGCTCGGTGCGGAACTGAGGGTGTTGCATGAGCGCAAGCAACGTGGCATAGTCAAGCTCTGACAGCGCCAGACAAGCGGTGCGAGGCGAGGCCAGCGGCAAGGTGACAACACGGTGAAGCGTGTTTGGCACGACACGGTCGCTGGGTCCCACAGCGGGCGGAAGCGAGGTAATGCACCGGACGAGCTCGGCAAACTGGTCACGATCGAGATCGGAAATTGCCAGCGGCAAGTCCACTGGAATGGTCGACGCGGTGAGTACCGAAACGCTCCTGGCGCGAGTATCAGAAGAGGGCGACTGTTGGAGCGGAGAGACCTGGGGCGGGGTGCCGTTTGCAGTTGCCGACGCGGACATTGAGGCCAACTGGCCTTGAACCGACGCGTAAGATGTGGCCACCATCTGCGAGCGCTGCATGGCACGCAGCAGTTTGTCATGGACCAGGCCAACAAGCTGCAGATAGTCTGCATCGCCAACAGAACGGGTTGCGCGCACTGTCTTGACAACCTCTTCAAGGAGACGCGCGCATCGAGTGCGCAGGTAGGGATGGTGCGAAGCGGCCAGTTGATCAATCACAAAGACTGCCAGCTCAACGCTGGGCTTGAGTTGCGAAAGACAGTCAATGTACATGCGCAGATCGCGGAGGCTGCAGGTCATGTGCAGCGGCCAGCGCTTTGTTGCGGCGCTGGCATCGGCAGCAGCCTTGGCCACGGCATCCGCCTCGGCTGCGGCCAGCTCGGCAAACGGATTTGATTTGCTCCACGCAGAGTGATTCGTCTGAGCCACGCCGACAGCTGCAATCACAGCCTCAGAGAACGAGCCAGTGGTGTCTGCAAGCGACTTGACAAAAGTGACAGAGAGCCACGCGCTTTCTCGGACGGCAGCCAGGATGACCTTGACCTCGGGCATGTCGGAAAAGCGCACAAGCTCGCGACACCAAGCAGACGAGGACACAATTTGGCCGAGCTGCGACTGCACCAGAGAGACCGAGAGCTGCTGCTCGTGACTGTGGGTGGCTGACGCCTGCCAAACGGCAGCAGCGCCAGATGACTCTTGGTGATTTCGCAGTACCTGGTGGCTTTGAAGGACGGAGGCCATCCGCGAGTACCAGAAGCGGAAGGCTGCACGATGGAGTACGCTCTCCGAGGCGTTTACAATCTCGGCCACCGCATTGGCGTCGGTACCGCAGACCCACTCCCAGGCGGCCAGCGAGAAGCCACCCTGGTCGTCGGCGTTGGTCCAGCCACAAACAACCATCAGCTGGAACCAGTGCAGCACAACGATCGGCTCATGTCGCCCTTGCCTGCAGATCAATCCGTGGACCATGTAGACCCACTGCGGGTCGAGATGCCGCAGCGAGCGCTGGAGCTGCGGGGCAATCGCGGACGTTGTGAGCAAGAACAGCGTGTACTGCAGCAACTGGCCAAGCAGCCAGCATGAGGATCGAGACACAATCAATTCGGACGCAAGCTGGCCAGCCACGCGCCCAATCACATCGAAAACCATGACAACCAGCACGTCTTCCGTTGTGGCAGTCTCGGGGCTCGACGACAAGAAGGATTTGGCGTAGCGAGTCACATCCAGTTGCTCGAGGGCGAACGGCTGCAAGGTCGAAGAGCTCACTGCACGACATATGGCGCGCAGCAGGCCGAGAATTGGCGGAATCCAGGTAAGAACGGACTGGGAAGCAGACGCACCATGCCCTGAATGGACTGGGGCGGTCGCGGACGACGTTGCATCCAGATGGCCAGGAAGCGTGCTTGCGATCGGCGACTCTGTCGAGGCGGCTGGCGTTGAGGACTGCTGCAAAAGCGGATTGCTCAGCGACACGACATTGAAAAGCCCTCGCAGGAGCAAGGCCGCGGGCCTCAACGCGGTGGGCGAAATGGTATCAATGAGGTTGCAAAAGTTGACAAGGTGCGCTTGCTTGCCGAGCTGAAGCTTGCCCTGAGCCAACGGTGGCAGGAGCGTCTCCATGATGGACTTGGAGACACGGGCGTAGCGATCAAGGTCGCACGATCGCAGCGCGCGGAGAATCAGCGTCAGCATGCGCAATGCCGGAGTGCGGGTTGCATGACGAAGCAGCAGTCGCAACAGGCTTTCGCGATGGACGAGCCAATCTGCCTCTTTTCTCGAACGCTGCTGAGCGGGGCCCTGCTGACCAACGGAGGAGGAGGAGGAGGAGGACGGGGCTGACGTGCCATCCGTGTGCGCCATATTTCGTTGCCGCTCTTGCTCTTGTTGGTGCGCATAGCGAATAGCGCCTGGCGACAAGAAGAGCTCTTGGACGAGAGGCTGCACTGCAAGCAGGGCGCGGTCGAGGTCGAGGAAATCACAAGCCGTGCTCCGCTCGACAAGGGTCATCAGCTTGTTCATGTCCATCACGTCGCGAAGAGAGGGTTGGTCGCGCGACAGCAGCAGGAAGAATTGGAAAATGAACGGCAGCAGAGACTCGGCGTCACGCAACCGGCCGGCCAACATGTGGTCAAACTGCTTCAGAATGAACAGAATAAACGCATTGTCGTTGTCGAGAAGGGAGTAATTGACCCGGAGTTCGACCAATTGACAAAGCAGGAACAGGATGCTTTGCTGCAGCGGGACGGAGCTTGTGCTCCAGTACTGATTCATGGCGGTCAGGACAAGGGGCTCAAACAAGCGGACCAGCCCTTGAATGGCGCTCTTTTCAACTTTGGCAGGCGGGCGGATGGGCAGCTGCTGGCCATAGGTCAAGGGAATGGCAGTGCCGGCGACGGGAAGCGCAATTCGCGCGACTGAAATGGGCGACATGGCAGCTGCCACCGTGCTGGACGATCCAGTCGCGTGGGTTTTTGCCAAAAATGACGGAGGTCCGTCAAAGATGCTCGCACCAGCTCCGTGCGAAGACAACGCGCTGGATGTTCCGGTATTGAACGACGAGTTTCGACTCACGCTCGGGGAAGCTGGTGCAGAATCAGCGCCGACAGACGAGCCGCGTCGGGAGAGAGACGACCCCACTGACAGAGACGCCGTGGAGGCCGCCACCGCCGTGTTGAGCATGGCTGACAATGGCCTGCCAGTGTGTGGTGCAGGCTTGGCCGCTCCTGTTGGCGCAGCAGACGTGGCAGCATCGAGCGCCGCATTGTGCGTTGCGTGCACCAGATTGACTCTGGAGGTCGTTCGGACCTTGGTTGTTGAAGTGGCAGCCGTGGCTGCCACCGAGGGCGTGGAGGACGCGATCGTTGGGCGCTGCGGAGGGGCAACGTCCAGCGACTGGCTCAAAACCTTGGTTGGAAGTTCAAACACGGTGCAAAACACAGACCTAGGGTCGAGTGTGACGGTGGCTGGCTCATTCAGCTGCGCCACGAGCGCAGATTCAGAGCCGACAAACAGAGAGGGAATGGGCCGCACCTTGGCCGTGTCTGCGCCAAAGAGACACCACAGCAGCTCGTGGACGCAGAGCAGCACGGCGGCAGGCTCGACGGTGATGACCGTTTCGAGATACTGAATGATTTCTTCCGCGTACGCGGCAGCGTGGTCGCGGCCCACCACGCGAACCAACACGGCAAGCGTTTCCAGGGCAGCGCAAGTGATTTGCGTAAACTTGTTCGGCGCGCTGAGGTCCAGCGTGACCAGCGACGTCTCAAAGGTGCTGTACATTGTTTCGTACAAGCGCAGGCATTGATCAACATGTGCAAAGTCGCCGAGAGCACCCGACAAGAACTGTTGTTGATGTTGTTGTTGTTGTTGCGGTAGGTGTTGCTGTTGTTGTTGATGCTGCTGCTGCTGATGCTGTTGAGCTTGCTGCCCGTGTTGCAGCTTAGGTGGACCGCTGGCGGGCAAGCCTTGCGCTTCCTGCTCTTGGGCCATCTGTTGTTGAAACCGCGACTGCATCACTGCACTCTGCAAGTGAACATTGGCGTGGCGATGGGCCCCAGTGACAGGCTGCATGGGTGAGTTGCCCAGATCTGGGGTCGGGATGTGATGAGGCGAGGCCGTGCCGCCAACAGCGTACGGAACGCGAGGAGGCGTGCTTGGAACTGCAGACGATGGTTGAGTCGCGTCAGAGTTTGACACTGCGGTTGCCGAGTGGTGCAAGGCCGTCTCGCGCAAGCTTTCCTTCCGCTTGGCTTGCTTTTCCTTGTCTTTGCGCTCTCGCTTCTCCTCCTTGTCGCGCTCTTTTTCCTTGACCTTGAGCGAGTCAGGGGCCGAGAAGGAAGACGCAGGCACGCCCCGGATGACGTGCGCAGCCATGTTGATGATGCGCAGCGAGTGCACGAGGATGGCTTGCCAAAAGGGTGCGATGGCAACCATGTCGGCATCGCGGATGAGATTCGCAATGACGTACAGCACGTCAGCGTGCGCAGACAACTCGAGTCCAATCCACGATGTCGAGAGGTGATCCAAGGCCAACGGCACAGTGTCGCCAATGCAGTCAGTGATTGACCGAGTGGTCTCGGGGGCTCGAGCGACACCTGGCGCAAGAGACAGCCAATCGGCCAACGACGCGTTTCCGTGCTGCGCTGCAAAGCAACGGAAGGCAACGTACAGACCGGTCAGCATGTGCCGGGAAGGCGCTGCGACGAGCCGCTCAACCAACATGCGCATCACACGGGTCAAGTTTGCACGAGCTCCCGCGTATGTGTGGTCTGCAGGGAAATGGCCAGCCGGTGCGCTCGACAGGGAGGAAAGCACAGATGGGTTGGCAAACGGCGACGAGGAAGGGAAGGCGGCTCCAGAGTTGACGCCAGTGGCACCGCTTCCTCCCGTGCCTCCGCTATTGGCGCCTCCTCCAGCTGCGCCACCGCCACCAGCACCAGCGCCGCCGCCACCGCTTGACCCGCTGCTACTCGGGGCGTTGGAGGCGAATGAGAGCTGCGGCCAGGACATGAGCTCGGCGGCACTCACATCTTCGACCGACACCAAGCTGACGTAGCGAATAGCATCTGTGTGCATCAAGGCATCCACAGGGGTCTGGTTTGGCCAGTCAGCGCGGAAGAAGAGGTGCGGGGTCATCCGTGCCAGCTGCGACGCGGCGTGATCGCGCACGCGCCCATCATCGTCTCCCAACAGCGAGACGACAACATCGAGTGCGTCAGCTTGGTAGTTTGGCAGGCCAGGATACTTGGCGCGCACACCGAGGGCCAGCAAATATGGCGTGTCCACGCTGTTACCGTCGGCCTGGGTGTCGATACCAGCCACCGATTCGCCAGCCCTGGCGCCCGGTGTTGTCTCGGACAAGTGGTGCATGTCTTTGATCTTGTCCTCGAGGCATGCGACAACCTTCCAGTCGAGGCTGGCGAGAACCGAGATCAAGTCCACCTTGACCAACCAGTACGCATCGTTCCGAAGAGCACAGACCGCGTGCAGCATGTCCAAGCCAATGACGCCGGCCGAGCATGACAGGATTGACGGAAGACATTGGTCAATGGCGCTGCATGCGAGGCGGCGAACGGTCGAGGATGCGTCGCTCAGCAACAAGACGAGCAAATCGCACAACGAGCGGAATGTCGGCCGCGGAAAAGTGTCATGCAAGAGAGACGCGAGCGCAGCATGGTGCGCTCCAGATGCAAGCATTCGCTGGAGCTGCGGCTCTTGTTGCTGCTGCTTGAGTTCTTGCTGCAGGAGGTACTTGCGTTGGTGCGACGCGCGCAATGCAGGATCGGCTGCATATCGTTCCTCATTTTCCGGTGTCGGAGTGGGAAGGGTGACGAGCCCAAAGCTATGAGCAATGACAAAACCGCCCTGGCGCAGCGTCGAGCTGATAAAGGAGCCCAAGATGAGACACACATGACCGCGGAGCAACGGGTCGCTATGGGTCAGATAGCAGAGCACCTGGTACACGTAGCAGTCGTGGGTCAGCTCGGACGCACCCGCCTCCGGAGCGGGCGATGCGGGAGGTGCAGGGGCGGCGCCTTTGGGCAACGGCAGTGGCAATGTTTGGACAGAAAGCCGCGTGTAAAACACAGACGGATCGACAAGAACCACCTGGGCCAAAGCGGACAGGGCCAGCGAGCGCACAGAGATTCGGATGGGCTTGAGAGTGGCCGGGTCGCCAATGAGGAAGGAGCAAATTCGGCAGACAATCTTCAGCAAGGCAGGCAGTCCAACAACTCGAACTTCACCGGTGGTGGTCGTGGGGCCAGCGGAGGACTCGCTCGCAGACACGGGGGCGCTCTTGGCTGATTCGGTGGGCGGCGGCACAAGCGGGTTGCTCCCAGCAGCGAAAAAGACGGCTCCAAACATGTCGTGCGGTGTGATTCGAAGCAATGTCTGCAACAGTTCCAGCGTGGACGTGACGATATTATGGTTGGGGTGCACGAGGCAGGCGAGAATCAGCGCAGTCAACCGCGGGCCCAGGCCGCCACGCAGCGCGTCTGCAGCGACATTAATGTCGGCAGCCACGGTCAGCACATACCGCAAACCGAGCAGGAGTCCCAGAATTCGGTTCGGCAAGCCAATCGCATCGTCGACAGCCGGTGCGTTGGCGGAAACGCGAGGTTTGAATGGAAAGTCTAGCAGGGCCTTGACGGTGTCGTGAATGAGGGCGCCGGGGCTTTTGGCGTTGCGACACAGACAGGCGATCGAAATTGCTGCAGTGCGTCGAATGACAGAGGAAGGGCCGCCAATGCTGTACATGAACAGCTCTACCAATGCCGACATGTCTGCCTGAGCGAGATGGGGCGCAAACACAAACAGCAGCTTTTGAATGCAAGCGGCCAGCGTTTCCTGAACGGCCTCATCGTTGCGCTGGATCACACGCGTCAGCGCTGGCAACAGCGAAGTCACAAACATTTTGTGCTTGGAGGGCTTGATGAGATGCGCGAGGTCGGCAAACTTTGTGAGGGCGGTGCGTAGTGACCGAGATGGGGCGTTGAAATTCTTGACCTCCTTGAAGATTTCCACCTATACGAAATGCAGAAAGAGAGCTCATCAGAGTGAGCACCAGAAAACGCGAGAACGTTTGTGAGGGGAGAGGCGGGGGGGGGGAGAGAGACAAAGCTACCTGAACGCGAGCAAGGTGAAAGTCCATCACCGACTTGATGATGCGATTCAAACTTTCATCGGCGGCTGTGCGCACATCCGTTTCCGCATCATTCAAACCATGCATGAGACCTGAAGCAGCCAGCCATCGAATGTGCAGTAAACAGTGAGAAACAGACGCAACATCCGTATTGGCACAAATGACATCAACCACAGATGTCAATACCTGCGACAGCAACTGCGAGAATCTTTGGGAAATCGTTCGGAGCTTTCTGAGGTGCCGCGATGGCGAGTTCGCAGAGCGTCTTGCAAGCAGCAGCCCGTTCTGCGCGAGTCCTACTAGCGGATGCTTGAGCTTGAGTCTGGGTCGTGCTTGCCGATGACGATGACGATGACGACGACGACGACGACGACGACGACGATGCCGAGCTGGACGACTTGACAACATTTCGAGCTGCTTCAAAGAAACCCGAACTGAACAAGCAGAAGTCGTCAAGATCACAAAGTGTCGTTAGAAATCAACATTGAAACGAAAGCACAAACACACCCCGCCTCCGACTCAACCATGCTATTTCCGACATGGATCCAAGCAGATTGGGGTCGGGTGTCTGAGCACTTGAGCCATCTCTTTCTCGGAAGTTTGGCGGCTTTACCTGCGTTTGCGTTGGTCGGACTGCGACCGGGCGACGCTCGCTCCGGCTGGGTTTGGGCCAGTTGCACCACGAGGACCTCCGCCCGGCGCAATGCCAGTGACTGCGGCGGAGACGATCGTCGCAGAGTCCGTGTATGTTGCGCCGTTCGGGGCGAGCAGCTCGTACGCTCGCACAGCGCGATCCGCGGACGTCGCCGCCAGCGCAGCAAGCCCAGCCGCAGGGCCACTGCTTGCCATGGGATGCTGCTTGTCTGAGGAAGAGGCGGAGATGGGCAGAAGCACAGATGGACGATGAGCAATGGCAAACACACACACAAACTGAACGCGCAATGCTAAACTCACTCCAAAAAAAAAAAAGAAAAAAAAAAAAAAAAAAAAAAAAGGAAAAAGGATTGGGCATTTTATCCATCTCATGCGAACAAACAAAATCGAGCAAAGCCAAACTAGTATTAAACGCAGTCAAAATAATTTGTATTTGCAAGATCAAATGGATCGCATGCGACTGTGCCAACTTTTTTGTTTTTGTTTTTGTCGGGCAAGTTTACGGGAGCCAGAACGAGCTGCTGCTGCTGCGGCGTGAGGTGGCGGGAGCTGGGGTGGCTTCGGAATCTCCATTCAAGGCTATTCTGAAGGTGGTTGTGGACTGGGCGAGTTTGCCGGGAGAGCTGTGTGCAACCTCATTGAAATAGCGAAGGAAGGTCGTGGCTTTGGTGCGAACGTTGGCCATTGCCGCAGTCGCCTCAGCTAATGTCACATTGACCTCGATATAGCCAGTGTTGCTGGCGCCGGCAACGATGCACCGAGTTGCTGGCGGATGGCCCAAGCGGCGAAAGTACGGGTCGTTGTTGAAGGCATCCAGGTACGCGGCGACTTGATAAGTGTATCGTTCTTGAGAGCGCGACATGTCTTCCCCGAATGTTTTCCAATCAACGATGGTCCACTGGCCGTCAACTTTGGCGACGCAGTCGATGGTACCGGCGTACCCCAATGTCGGATGGACGACGACCGTTTCGGCGAAACTGACATCGGAAATTCGATCACCAATCTCGCTCCATATTCGAGCGACCATAGAATCAACCTCTAGCTGGGTGTCGGCCGGTGGTGACCTGAGGTCGTGCGATCGTTTCTCTGGCACAAACTGGACGTTCTCCACGTTAGTTTTGCAAGGCTCCTTTAGGTTGAACATTTGTCTGGACGGCTGCATGTTTGGGAAGAGCGCTCGGACACGATTTTCGAGGGCCTATAGGCGATGCAACCCACCCACACGCACAATACACACAAGCCAAACACACACACAAAAAAATCGACCGCGAGGAGCGAAAAGTGAATTTCCCTCACCACACATCCCTCAAAACAAATCCCTCAAAACAAATCTCTCAACGTCTTCCCAAATCAAGCCCAAAGTGTTCACAATGACCTACCTCATGCACCCAGGTGCCTCGCATCATGGCATCGGTCGACAGCCTGGCTTCCGTCGAGAGAAGGCCGACAGACTTGGTAGTTACGGCAGAGAGCACAGTCGATACTGACGGCATTGCAATCATGCAAGCTTCTGTTGCTCCGTTTGGGTTTTGTCCGATTGGAAAGGCATAAAACCGAGCACTTGTCCGGCCAGTTGCGCCACCAAATCGAACCGATCCGCGGTAGCACACCCTGGACTCGTCCGTGTCCGTTGCGTATACTTCCGCCAGCGCATTCCTCATCCATTCGTTCTCCATGAGCTGCACAGTCGTGCTTGCACCCAATGACGTTGGCAAGTCCAGAGCACGACCCGTGTCCTTTTCATATTTTCCAAACGACTCTGCGAGCTGATCCTGCATCCAATTGTAGTCCAGAATTGCCCGATCCGCGGATGACTCTTCCCATGTCGTCGCGCTACTTGACGTCGCCGTTGGAGCTTGAGATGGGTTGCTGGTACGAGTAGAAGTAGTAGTTGTAGTAGTCGTACCATTCGTTGCCCTTGCCATTGTTTCGTGTCTTGGCGAGTTCCCGCCTGCCTGCTGCTCTCCCATCATTGTCGTCTTCGTGGTCGCCGCCGTCACTTGAGGATCCCGCGGCAGTTTGAATGGCGACCTGTCCTCTTGGAGCTCCCGCATGACGCTGGCGGGCGGCGGCAACCTCGCCCCGGCAGCGGCAATCTTGCTGGCCTTCTTTGCCGAGACGAGTGCTTGCATGTCAAGCGTGTCCATCGCGCTGAATGTGGGTCGCGCAATGTGCACAATGCGACTCACCGTCGGCGCGACGACTCGAGCGAGCGACGCAGGCAATTGCAGCATAGTAGTGATTTGACGTTGAAGTGCGCGACAGCGACAGGAGACAGTTGAGCAAACACCAAACGACTGAGCCAAACAAAACAGAAAACAACCAAATATCGAGCATGGATTTGCATGACAATGCAACATTGAAAACGAGGTGGAGCAGCAGTTGGAGGTGAGGGGGGGGGGTGGGAACCGTTCTTGAAGGATTAGTCTCAGAGAACTACTTTGAGCTTGGTTTGTTCTGAGCTTGTTTGTTCTGAGCTCTTTTCCCCCAGACAATTTTCAATCTCACTTTATTCAATCTCTTTCAATATCCAGTCTTTTTTTTTTGTTCTCTTTGTGAATTGTTGAATAGGGCAACATCCGAAGATGGCTGAGCTGGCTGAGAACGAGGACTATGTGATTCTGACGCCAGAGACGCCGTTGCTGCCTGAATCCATGCTCGCAGACACTCCGTCGCAGCAAGACGGCATCGACGTTGCACTCGAAGAGGATCTCCGCTTGCTTGGCTGCGAGCTCATCCAGACGTGCGGAGTGCTCCTCAAGCTGCCTCAGGTAACGATCAACAGTTTGAGCCTGCTCCTCTTGCTGTCATACTACTCACTGTCGAACATTTCCCCTACTCCCCGTTCTTCGTCTCTGTTGGATTCTTGATCAAACCTGGTCGACTCGATCTTGTCGTGGACGCTCTGGGCTGGTCTGGTCTGGTCTGGGCAGGTGGCGATGGCGACCGCGCAGCAGCTCTTCCAACGCTTCTTCTACAAAAAGTCGTTCATGCGACATCGCTACGATGTCACCGCAATGGCGTGCCTGTACCTCGCTGCCAAGATTGAGGAAAACCCAAGACGCATTCGAGACCTCATCAACGTGTTTCATCACGTCTTCCAGACAAAGCTACGGCGCACAGCACAAGCCATCGCTGCTGCCACGGCAGATTGCACTAGTGCGCCCGCGTCGTCCTTCCGACCGGTACCGCTTGATATCGCGTCGGAAATGTACCTCGACACTCGGGGTGCCATCATCACGGCAGAGCGCAGGGTGCTCAAGGATCTCGGATTTTGCGTTCACGTAACGCGCCACCCGCACAAACTGCTTCCAACCTACTGGAATACGTTGGGCTTGCAAATGGATTTGATGTGTACCGAAGAAGACGACAACAAGGCCGACAAGTCTTCCAACGAGAGGGAGGGCGAGCACGACCAACCACAACAACAGCAGCAACAACAACAGCAGCAACAACAGAAACAACAACAACAACAGGAAGAAGAACTTCTTCTTCCCGTATATGTCGCGCCGCCAGTCTCCATCATCCAGCGCGCGTGGAATTACATTAATGACAGCATGCGCACCAATGCATGTGTGCGCTTTTCTCCAGAAACAATTGCATGTGCCGCGATTCATCTAGCTTGCTGCAAGGAAGGCATTGCGCTTCCACTCAATCCCCCGTGGTGGGAGGCGTTTGATGCGAAACTCGAGGATATCAACACCATCTGCCGATTGCTGTTGACTCTATATCGTCGCCAACGGCGGCCCATCCTCGAGATCGAACAGCGGCTTGCCACAGTGCTCGCCCGCGCCAAAAACATGGCCTCGTATCCTCTGCCTGTTCACGTTTCCATGAAGATGCCGACAGCTGCCGCTGCCATTCCCCGATCGGAATCCCCATCCGCCCAACAAGCATCTCCGGCAGGAGTGAGCGCGCACCAAAAGCCCCCCGCAGCTGAAAAAGTAGCCGAGAACCCGTCCGAACCGTCAGCTCCAGCTTCGGCCGTTGCAGGCGGCGAAGCTCTCCGTTCCAGTCGTCGTCGTAGCCGAAGCCGTAGCCCCAGCCGCAATCGCAGCCGTAGCCGTAGCCCCAGCCCCAGCCGCAGCCGCAGTCGCAGCCGCAGTAGATCCCCTGGGCGACGACACCGAAGCAACAGTCCTGGTCGAGGCCACTCTCGTCCAGACGACCGAAAACGGGACAGTTCTCGCCATGATCGCCACCGAGAGGATCGCGATCGTGACCGTGGTCGAGATTCGTACGATCGATCCCGATCGAGGCATTCTGCCTACGACCGCGACCGCGAAGATCGAGGCCGAGAGCGCGAGCACGAACGTGAGCGAGATCGATACCGGTCTCGCCGATAGTGCTGGTTTACTTGTTGAAATACATTCCGTTCTATCGCATTTTGGCAGTTGAGTCACGCTAGTTCAAGGCGAAATTGTATGTTGATCCTGTAGAACGTCCCCACGACGCCGGCAAAGAAGTTTGTGTTTTTCATGCGGTCACGCTATTCGCAACATTGGTACTCTATTCAGAGTATGCGCAGATTGACAAATTGAAACAACAAGGGGATGCGGGAAAGAGTTACAAAAGCTGTATTGGATTGTGCACGACAGCCCCGACCGACGAATACTAGCAACAGCATCCACAGGCTCAGTTTTATCTGTCCGAGTCACTGCCAGAATCGGAGCTGTATCGACGACGACGATCAGATCGCGAGCGAGACGAATGGTGGGATCGGCTGTGACTTCGGCTGGAGGAGCGATGGCGATCATCGCGACGACGATCGTGCTTTCTACGGCCGGGTGAACGCGAGCGCGAGCGAGACCGCGAGCTCGACGGGGAGGGGGAGCGTGAGCGCGAAGGCGAGCGTGAGTAGGATCGAGAACGGCGTTGCCTGCTTGAAGAATGGCGCCGAGGTTCACGCGAACTTTCCCTCTCTTGCTCATTTTCGTCGTCGCTGACCTGGCCCTCCTGATATCAAGAACAACATACAAGCATCCCGCGTGAGTACTAGGAGGACAATCACAAAACAACCAACGGAGGGACACAACCGCGCCTTCTTCTCACCTCTTGATTTTCAATCTGGTGGATTGTTCGAGCCATCAGCTCAAGCCGCTGCTCGTCCGTGGGAATGACCAGGAAGGCAGGATTCTGACCAAACCTTTGAACAATCTCGTCGTAGGTAGAGCTCGCGCTCAGCGGTGGATTGGCACCACGGAGCATTTTCATGAACGCTTTCGCGCGCTTTTGCTGGCGCAGTTCATCGAGGCGCTCTCGTTCGGAAGTTTCCGCCTTTGCCTTTGCGACCAACTGCAAGTCACGGAAGAAGCGAAACAACACCAATAAAGAAGCAGCAGCAGCAGCAGCAGCAGCAGCAGCAGCAGCAGCAGCAGCAGCAGCAGCAGCAGCAGCAGCAGCAGCAGCAGCAGCAGCAGCGACAACAACATCAACAACAACAACAACAGTCAAAGTCAGTCTTGTGCCAAAATCAGCATTACAATCCATGCACTATGCCACGATACAACTGCGCGACTCACCTGAGAGTGAATAGAGGCGAGGTTCGAGCTGCTCAACGCCTTCAATCGTGGATCCGACGCGGCGAGTGTGAAAAAGTCCTGGAAGCTGGATGTGGCGGTGATCTCCACGCGCAAATCCTGCAAAACCAAAAGTATTTCATCGTCGTGGTACGTTAGAATCCGATCGCGGGCTGAGCACTCGTGAACCTAAATTTTGAAAAAAAGAAGAAAAGAATCAACCACTCAAGTTCTACAAACCTTCAGCGTCGTAATGACCAACTGGCGTTCTTGCTCTGCTTTCACTTGCAGCTTCTCCAAATGAAGCTTGAACAAATCCAAGGCAGACGAGCAAGATGACAAAGCGAACGGTGCTGCAGACAACGGCAAGACGGCGGTAAACCGTGGCTCAACACGCAGCGCAGAATACACGTCCTTCCATTTGGAGGTGGCCGAAATGATGCCAATGTTCTCGAGCTCGTCGAGCAAAGCCTACAACAACAGCACACGCAAAAGCACCCGGAATCAAAGAAGCAAGAAAAAAAAAAAAAAAAAAAGACAGAAAAAAAAAAAGCCACCACACGTTATGAATAAACGGGACGTTTTCACTCGAGGAGCAACCTCTCACAAAACTTCAAACATTTCCACTGACCTGATAGCCATCGCGGATTTTGCGCTGCTCGCGACGAATGACATCGCGCTGACCACGGTTCACCTGTTCTTGCTCTTTCTCGTGCTCGGCAATCGCTTCCTGGAAGCACTGCAAGAGATCCAGATTGAGCAGTTGTCGAATCGGGTCCTTCTCGGGCAGCGTGTCTTCAAACGTTCGAAAGTGTTCGTAGGCCTCGGCCCACAGCGTGCGGAAGGAAAAGTTGGGGATTTCAGCGTACATCTTGCTGACACGCGCCAGCGACTCGGTGCGCTGGATGCGGGCTTGCTCACGCTCGCGGTCGCGGATGACAGACATGGCCGCCTCGAACGCCTCGCGTCGCGAGGAATCGCCTTCAACCGCTCGGAACACTGGCAGATCGCGGAACTGGGTTGCCGCGTCTTGCCAGTGCAGCCGAGACGAGATCTGTGGGGCCTTTTCAAAGAAGGTGCGCAGCTCTGCGCGTGCCAGCTTTTGGCGGCGATAGCTCTCCTCCTTCTCCTCCTTGACACGGACCGTCTTGTACTCGTTCAAGGCCTGCTTGCGTTCGCCGGGAGTCTTGAGCAAATTGAGCAGCGGATCGGTCGTCAGCTGCTTGAGCGTATTCTCCCACGTCCACGTCGAGCCAATTCCTCGCTCGCGCAGGACTTCCTTGAAGAGTCGCTTGGCATCCGCAGGGGAGACGCCCAGCGAGTCCACCGTGGCGTTCGGCGCGGAAAAGCGCTCTCGCATCTTCCGCAGCTCTGCCCTTGCTTCTTCCGAGATGGGGACGACAATTTCCGGCAGCGACGAGGCACCAAAAGAGGGGTCGAGGGAGGGCAGGGCGCCAGCAGACGCGGAGGAGGTTGGTCCACCAGCAGCACTTCCAGCGGCGGCAGCGAGGTTTGGAGCCTGGCCACCACCGACAGTCGCCAGCGGTTCGACTCCCGTCATTGGGGCCATCTCGCCGTGAGCTGCACGCGCGGGACCCCCATCGGCAGCGACTGGAGGCAGCATCGGGGCGACAACGGCAGGAGGTCGTGCATCCGCCTCGGCTTTGAGCTGCGCGATGCGCTCCCGTGCGACCTTGAGCTGCTCAGGCAACGTCCACGTCGTCTCCTTGGTCTGCTTGTTGTGGTAGTAGGGTCGGCCCTGGTCGTTCTGGTGCTCCGTCCACGGAATATCCGCCAGCACGCGCTCCTCGATCGTCTTGAGCTCGTTCGGCTTCTCCCACACAGACTGCTTTGTGATTGCGTTGTGCCAGACACCCGCGGCAGGCATCTGTTGCTGCTGCTGCTGTTGCGGCGGCTGGCCAAGCAGCGCAGGCGCAGCGCCAAAGCCAGCTGGTCCGATCGGCGCTGGCCGTCCCGATCCATACGCCACGGGCTGCGAGACGATTTGATCCAGTCAATCAGTGAGCAAGACAGAACAAGACACAAGCAGCAAGCAGCAAGCAGCAGCAGCAGCAGCAAACAGGGTGAGCGATGGGGTTTGAGAGAGTGACGTTGGAGCATCGATCTTCTCATCCCATCCAGCACAACAAGGCCCAGGCCACGCCGAAACACCATCCTCCACAAGCAGCATGCAAAAAAAGGAGTTGCGTTACCGGGCCCATGGAGAACGGCCGGATGCCCTCGAGCTGCATGGCTGGGCCAGGTGGAGCAAAGTCAGCAGACGGGATTGGAGCCCAGCCACCTGCGCCTGCTGCAGCTGGGGGCATGCCGCCCATGTGCATTGGCATCTGCTGGTGATGCTGGTGCTGCTGGTGATGCTGATGCTGCTGCGGAGGGAAGGCGGGCGGGAGCGGGAAGAGGCCGTTCGGACCCGGCGGCGGCATTGGAAAGAGCGGATTCATTGTGCGTCTCAGAAGCAAAGCACAAAGAAGTACTGGTACGAAAACAATAAGTGAGCACTGAAACAGTTTTTCAATCGTGCAATGCAAGTTCAATGCAAGTCGGAGCAGAATCCAGGCGTTTGGATCGAGTTTGAGCCTCCAGTACAGGACGGCACAGTAGGAGATTGCTTCTCAATGCATCTCCGAATGTAATGCTGGATCGTTTCTCAATGCATCTCCCAATGCAATGCTTCTCAATGCATCTCCTATGTAAACCCGTCACTCTTTTTTTTTTTTTTTTTGTGATTTTTTGACAGCACAATGGCGAGCAACATTTGCCCTCGATGCACCAAAGCAGTCTACATGGCTGAAGAGATCCTCGCCTGCGGTAACAAAGCAAAAACAATCTCCTCTCACTTTATGTGTCTCTCGCTTGCTTGCGATCATCCTCTCTCGCTCTATGGAGCGAAACGCGAGAGAATGAAAATCTCACTGTTTTTTTTTTTTATTATTGTTGCTTTTGCTTTGCTTTTTTTGACAGGCCACAAGTGGCACAAGGCGTGCTTCCTCTGCAAGGTGTGCAACAAGCGCCTCGACAGCACCACTGCCACCGACAAGGACGGCCAGGTCTACTGCAAGAGCTGCTACGGAAAGTAAGCACGACAATGCAAAACAAATACAATTCAATACATTTTTTTTTTAATTTTTGGCTGACTCGATTGCTTTGGCGCTTCTGTTTTGGCAGAGAGTTCGGACCCAAGGCAAGTGCATTTCGTGATTTCAAGCTGATGGGATGAGCTGCTCCCCCACTTCTTGCAGGGAGACAAGCCAACCCCCCCCCCCAGCCAACCAAACAAAGGGAAACGAAAAAAAAAAAAAAAAAAGGACCAGCATTCCAAAGAGGGAAAGCGATTTGGCATTGAAATGCATTGTTGGATTTTGGATGCTGGGTTTTTGCTGTTGACTGCTGGGTGGGTTGTGGCGATGAGTGCGTTCGATTGGAGTGACCAAAATGCAAAAGAAGAGCCAAAGCGAAGGGCGGGAAGAAGTCGAGAGAGAGAGAGAACCAGTGTTTTGCGGTTGGACAAGAAAAAAAAAAAAAACGATGGTGACCGCAAAAAACACATAGCCATTCAAAAGACTCACCAAGCATCTCTACACTAACGCCTCGAGGAGTGGAGGGGTGGAGGGGTGGAGGGGTGGAGGGGAAAGTGGGGTTTGAGGGATGGAGAACGTTACTCACTTCCAAACGTTTGTCGCTTTAACTGATAACCACAGGGCTACGGCTATGGCGGTGGCGCTGGCACCCTCAGCATGGACAACGGTCGCCAGGTCGGCGGCTCAGCAGCCGGTCCCGCCAGCTCGGGCCCCACCGTCGACGAGGAGGGTCGCATTGTGAACGTCTCGTCGGGCGCGAACGGCGAGTGCCCTCGCTGCGGCAAGGCCGTCTACTTGGCCGAGAAGGTATATGCCTTTACCGCGTTGGTTTTTGATGCTGCATGGCGTGCGTTGATGTGCAGTTGACTGACAAATCCGTTTCCTGTTGCTTTCCGTTCGCTTCCGTTTGTCCAGATCATTGGCGCTGGTAGCTCATGGCACAAGTCGTGCTTCATGTGCGCCAACTGCCGAAAGGGTCTTGATTCGACCACAGTGGCTGACAACAGTGGTCAGATCTACTGCAAGTGAGTTACCCGTTCAATCATTCCAGACGAACTCGTTTTTTTTTGGTTCCAACTGTTGCACTTAACTTGTCATGTTCTTTCTTCTCTACCTCTAGGGCGTGCCACGGCAAGTTCTTTGGCCCGAAGGGCTTTGGCTACGGCCAGGGCGCTGGGTGAGTTTATGCTTTTCTGGTTGAATTTTGTTGAATTTTGTTGAATTGCAATACCGTTTTTGTGTGCTCACCGTTCGTGTCTCTGCACTTCTGTCCTTCGTTTACAGTGCTCTCACCAACACTCAATGAGATTTCCGTCAACACTTGAGGGCCCCTCTTCCGTCGTGACAATTTCGGTTGCTGTAGTTTCGGCTTTCGTCTGTGATGCTTTGTTCCCAAACGAACCGAGATTTTTCAACTGAAAGCAATCCATCTGCAATCCATCTGAGCCTTCCGATTGGAAACAAATGCCTCGGCTTGAACTGCGAGCGAACGTCGTTGCCTGAGGTTGTTGACCGGGTCGATTGGTAGTCTAGCCTCTGTCATGTTGTCCGCTCCAGCAGCAGACCACACGGTGATGATTTTGATGATGGTGATATCGATTTTGAAGTAGTGGAGACCGCAAGGGATGACAACGCATGCCTGCGTTCAGCTTGGCGGACAAACCAGCATAGTGCAACCCGCAAGCAGCATTGCCCAGCGTTGATTTGTCATTCAGCACTCATCGCAATCATAGCAGACGTCAAACGCCATCTCTCAAACTCAGTCTCGTTTCAACAACAAACCCTGGCACACATTCAAATTTAGCAAAAACTCCCATTTTGCCCAGATTGCCGCGTTCCAAGACTGCCTTCAAGAATCACCGATTGGGTTGCTTGCAAAAACCAACGTCGTGTCGCCAAACTCCTTGCTACACACTCAATCCTGTCATAGTCCACAAGGGTGGAGTGGCACAGGGCGAGAACTGACCCAACAAAAAACAAACAAAAAGCAGTGCAAAGGTGTGATCAGCTCGCTGACGTCAACAATGCTCAAAGACATCAAGCGACCGGGCTCGAGCGCGCCGGTGAAGAGCCAGCCGTCATCCAGCAGTGCCCGAGGCTTGTTCGACCAGGTCGTACAGCGACACAGTGCCCAGTCCAGCCTCGAGGCGAGCGAAAGTTCGAGTCCGACGGAGCTCGCCTGGGTGACCGCCGACGATTTTGTGCATCTCCATCAACACGCATGGTCATCCAGTGACGTGTACGCAGCGCTCGGTCAAGCCAAAGCACAACAATTGGCTCAAGCCATCTTTGACGGGGATGTCACAGTGGTGAGACAGGCACTGCGATCCGGGCTGCGCGCCATGCTGTGCGACCGGTTGTCCAAATCGGACCGAGGAGGCAACCCAACCCCGCCTCCCCAAGCTGCTGCATCATCATCATCAGCATCATCATCAGTCGACAGTCCCGGTGCCAAGTACCACCCGATGTCCGAGCAACTGCTTGCTGCCCTGAATTCGGTCGGTGCCACTCTGATCGACCACCATCAGGCGATATCGAGCAAGGCTATGGCCGGCTGGCGAGAAATCCGACGTGGCGATCAGTCAAGCTCGGAACAAATGCTCGCGCCGTATGCGAGCCCATTGACGCCAATGTTGCACCTGGCACCCACGCTCGAGATGGTCTCTCTCTTGCTCGAGCACGGCGCAAATCCCAACGAGCAGGATTCGCTCGGCCACACCGCATTGTTCTATGCCCCGTCCAACGCCGCAGTCATCACGCTGGTCGAACACGGGGCGAATGTCGACCACCGAGCTGCTGACAAATCCACGCCGGGGCTGTTTGCGCTCTTGCGCGACCCGGCGTGTGTCAAGGGGCTCCTTGCAGCGCTGCTCGAGAGCGGCGCCGACATCTCCTTGTCCTTCCGGATTCCTGAGCAGCGTTCCCTGGTCGACTTGGCCTGGATGACTTCGGCGTGGCGGTTTGCTTGCATGTTGCTCGCGCACGGCGCCGTGCTCTCAAGGGAGATGCACTCACGGTTTGAGCCATGCTTTAGCCCGTTGACACGCCTGGCATTGTGCGCTGCGCGAGGGGATATGTGCAGTCTGGTGGCGATCGTGCTGCCTCCCGGCACACACTACGAGCCCAATGAGGCGTCGGAGAAGACCCCGTCCGAGTCCGAGGTGACCTTGGAAAGTGTCTTTTCACGATCGTCATCGTCACAGCCATCATTCCGACTGCAGCCTCCCACAACGGAGGACTTGCACAAGCTGTATCAAGTTCCAAAGCTGAGCGTCACTTCGAGTCGCTTGACCAGTTTCCAAGTCGACTCTCAAACATCCGTGTTGATGCTGGCATGCATGGCGGAGCAGCTAGAGCTGGTCAACCTGCTGCTAACCGTCCACAAGATGAACCCACTTGAAGTGTTTTGTGCGTCCTCGTCGCCCTCGGCGCAGGCCAGCTGTGTCACTGCTCTGGAGGTTGCTGCCGAGACTGGCAATGCGCAGCTATTGCGTATGATTGTCGCACATGTTCCCAAGGATGAAGAGCACACGCGCATGCTCAAGCAGCGTGCCAGCCGAGGCGCCTTGCTTGCTCTAATGGGTGGGCAACATGAAACGGCCACCATTCTGATGGAGCTGGCAGACAATGTTGATCGGCAAACCGTGCTGGCAGCATCTCTCGCTCCGAATCCCAAGGAGAGCATTGCAATGGCAATTGACTTTGTTGAAAAGTTCTTGGGACGGGCACACATGCTGGAGCAGTGCAACTATGCCCTAAGGTACTGGGTGCACACAACGCGGCCCAAGATGGTTGTTCTGCGACTGTTGCTGTTCGATTTTGGAGTCAGTCCCTCCTACATTCCAACAGGATCCACCACGTCGCTCCTACACGACATTGTCGAGCGGAACAATGTCGCCATGCTCAGAATTCTTATCGCTGCGCCAAATGCCAACCCTGACCAGCCGACCACCCATCCCGCTCCGCCTCCCGTTACCATCGGTCGAGCCGTAGAATCGTTTGGGACTCGGCTTTTGCGATGGATTGGCCAACATGTCCGTCTCCCTGTGCTGTGGCTTGTGGCAGTATTGACGCGGCAACGGCATCGACGAACCTGAGACCTTGGCTTTGCGTTGAATGCTCTTGTTGTTGTTAACTCGGTGTGATTTGTTGATAGTTTCAAATGCTGATTCGTGTGATACAGTTCCAAGCATTGTACGTTCATCGCTCAGTTTGGTTGTTGTTCGGACATCGCGGTTTGGTTGTTATCGATCGTTGTTCGGGAAGCTTTTTTCGACCTTCAAGAAGGCACAAACCAAAGCACACAACGCAAAACATGCAATCAACACAAAAACAATCCAGCTTAAAACACTGAGCGGTAGAGCTTGTTGAGCTGCTCAAGCAAAATAAAAGTAACGACAGTATGAGGACCCAATCGCAGATAGTAAGGAGTAAATCCTCGCCACAGAGCCAAAACACCCTCCTTTCGGACTGTCTTGCGCCACACCTGTCCAAGAGAACAGAGGCAGAACAGAGTTACAGACCCAACAAACAAATCCGCATTGTGTGAGTCAAACCCAAACTTGCCACCGTGGCCGACAAGCAAGTCTCAAACTAAATCTTACATCAAGCACGCCAGAATACTCCTTGTCATGCATGTTTTGCAAGCGGGTCTTGGCAATGTCGATTGGCATGGACACAATGGTGGATAGCAGGCCCGAAATGAGACTCGCGCCAGTGTGGAGCGGAATGCCGTCACGCATGCTCATGTAGGTCTGGAGCATCTCTTTGGCCTGAGAGTAGGAGGCCAACTGGGTGGCATTCAGCACGCAGGCACGGATGACGGTCGGGGTGGCGCCACGCCACAAGGTCAGGACACCCTCCTCGCGGCTGATACGGGCAATCGCGTCGAAAGCGTTCTTGTAGCCACGGCGCTTCTCCACCGGCAACCGGCCGTCAGTGGACATGCGAATGAGGGCAATCTCGGCTGGAACGCCGACCATCGAGCCAACTCCTCCGGCAAACATGCCGACTCCGAGCTTATAAACGAATGGCAGAGCTGCGCCGTTGTGCTGTGCAACCATGCGCTCTGAAATGCTATTGTACACGCCGAGACGTGTCGTGGTATACGTTGCCTGGCGCAGCAAGCCCGCCGACAGTCTGCCGATTCACAAGCGGTCCATAAAACGCCGGCAACCAACGCAAAGGGTAAGTCGATCACCATCACAACATCACAACGAGCTTGAATAGAGGCCCCTTCTCTTGACACGTGTATTTCTTACCCGCTGTAGATACCTGCGATGCCCTCGGTCTTGAGGATGGAAGCGAGCGCGTTGAACGAGTTGCCGCCTGCACCGCTCACTTGCAGCCTGTTCTTGACGACATCGAACGGCTGCACAAAGCACGTTGCGCCCATTCCCTAACGCAAAAGCAAAAGCAAAGTGCATTGTTGTGAGTGGTTGAGTGAGACTCTGTATGAATGATGATGATCATGGCTGATCAATGTCACGCTCGTTCCACATCCCCAAACGCTGCTCGCTCCGTTCGCTCTGCTCGTTTTTGCTGCTTCAACTCACAGCAAGGCCACCGAATGCGAATGTCGCAATGTTCGAGATTGGCTTCAGCACCACCGGCTTTGGCTTTGGCGGCTGCTCTTGTTGCTGTTGCTGCTGCTGCGTTGAGATCAAAGCAAAATTGAAAGAGTGGAGTGACATTACCTTTGGTCGATATACTGTCATGCTGTAAAGTTGCCAATGCAGTCGTCTTTGAAATTCGTGTCTTTTTTGTTTGTCCTTGTTTTGTCATTGTCTGAGAAGATTCGCTCGAATTTGGTTTTTGCAATTCTCAGTCGTCTCTTTTTCTATCTTTTTCTCGTTCGCTCGATTCCTCTCTCTCTCTGTCTGTCCATTAACTCTACCAATCTCGAATTGAAACACAAGGCTGCCGTCAATGGATGGCCGCAGTTCAGCGCAGTGGGGACGACGGCACAAGCAGCCGCAAGCCAGCAGCCTTGTCCCAGCGCTCGTGCTTGCGATTGCGCTCACCGCTGCACTGGTCGCCTACGCTTGGCTTGGCGTGTCGTCATCCGTGCCATCAGCTTACATGGTAACAAAAACGCGCCAACTGACGTCGCTTGGATGGAGCGACGGGAACGCATCGACTTGCACTGATGCTCCTCCACCCCGTTACCGCGTCGCACAAACGCATAGCTCACACACTCACTCATTGCGAATGCCTGATTCGTAGGACGAAATATTCCACATCCCACAGGCAAAAAAGTACTGCCAAGGACGATTCACCGAATGGGATCCAATGATCACCACCTTGCCAGGATTGTAAGATGTTCAATTTGCGTCAAATTTTGATCAGCTTTTGCAGCCCGAAAGCTTCATCAACCTCGGCTGCGATACGCTCTACAGATATCTAGCGTCGTACATCTTGCTTGCACCGTGGATTGCCATCGTTGGAGCGGACGCTGCTTGCACTGTCGCCAGTTTACGCGCGGTCAATCTGTTCTTTGCCTTGGCGAATGGCGCGCTGATTTTTCTTTGCTTGAGACTCGCATCGCAAGCACGTCATGCACTGGTGCCACGAGCAATCCAACTAGCTCGAACGGGTGACAAGGAGAGCGACGACGAAGACGAGCCAAGCACACCGTCGTCCTCCAGCCTCCACGTCAGTTCCGAGCATTCATCGGCAAGTTCTCATGCCGACCCGACTCGGAGGAGATTCTTGGCGATTCAGACTCTCGGCATATCGCTCTTCCCGCTGCTCTTCTTTTTCGATTTTCTGTATTATACGGATGGCGGCTCATTGTGCTTTGTGCTGCTGTGCTACGCACTTGCTCTCCGAGAATCCTCGCTGTCCTCTGCTCTGGTGAGTTCCTGAAGCGGGTGTGAGGAGCTTCTTTGTTTCGAACGATGGGCGCTCAATCAATTTGTTGTGGCTCGTTTTGTCTTGCTGTTTGGACAAAACAGGCCGGCGCTTGTGCCGTGCTCCTCCGACAATCCAATATTGTCTGGGTTGCCTTTGCGGCGGCAGTCATGCTTGCACAGAGAGTTGCTGTAAACGTACCACGCCGTGCCTACTCTGAATCGCCCATCGCTGTCACTCAAGCTGCCGTTCGTGTCGTTCGAGCCAACCTGAAAGTATACATTCGCTTGAGCCTGCCCTATGTGCTCGTGGGCTTGCTCTTTCTTGCATTTATCGTCTGGAATGGGAGTATTGTGGTTGGTAAGTCACCTCATGACACCAGTAGATGTGCAAGTGTGAGTGTTTTTGTAGCTGTTGGCTCACTCGTTCTCGCGCCCCCACCAGGCGATAAAACCCATCACCAATCTCGTGTCCACGCCGTGCAAGTATTCTACTTTGCCTTGTTTGCGCTGGTGTTCTCCTGGCCTGTCTTGCTGCAGTTTTCGCTGCTCGATGCACGCCAACTTGTTCGTCGGTGGCAGCACGATTCGATGCTCCGCCATTTCCTCCGAGTGACCCTTGTTCTTGGAGCTTGTGTTGCTGGACTATGGACTGTGCACCATTTCACGTACGTAAATTGTTCCTGGCGTCTTGAGGCAGGGAAATTCAGTTCTCAACGAGCTTGAACAAATCTTGGACTACGACAGATTTGCCCACGACTATCTACTCTCTGACAATCGTCACTATACGTTCTACATCTGGAGGCGATGGTACATGCGCTACGAGTGGGGCAAGTACTTGCTCGTACCCGCGTACCTTGCAGCATTCTGGTTTATGTGGCGAAGACTGCGTAAGTGCTTTGTCTTCAGCACGCGTCCAAAAAAACGTTGCCTCAGCGTTGAGCAAGAGAGGATTGACTCGTTGGTTTGATTCTTCATGTTCGCACCAAAACAGGAAATGATGGAAACTCGCTCGTTTGGATTGCACTCTGGGCTGGAGCCACCTCCCTGACCATCGTACCCGCACCACTCATCGAGTTCCGCTATTTCGTAGTGCCATTTATGCTCTATCGACTGCACCTTCGGCCGACGCTACAGGAGGCAGTGATGGAGGTGTTGTTTTTTGCACTCGTTAACGCCATTACCCTATATCTCTTTTTATCTCGTTCGTTCGAGTGGCCCAGCGAGCCCGGTGTTCCTCAGCGCTTTATGTGGTAGTCCTTGATTTTACATTACTATGTATATTTTAGTCACGCTGCGCAAGTCTAAATTCCGCCGTGTTTCGTCGTTCAGTAGATTTTACTGTACAGTAGCTTCAACACGGTACTTCCTGTACTTTGCATCTCCGGCCTTCTTCGTACAAACCCAGTCGAAGCACAATTAAACAGCCGTTCCTCACAACTGACTCGACTCGTGCTGTCCAGTCTTCTCTTCTGGTATTGCCTTTTGCCGTTTCGAAGCTTGAGTTGCCAAATGCAGCGTTCGCATACGATTTCAGCCTCCGTCCAACTCGCTCCCGCTCCCGCTCCAGCTGCTGGTGCTAGTGCGCCGAGCATGCTGAGTCGCATGCAATTCACGGATGCAGTGCGCAGTATTGCTGCTGATCTGGACGACATTATGCGCGGCATCTACGCGTCTGCAGACTCGTTCATTCTGGCGCAACGGCAGTCTGCGTATGCCCTCCTGAACAGCGGCAATCTCGACGACGACGACGACGACGAGAGCGACCTCATGTCCCGACTCACAAGCCCAAGCTTGGGCAGTGCGCCTGGGTTGGTGAACAGTGCCCGCGTCAGTGTGGCTGGTGGGCAGCGCGGGAGTGCCCGCTCGCAGAGCCTCTCGACTGGTCAAGAAAGGAAGGTTGCAACTCGCCCCGTGATGACGAGCACCATCCCGACTGCTGCAACTGCGAGTACAAGTGCGAGTACGAATACGAATAGGGATACGAATACGAATACGAATACGAATGCTGCGGAGACTGCGATGCCGTCTGGAATTGGCCTGGGGACGACTGAGAGCAACCTTCACTCTCACGAAGCTGCTCAGACGACCGATTCGATGCATGCCATCAAGCGCGCTCGACGGACGAGCGATCGACTGTTACTAGAGTCCTTCTTCTCGTTGAAGTTTGGCGACTCGGTGATGGACGGACTCGCACCGGTTGCCGAGCAACACGGCGACGCGCCATCCGCTGCTGATCCTGTTGACGTTGTTGACTTCTCTGAGATGATTGAGCCAATCGTTTCAGAGCAAGATTCCCCGTCCAACGACGACGCGGCGGCTCGGAATGATCCGGATGCTGAAGGCGATGAAATTGAGGCCGCGGTCCAAGCCGAGTTGCGCAAACTCGAGGCCGAGTATGGCGTGACCATTGGCGATCAAGATCCGATTGATGTGTCCAACGAACCAGCAGAAGCAAAGCCAGAACCCCTGTACGCCGCTGTCAATCGCACCAATCAAGCAAGTTCTCGTTCAAGCGAGGTCGCGAATTCGGACTATGATTTCCCGCAAGATCATCCCTACGCTTCTTTGAGTGCGTTACTTTTGCAAATACTTGTTGGTGGAGGAGGGGAGGAGGAGGAGGAGGGATGTGCGGTCTTGTTTGATTGGTGCAAAAGGGAGTGTTTGTCGCACAATGCTGATTCTCGGGTTTCCTCCTCACGCTTGTTGCAGTCGAAGTCCGCCCCAATCCTGCTCTGGGAGGCCGGCATACTTCCGCCATTTACGATCGAGTGGAAGTTCGAGTCAACCCTCACCTTCAACGTGTCGGCAAAGTGATACAGGAGTACGCAAACCTGTCCAACAAATCCATTCAGCCCGACCCAGCCGACCCGCCAGCCGATCCAGCCGACCCGCCAGCCGAACTGACGAGCTCGGGATCGCTTTCATTCAAGCAGTTGCCCAAACCTCCACCGGCGCCCGCTGCAATGGGGAGCTCGAACGCTACTTCTCAGATAGCTGCCGCCACCGCAGCCGCCGGTGGTAGCATACCGAGCTCTGAAGCTCGCCCCGCTGCCAAGAGCTCGTTCACACAGACTTCCAAGAGCAAAGGTGAGTGACTGTGTTCCGGTCGAAGTTGTCCACCATCGACTCACTTTTGTTTCGTTGTGTGTTCCATCATCGTCGTCGTCGTGGTTGTCTGGGAGCTAGATGCCGAAAAGCCAAAGGGGAAGTTTACAATCACTCCAGTCACAGATTTCGGTAAGCATGTCGTTCACTGCTGTGTTGAATGGTCTGGTTCACTTTTCTGGGTCGTTTTTGGATCACCTAGTCAAACAAATGGCCTTCAAACGCATGAAGAGCCGAAACAATGTTGCCCAGGGACTCGTCTCGTTCTTTTCCAAGTATGAGCCACTTTCGATCTATTTTGGTGGTCGGCTTGTGACATCAAGTTACGGTTGCTGACTTTTTCGGACGCTTTCCCCCCCCCCTTCATGTATTTCCAGAACCACGACAAGCAAAAACACACCCGAGGGCCGCACAATCGCCCACTTTTTGGAATGCACACGAGAGAGCAAGGACACGACTGCGCAAATGCTCTGTTCGAATGTGAGATCCGTGCTGCCGCAATGGTCTGTGAGTGATCCCATGCAATCATTCTCTTACTCTCATTGTGGTATTTGGTTAGGTGCGCCAATTCGTTGATGGCATGACCAACTATATTGTCGACAAACGAGGTCGCGATGTCGAGGGCATTGTTGCCAAGTTTGCCAAGGTTTGGCGATACTGGCCATTTCGCTGCGCTGTTCGAGAACGTTACTCACTCGCTATCGCTTTTTTTTTGGCAGGACCCTGCGATTATGATGTTGAACGTGGATGCCATTATCGAAGGCGCACTTCAGCAAAGCATTATTGCGCCCCTCAAGCCTTACATTTGCCGTCGTCTCATGACTGAGCTGCAAATCAAAGGGTCGATTCAGCAGTTTGCCGCAAACAGCCGCGAAATCGCAATGCAAACCCCGGCCCAAGTCGGAATTCGGGTACAGTGGTGCAACGAAAAAAAAAGCGTGGCAGACCTCTTTTCGAACGAGGGAATGTGCTAACCCTCACTCTGGTCTGGCTTGGTAGGACAAATTCGTGCCTGCCGCTGGATGGGGACCAGCGATCGCTTGCCTTCAGAAAATGTATCGCGTGACGCTGCCGCTGCGGAAGCTTGAATACCTGCTTGCCACCGTGACGTCCATCCACAGTCTTGTAACCTTTGCAGACCACCTTTGAACAGTGTGCGGCGCATGTCGCCAGATCATCTCATCCGACCTTTTGGTGTTTTTGTTTAACAACTCCCCCCCCCAAAACCAACCAGATCCAAGAATCCGCGCCTGCAGCGTCGGAAGGAGCTGGGTCAAATGAGCCATTTTCTGTCGTCCTCGGAGCAGATGGTATGATCCGCGTACCCTCGTTCTGTTTGCCGTTTCAAGAAGATCTGTGCTCACACGCCCGTTCCCCCCTGCACAGACTTTCTGCCGATTTTCATCTATGTTCTTGCGCTGTCTGGCCTCGATACTGCGGAAGTCGAGGCCGAGTACATGTGGGGTCTCCTGGATCCTGCCCTGTTGACCGGCGAAGGCGGGTACTACCTGACGGTGCTGAGCAGTGCAATCCATGTTGTCAAAACGTTGCAAGCTGCCCAGCCACTGGCTGCACCCCCCTCGGAGGCCATTGCTCTGGCCGCCAGCGCAGCAACATCCAGCAGCAAGAATACCGTACCAGCACGCGCGCCCCGCGTCGCCGACATGCAGGGATTTCTTCGAGTGTACTTTTCCGACGACGACCTGCGCGTATTCAAGACCCTGCCCGTCCGACCGCTCACCTCTGCGCGAGAAGCGATTACGCTCATCGTAGAAAAGATGCGACTGCCGCCGGGGCGCTATGGCTTGTTTGAGCTGCGAAATGGTGTTGGTAAGCGATGAGTGCCAAAATGACGTTTTTTGTGGTGGTCTGCTGTTCCTGTCGCAAACTCAACCTCTCTGGATGCATGTCTGTCAATTGAATGTCCAACGACAGAGTTTGGTCTGGAGGATTCTCAGCAGCCTCAAGCTGTGAAAGGCAACTGGCCCCTTGAAGGCAGCGATGATTTGTATCAGATCATCTTTCGTCGATTGCGCGACTAGGCCATCATCGAGAGTCGTACTTTTGCGTCCACTGGTCGATTGGTCTGAGAATACATCTATTCGAGGTTTTCTTTATTAACGTGTCCCCCCTCCCCCTCAAACAAAACAACTCAGTCCAAGTGCGCCGGTTCTTCATCCACGTCAACCATGCTGGCAGTCTCTTCTTCGAGAATACCGTGGTCGCGATCGGCGTCCATTTTGTGCTTCATGGCCTGGTTGAGACCCATGACTAGTGAAATGGTTGTCGAGAGGCGACGGAGGGCGTTTTGCTGGCGAGCGCGTCGTTGCGCAATGCTTTGCGATAGTGATCGGAGCGCAAACCGGATGGTGAACTTGAAGGCACAGAGCGCGGCAAAACACCCCAGACCGACGAAGAGGGGCATCGAGGAGCGTCCCACACAGATGGTGAACAGCCGTACGGCGATGACAGTGTAGGGCAGCGAGACGAAATCAAAGTGCTGCGAAAGGTGTTTCGATTTGTCCGAGATGAGCTTGCCTGCCTCAAAAGGTTGCAGGAGCAACGTCCCAAATGAGCGATAGAGGGTTTTGATGTCCCAAGTTGTGTTGTTGAGCGCATACATGGCGTGTTTGATGCAATTGATGAGCATGGTGCCCGCGAGCACGACTGTTGCGCCCTGCAGGAAGAGTGGCATGGAGGTTTTCATCTTTTCAGGCGTATAGCGCGACAGCTTGTCGACATAGATGGTGAACAGGATGATGAGCCAGCGGAATTGTTGGGCAATGTCGGTCAAGCACGTTTTGAAGAGCTGAACACGGGTCATGGATGTCACCATTGCCGCTTTGAGCTCCACCAGCTGTACGGATAGCATCAGAGACAGCAGCTCGGAGCCCTGATCGAGCGCAACATGCACGCTTGCAATCTGAACGAGAATGATCGATGCGTGGGCAAAGACGTAAATGAATGTCACGATAGCCATCAGCAGTCGCTGCGACCGATTGAGAACAGACCACACAAGCGAGCCAGTGATGCGTCGCCCGCACTGCTCCACCAGGATGTCCAACGCGGAGAATAGCTGGAAGCAGCTGTACAGCTTGGCCCAGTTCATTTGGCTGCGCATAAAGTAGTAGGCCGTTTCTGAGACGTCCAACTGATCAACCGCAATCACGGCACAGAGGACGATGGCACCCTAGTTTGGTGGATTGAGGTTGGATGTCCGGGGGGGGGAGGCGGAGCCGGAGGTGGGGAACGAAAAAACAAAACAAAACAAAAAACAAAACCGAAAAAACAAACCAACAAGACGTGAATGCAAATGACAAGGCCCTGTTTCTAGCACAGCACCATTTTAACTCACCTGGATCGTGGCGTATATTTGAGTGGCAGAGCGCCGGGAGGGATACCGCATGAGGCGGAATAGCGAGGCTGCGACTCGCAGGGGAAGCACTGTGAAGCAGTACAAGAGCACATCAAGGCAGATTGCGTTGCCGAGCAAGATCAATCTCTGCATTTCTGGAGGAGCATATAGCGCTCCACTGATCACGGCTGGCGGATTCATGTAGGGCACGCCATGGAGACGAGCATCGAGGCTGAACCAGCCATCCTGCTCGACCTCGTCATCCGAAGACGAGTCCGATTGAGACTCTGGTTTTTGCGCATCCGTGCTGGCACTCCCATCCACGCGCTTTGGTTTCTTGGAGGTCGAGTCTGTTGGTCTCAAATGCGGAAGAAGTTCTGTGTGGCAAATCAAACAACCAGACGTGAGCTGAAATTGACGCTCATTCGGCCATGCATTCGACTCCACTCCATTAGAACGCTCCGTTTCACGGTGCCAGTTTCACGACATCCGAGGACGAGACGTCGACTCGAGTGCAAATCGGTCATGGAATCTCGCAAATGGGGAAAGAAGGTTTGGGTCGAATTGGCGACAAATTTCGGGGGATTACCTCGCTCGAGACTGGTCTGCCGTGAGAACTTGTTCTGCTTGGATCCGCGTCGACTTTCAGCCAGTGGCGAGTCCAGACTGTGCGCGGATGACGCGGGCGACGGAGTGGTTGACGACGCTGGCTGCTTGGAATTGGTCGCGGCAGACGAGGCTGCATCCTGGTGCTCGCGGGCTTTGTCGATGCCAATGGTGCTCATTGGACGCAGTGCACTATCTGAGTCGGGTGTGGAATGGGTCGCGGGGTTGGCAGCCGTGGCAGCAGCGTTCGCAGCCGCTCGGCGGTGCAGCAAGCTGGCAGTGGCTTGAGCAATGTCCATCGGAATTGCATTCAACCTTCGAAGGCAAACAAAACGAGAGTGATGGGGAAATTAAAAAGCAATATCGAAACCTGCAGCTGTCCACTTCACCAGCGGCAGAGCAAGCAGCTCGAGGTTGTGCCAAATGGTTGAAGTTTCACTGCTTTTCGCCCGTTTCAGCTTCGCGCCTGAGCCCGAGCACGTATTTTGCCTGCTTCATGAAGAGCATGCCTTTGACTATATGATATGACTGGTACCATTCGATTCCATGCTGCAGTCACGCTGGCAAGAGTTGATCGATTCTCTCGGTAGGGTTTGAGCGTTCTTCGGTTTGCTGTGGTCTGCGTACTGTACTGTATTTCTGGTGGAATAGGGTTTACAAAGGTGTGAGCGAGGTTGCTAGTCTGCTGAGCGAGGTTGTTAGTCTGCTCACGCACTTTTGTCGTTGCCATGCAGAGTTTGTTGGTCCTAGACACCGCGCGCGCGCGCGTCTGGGAAATACTCGTCTACGGCCGACAACCAACCCAGCCAGCAGCAATCTCTGCTTCACAACGCAAGTAAGCTTGACTGCGAAAGCTACCAGCGACACAAGCATTGCTCATGTATTTAGGATTTACGCAAAACCACATCCGCCTGATCGATGCTATTCCTGTCCGTCTGCGTGGACGTGTTGTCACAACTTGAAGTCTGCGTTATCGAAGCAATAATTTTGAGTGTTTGTTATCGAAGCACATTAAAAACACTGATCGAAGCACATTTAACACTCACTTGAAAATTAAACGTCGAAGCCTGTCAGTGTTGGCGCAACTGGGGTCGGTGCGCAGTCTGCCTCAATGCCGCAGGGGCTGAGCAAAACAGATGCGTCCAAAACAAACAGCGTCACAACACCAGGTAACGTCACGTCCGAGCGAGGGAGTGCGAAGTGTACATTTAGGGTGAGTCTCTGTCGACGTCACAACGGCCGCGACGAAAATACCGGTGGCCTGGCGATGGTTTCCATTGGGATCGAAACCGTTAATTGCAATCGCTTCAGCAAAAAGGGACAAAAGGGGTGTAGGGGGAGGGATGAGGAGCATGGAGACGGTGATATGCATCATCGACAGCTCACCTGGCACGCAGTCGCGTGCAGCATGGATGGCGAACGTGATGCGATTTGGCGAAGCAAATGCGATCGCTTCTTCTGATGCTATTTCCGAAGTGAACGCGTGGGAGTGGAATATTCGCCGAATCTGCAGGCTTTTAAAAAGGGAACGGCGATTAGATGTAAATGCAGTTCAGTCGTTTTTTTGTTCTTCACTTTTTGTTCTGGTCTGCACTTCCTAAACACAAAAATCATGAATCACCGTAACACTGCTGCATCCACCCTGCTCGTGTGTCTCGCTCTCGTGGCCGGCTCGGTGAGCCTCGCTCAGGCCGCCCCCGCCTCGACCACCCCTCCCCCCAAGCTCCTGGTCGCTTTTTACCCGGATCATTTCCCCTGCAATGTCCCGCTCGGATTCGATGACAAGACTCCCATCGAAATTACATCGGGCGAGTGCCTCCAGGTCCCCGGAACCACCGATTACTTCCAAGTCAATGCGACGGTGGCGGACAACAGCTTCGATGTCAAGGGCCAGTGCGACTCGACCTGCAACACATGCAACGTGGGAATGTTTGGCAATCAACTGGGCAACTCCTGCTTTAGCGTCAACTTTGCCCGTGACTTTTCTGCCTCCACCCGAGTCTACCTTGTGGAGTCGCCTCCGACCGCCCCCGAGCACCCGAAGGTGCAATTCTTCACCGATGCCAACTGCCGATCGGCTTCGTACTCGATCAACTTGGAGAGCGATGATGAGTTTGCCTGCGTGACCAACGCGAGCCTTCCCTATTCCTTTGGCTTTGTTCACCTTGGCAACGACAAGGTTGCTCTGCTGGGCGAGTGCAACTGTAAGCAAAGAATGAGTAGATGTCTTGTCGTTGTCTTGTGGGGGATGGGGGACTGCGTCGTGGTTGCAAATGCTGACAGACACGTGCCTTTGTTGTTTGTTTGTTTTTATGTTTGCTGTAACAGCGAACTGCAACAACTGCGAATTCAACGCCATTGGCAGCTTCGACCAGTGCCAAACCGCTCAAGGAAAGTACTTTGTGGTTGCAAAGAAGAGCGCTGCTGGCCTTCTCCAAGTCCCCACTCTCGCCATGATGTCTGCGTTTTTGGTTGCCATGTTCATGTCGAAGATGTTCTAAAATCCTCGGCATCGATGCGTGCATGCATGCATGGGGCTTCGTGTATTTTGCATTGTCTCTGTTTCTGCTTGGGTTGTGATCCAAGCAGGTGTGTCCAAACACAGCTCCAATACAGTACATTCGGCTGTTTTCTGACTCGAGCCATTTCTCGCCTTCGGTCGGTCATTTCTGTCATCTCAGTCGTTTTTCTCACATGATCTCTCGATCATCTTGTTTGTTTTCAGTCAAAGTGGGTGGCTTTTTGCGCTTCTCGCGTCGCTTCTGTTCACGCGCCAACAACCCGCTCCGTCCTTCGTTCCCTCGATCGAAGCACACTCTCAACGTCGTCACTCAGAACACAGGGCGCAGAGAGACCCCCCACACAAGACCAAACGCACTGGGGGAAGAGCACACACCAAAGAAAGCGACATCTCACTTGCTTCCTCTCTCCATCGCTTGTCGACCTCGCCAGCGCCAACCCGCCCAGTGTCGATGTGCGCGACAGAGAGTAGCACGCTCGCACCAACCCAGTACGACAGCGCACGCAGCTCAAACCGAAGGGAAACTTGGCTCCAAAGCATCAAAACTCGGCGCTTTTTTTTTTTTGTTTTGCTGTAGCCCGCTGCACGCTGCAGACCTGCTTGTGTCCGAGTGCTGCGACGCGATCACGGCTTGCATGCTGGAAGCCTGTACGCTCTCATTGTGCCTGGCTGGGGGTCCGGGGGTCGGGAATTGGCTGACTGTGTGTTGGGTGAGAAGCGTTTCATTCATTGTTTACCTGGCACAGCGCTTGAGCGTAGTTGTGTCGGCAAAGTGGGGCCAACAGGGTGAACGTGCAACTCCCCTTCCCCCTGCTCCAGTGCTGCACGGAACTAACAAGGACTACAACGAACATGGTTTTAATCTGAGGGTTTTTTTTTTCTGAAACAACAAATCACCTCAAAAATTCATTGAGTATCTCAAAACAGGCACTGAGTAACTGATGCTTAGCTGGCGACAAAGGCTGGATCATGCATTGCTTGCCTCAAGAGTGGAAGGTAGCGCGCAACGGTAGTGTCGAGATACTCGTTGTTGTCGGCCTCCAAAAACAGCTGCCAGCTAAAGTCGTTATTGTTGCCGCTGATGGTGCCGCGCTTCAACCGCTCGTCCCAGTCCTGGTAGCTCTTGGTATAGTAGTGGTTGATTCGCAGAACGTCGACCTCGCGGATGGCCTTGGCCTCGTGGTCAGAGAAGGTCGTGTACTCGAGCTCACGGAACTTTTCATCGCACAGGGGTTTGCCGTCGTAAAAGAACAGGCTGTGGGTGTTGTGCAGGCCGGCCATCTGCCTCGGGTTGAACAAGACCTTCTTGCCAGTGATGACTTCATTGCTGCGACGCGTGTACTCTTCCAGGACCAGGCCGGGCGGAGTCGTCGTGTGGTTGTTGGAGCCAAAGTTGAGTCGCCAGGCCGCAAGCCCGCCGCATTTGCCGCTGCCCACGAACTTTTGCAGCAATGTGTGCAACGACTGATCGGGCGACGTTGGGAAGAAGAACTCGTCAATGTCAAAGATGCCCATGTAGCGCGTCAGGCAACGGAAGCGCTGCACGCCATCAATGATGCCGACCTTTTGCGTGTTCTGGATGCGATAGCCCGCGATATCGTGCGTCAAGACGGTCGGGAAATCTATCAGCGTGACGAGTCCAGCGCGCATGTACGGAACGAGCACTTCGCGGTAGTTGTCCGTCGAGTTGTTGTTGTACATCAGAAAATGGTCGAAGCCGACCAGTCTGTGGAACTCGATCCACTCCTTGAGGTACTTGTCGGCGTCTCGGAAGATGGCGAACGCTGTGAGCCGGTACTGGAAGCGGCTCGACTCGGAACACTGGAAATCGCGCGTTGGCATTGGCGTCCCGTAGACGGCGTGGAAGAGGGCTTCGCTCTGCTCAATCGGGTGCAAGCGGTCGCTCGACGCCATCTGAAGCAGCCACCAGAGCACGCCAAACACGACCAGCAGCACAATTGCAATTCGGATGCGCCGCGTTACGGGCGAGTTGGAACTCGTTGCGCACCACCGCCGTTGGGTTTGTCGAAGGTCACTTGCCATTCCGGATAACAGCCGCTTCGATTTCGGTGTACGAATCAAAAGAAACAAAAAAGAAACACGCCAAAAAAAAAAAAACAAAAAAAAAAACACAACAGAAAGTGATGGATTGGCTTCCTTCCTGGCTCTTGTATGTCAGAGTCAGACTCCGTGGGTGTATGTGTGTCCCGTCCTAACGAGCGTCAATCGGTCGGGGGCGAAGGCGAAACGAGGCGGGTGCGAAAACGCGAAAGACAAGGAGAGGTGAATGGACGACTGGAGAATTTTCAATTTAGCCGAATTATTGTTGCAAAAAGCACACGTTAACAATTAAAAACTGTTGTAGCAAACCATTATAAAAGGTTGTTGTGGCACTCCTTAAAAACTGGACTCGCCGACTCATGTCTGGGGTGTGTTCTCCCCTAAGGAGCAAAAATTGACATCAAATTTCACAATTGCACGATCGAAATTAGCAACAAAGACAGAGCCGAACTGGCCTAGCTAAGCAGTATATGCGACTCACAGACATACGTCTTTTGTGACGTCAACGCGGTGGGTGGGGCGCATGTGGTGAAGGGGCGAACGTGACGGAATTTGCGTGACACGCGCTTAAAATAACTTTGCCGAGTCGCGTGCTACGTTGTGCGTGTTTATCGAACTGCCACCCGCCAAAATGACTCAGTTAGAAGTTGGATTGTGCTTCTGGTTTTTCTTTGGAGCGACTGGCCAGGGAGCGACTGTTCTGCATTGAGTTATGAGTAATTCTTTTGATTGAATTTCTCCGAAAAAAAAAAAAACAACAGAAAAGAAAAAAAACCAGGCCAATCCTTCAGCATTGACATACTAAATCGAGCGTTAACAACTGCTGGCTGCGTTCGTCGGCTCGACGCACGCGGCTCTACGTCCTGACAAACACTCAGCTCACCTCGAGTCCAGCCGACTGACCGACCCGCGTCGACTTTTTTTTTGAGGGGGTGGGGAAGGGGCCAAGGCGCAGGTCAAAACAAGGATCTCTGTTCGACCGAATTCTGGTGTAGCTCGACCCAAGCGCCTGCAGGCACAATCCACGGATTTACAGCAAGACAATCATAACGCCCTTGTTCTGACTCTATACACCTGGTTCGGTGCCTCCTGTCGCTGTGCTCATGTACCGATCATCGACCCCCCCCCCCTAAAACAAAAGAAAAACCATGCACAGCTCAAGGCGATGAGAGAGTTTTGTCCGCTTTGTTGTTGACGTTCCTCAAGCCGGAGCCCGTCACTACCCGGCTACGCTCAATGCACTTGTTGTATCAATATACTATTTATCTCATGAGTGAATGCGAACGCGGGTGTCAGGGTTTCTCATTTAGCGCGACAGTGACGCAAAACCGCAGGCGAGCCAAAACAACTCTCATGTTTTGAACGGTTTTTTGTTTTGGTTTTCTTTTCGGTCGATTCGTCACTCTTCATCCTCCCATGGGCCAAGCACGCCGCATGCATCCACACAGCAGCAGCTAAGATCATAAAATACAACAAAGCCAAACCCGTCGAACCCAGTGCGAGTGAGAGTCGCGAGAGGTGAAGCGATCCAATTTCCTCGAGCTGCGCGATAGCGGCCTCGCCTACGAGCAGATCGCCACCGAGCTCGCCACTAACTATTCAAAGGTACATGGCATGGCTTGTTGCTTCTTGGGAAGGGGCATGACGCGCGATCGCACTGGCTCTCGCCCCTAGCAAGCTTCAGTCGTCTCACCTCTTGAAAAGTGTTGCGCAAATCACCTCCGGCGAGAGCATCTCAGCATCCAAAGTTGCCGCCACCATGCGCAAACGGAAGGCTTTGTGATGTATGCGCAGCAGCAACAGCGAACGGACTACCACGGAAGGGTATTTTTGCGGCGCTGGTCTATGAAATGCGACAGCCAGATTCGCATGCTCACTCCCACTAGCGTTGGACGCCAACGACTGGCTGAACGTCATCTTCCTCAACGAGATTGCACTATACCTGTGCAGGAACAATCGGTCTAGCCGTGGGTAGCATCGGCGGGGCGATCTGCTTCATACAAGAAGCGTACAGAGCATTCGTACAGATGGACGAGGCAAAATGAGCATTTCTCGAGTTTTCTTGTCCCGTTTCTGCAACGCGATGCCCCTCCAAACCCTCATGAACACTCTCAAGCCTGGCTGCCTGTGGGACCTCTGAAAAAAAAAACCAGCTGATTTTCATGCAAGACATCGCGCCCTGCTACACAACAATGCCAGTGGAGCGCTTGCTACCAGAAGCTCGCCCCCGGATTTAAACCGCTGGTCAAGCCTCAATCAGGATCTCCGGACAACACGACACGACCGTCCGAGTGGCTGCGTGAACCTTGGTGCTCGGATTGGTGAGCGATTTCTGTTTTCGTCAACAACGTTTTTGATTGTGTTATTTTGGAGTTGAGAGGCTCACCTGCTGAAAGAACGACGCGGAGTGACTCGCTTGCGACTTGACGATCAAAGCCATGCTTGAAGCCATTAGAAGCCAACCAGACCAGACAGATGCGAAATTATCGGAATTGGGGAATTCGATTTTTCAAATTCTCGTTTACCAAGAAAACAATGAAAATGCAAAGCAGACCAAGAAACAAATCCAGTGGATGTCAGGACCCGCAGGCTCTGCGGTCCCGGCTGGGTCGTTCTTTGCGAAGAAGACTCGGCGTTCTTTGCGAAGAAGACTCGGCGTTGATGTCTTTGTATTCAGTCTGCAAGGCGAAGTAAAACACACTTTCTACAACAGCATTGCCTGGCTAACCCTACCAAGGGCTTACAGTGGTCGTGAAAGAATGACTGGAAACGGACATTCAGCGTGAATGTCCAGCCAGAGACAAGGGTACCTGGCAGTGAGGTTGGATTCGAATCTGCCAGATGTGGCTGGTTTTCAAGTGCTCAAGGGGCTTAGTGGCTTGTACAGCATCGTCAAGCCCCTCAAACCACACGAAGCAGTCAAAGACACATTCTTCTCGTATCTCGAACTCAACAGATTTCGGGGAAGTCCGGGTGGTGGTTTTGTTTTGAAGAACAAAAGGTGACACCACAAGCACTCATAATATCACACAACCATGCACAGCAAGTCGTCCACTCAACGAGCAGATCGTGCCAATAAGCTATACAATTGGCTTTATTCTCAGAGCGACGTCTTCAAGTCCAGATGCTGAGAACGACAGCAACACACGAGGCGAGGTTGACAGAGGGTCAACAATTGAAGATGGCTCAAGAAGCCAGAAACAAGGGACGGCCCTACGATCTCGTGCAGTTCAGCAGGGCAGCCACGGAGCGCTGAACGTGGCGCGAGTGAAGGGTGTAGGTCTTGTTGGGATGGTAGGCAAGAATGTTGATGTTGGTGGCGAGGAGTTTCTTGGTGAGGTCGAGACCAAGAGCCTCCTCCACATCATCGACATGCTGAGCACCTCGACAGAGACGACAAAAGGTGCTGCTCACGGGAGGCGATATCTGCGCCAAGTCGCCGAAAAGTCGACGCAGGGCACCTCGAGTGCCAATGTGGAACTTCAGAAAGATCTGTTCCACAGTCTTGAACTGAAGCTCAAACACCAGGCTGTTGAGCAGAACAAAACGCCCGCCAGCAATCTCAGCAACCGCGCGTTTTGCCGCATCCTCGTTGACGCCACGATGCAGCAGAAAATCGACAGCTTGTTCGTCGGTGATATCACTCACTTCGACAACGCGAGCACGAGTCATTGCTGACGATGCCTTGAGCTCAGGCAGATTCGAACCATCGCAGGTGACGAGAACAACATTGAGCAGCTGCTCGTCAGCAGCCGCCTTGGCAAAATCTTGAATCGCATGCAACAGTGCTGGACCCTGCTGGGCGATCTGGTCCACAGCGTCGATGACCAGCGTGGCAGGGTGACCGTGCTTGGTCTTGAACTGTTGCGCAACGTCCCTCAGACTGAGACTGAGCAACACCCAGCTCTTGAACGGTTCTTCTGCCGATGTTACTTCATGCAGTTCAATACCACGGTCTTTGAAGTAGCCTGCTGTGAAGGTGAACTGGTTGAACGCGAACGCGAGAGACCCCGCCAGTCGTTTCGGCACGTCAACGGGGAGCTCAGCGCCGACGATGTGGTAGACAATGCCAGTGCTGTTGGCTCGGATGGCGTCGAGGACGGCGGTGGTCTTGCCGCAGCCTACTTCGCCAATGACGACCGTGTAGTCCTTCAACAGCGCGGGGCGCAGCACCCCTTGAAGCATAGCAACGGCCTCTGGACGATTGACGTGGTATTTCTCGAAGGGCGGGATCACGGAGCCGGCCTCGAAGCGAGCGAGCATGCGAGCGAGAACGACTTCGGGCGAGTGGGTCTTGGCGTCCATAATTGTCTTCTTGTCGTCCAGCACGTGCTGAGCAACAAAAGCCGCCACAACCAAAACGATGAATGTGGTGGAGATCGCCTTGGCGACCGCGCCGCCGATGAAACCAAACACACCCCGAAAAGCTGGCTGCTGCTGATCCGGGGCCGCAGCTGGAGCCGCAGCTGGAGCCGGAGCCGACATCGGGATAAACAGAAAACAAAACAACTGTTACACCCGAGAGGGAGGAATAGGTAGATACGAAGTATATTGAGCACTGAGCTAACAGATATGGGTTGGGGTGTGACAACAACAACTAAAAAACAAAACAAAAAAACTGCGCTGCACTGGCGCGAAGCGCGACCATGGGAAGTACGAAGCGCACGCGTAGTGCCCCCCCCAGACAGACAGACAGACAGACAGACAGACAGACAGACAGACAGACAGACAGACAGACAGACAGACAGACAGACAGACAGACAGACAGACAGACAGACAGACAGACAGACAGACAGACAGACAGAATAAAAGATCTCACACCAGCTTCGAAAGGCAATAACTCGCTGGTCGGCGACCGGTCCACCTCGGCCTTTCATTCCAAAAGACGATGCTTTACTATCCACGAGTCGTCATGGCCACCGGTGAGCTTCGTTGGCTCTGTCCGGCCCATGCAGCCGCTGTGCAAGGCCCCGCTGTTGCCAGCCCCAGCAGTGACTCTGCTGCTTCAAGCGGTTCTCCTCTCTCAGCTCAGCTCAGGTGTAACAAAAGCTTTTGCTTTTTGCCCGTTTTGTTGTTTTGACTGTATTGTTCAATGATTGTTGTTTTCTGGTCTGAGGACTCGCTTTTTTTTTTTCCTGCTTCAAGAATGACATGCTTGTTACTAAGTGATGTGAGTTACACAATTATGCAGTTTCTATTCTGCGCAATCACGTCGGCAAGGGGCCTGTCTGTCGGTGATTGCGCTATCAGCCACGCGTCACCCCCTCACTCTTTTTGGTGCGCGGAAAGTGATCTTGCTCCTGATAGCGCGGCTTTCTTTATTGCTTTTTCTACTGGCCGCCATCACGCACTTTCCCCCTGCAACTCTGGTGCGGAGCCTTTGCATCGAGATTTGGAAATAGTTGACGGCGGGTTTTATCGTTTTTATTGTGTTTTTGGCGGCACTTTTTGCTTTTTGAGTTTCTTCTTCCCTTTCGTGTGAAGCTGTTCGTTGCCTGTGCCTCGCCGTGCATATGTGTATATGCATGCATTAACAGAGTGCCATCTGCTGTTGCAGCTGTGTGTTGCGTCTCTGCAATTCAAACGTGGCCGAAATGGAACGCAGCGGTAAATCAAGTTATCGAAACGTCGAAATGTGAATAAAAGTTCCGCACAAAATAACAACACAATTTGTTTCCATTTTCAGTCATTGTTTTTTTTTTTTTTTTTTTGGTATTGAGTCGCAGATCAGTTTGCACTTGCGCTTCACATCCCATTCACACCTCCATTTCACCCTCATTCATGCTGATTCGTGCTACATTGCATCCGGGAGCGGGGGCAAGTCAGTAACAGCGGGGTGAGAGAAAAGGTGCCGCTCGTTGCCTGTTGCTGGGTCATCTGCGTAGTTGACGCTCTCCCGCGGAGGGGCGGTGCTTCCTTTCCCCCTTGCCTCGTTCACTGTTTTCCTTTTCATCACTTCAACTATTCTCACTACGCTTGTTGCCGCTGGTGGGGGGGGGGTGACTGGTCGTGACGATGGACTCTGTTTTCACCCGTTTGCGGGTTGTTGTGGTTCTAATTTGTGGTCATCCGAGTTTATCCAACCTCCGACACTCAACCCTTCTGTAATCGAACTCCCAGTGGCCAAATTGCAATGCGTCATCCGCGCTCACTTGTCTCGCTTGTGCTTGTTTTTGTTTGTTTGTTTGAGTGGCTAGATCGTCAGCATGAGACACCGTTCGGACGCGAGCTTCATGGTGGCGGTCGCCGTCGTGCTGCTCAACGCTGTGACTTTTGTCGGCGCGCTCGAGGCATGCTCTGGACCGACCCCGGCTTGCTTTTGCGAAGACCAGATGGTTACTACTTGCGATGTCTCTCAGGGCATCCCTACGAACATCCCCACGAATACTCTTCGGCTGTACGTGATTCAAGTTGTGTGTCGTGTGAAAGTTGAATCGCGCCAGTCATGAATCACACATTGAGTAATTTGCGTGTGACAGGGACCTCTCTGGGCTTCCACTGACAGTGCTACCATTGAGTGCGTTCGCCACTTTGACCAGCTTGACCCGACTGTAAGTCCCGCTCATGTACAATTCACGCTATGTATGCCCAAAGTACTCACATTGCGCTCAGGACTATTCAATCATCGTCACTTCAACTCCTTGACGATCAGGCAACATTTACCGGACTGACAAATCTTCAATACTTGTAAGCGTCGTTGTTTAGATCGAGTCCAGATCTAGATGGATTGCTCAAGTTTGGTTCTCTGCAGAGATTTGAGCGGGGGAAGCCTGACTAGCATTTCCCGCGGCTTGTTCGCACCCATCCCAAACCTGAGAACCCTGTATGAGTTGATTTCTTGGCTGCGTTGCTGCTTGACGCTGGTTCATTTGCCCTCACTGTGTTTGACGCTACCAGCAAATTGCGTGACAACCCCCTCGAAACTCTGGAGGAAGACTTGTTTTCCAACATTCCGAATTTGATGGATCTGTCAGTTTGCGACGTGTAACTCGAGCTTTGGATTTACTACTCGATTTGATTTCTCATCGTTTGATCGTTTTGGTGCCGCAGGGATTTAAGTGGCACGCTGCTCTCCCAATTTGACTGGAACGCGCTGCAGTCTGTCACATCTCTCACAAAGCTGTATGTACCACATCGAAAAACAAGAAGCTGACGTTCTTGCACTGCTCTTGTCTCACCGAATAGCACCGACTGCACGTTTTGACTCGCACTGCTGTTGACAGCGATTACAGCAGAATTCCGACCCTCACATCCCTGGAGAATTCACCGTACTTATACAACCAACTGGCAGAGTTGTAAGTGTAGGAGTGTGTGAGTGAGTGAGTGAGTGAGTGAGTGAGTGAGTGAGTGAGTGAGTGAGTGAGTGAGTGAGTGAGTGAGTGAGTGAGTGAGTGAGTGAGTGAGTGAGTGTGTGTGTGTGCGTTTGTGCATCTCTCTGACCGCGACCTGGCTCTGTTTTCAGGAGGCTCGCTGAATGCTCAATCGTAGAAATCTCGCCCGGTTTCCTCCAGTCCTTTCCCTTGCTGTCGACATTGTAAGAGCATGGTGGCGGAGGGGCATGGTTCGTGTGTTCTCGTTTGAGCGAGTCCATTCACCGTCTAGTCTCGTAGATCTCTCGCAAAGAATGAAATCACTTGGTTCGACGCAGAGCACTTTCAGTACACTCCAGGATTGACTTCCCTGTAAGCGTTGCGCTTGCCAAGGTTGTTTTCGGCTGATCTTTGGATGATAGCGTGTATGACTCACCCAGTTTGTCTGGTCGCGTAGCGATTTGTCTGGAAATAATCTCACGACAGTGACCCCGGACTTATTTAGCAATATTGGTCAACTGTCCTGGCTGTATGTGATATGTGTACATTGTCCTCCTATGTGAATCTGGGTTTGAGCTAATGTTTCGAGCGATGTAGAGATTTGTCAAAAAATCGCCTGGAAAACCTCGATTCGAACGCGTTCGAGCCTTTGACCCAACTGTTCGTTTTGTAAGTAGACGACTGCGTCCACGAGTGAGAGTTTTATGAATTAACACGCTCTGTTTTCTGCAGGTTTCTTTACGGAAACCCGATGACCACCCTTCCTCCCGGGCTTTTCTGGGACAAGGCCAGCTTGGCATCCGTTATTCTTGTGCCCAACAACTTTACTTTTGGAAATAATACGTGGGCTCCACCCAGTACCTATGGCACAGCGGCTTTTCCTTCAGGTAGTACTACTGCTTTAAGGTTGGGATGGATGCTTGGGTGTGTCTGAAATCTGACATTGGCGTGCGGCTTTCAGCTTGCTCCTTTGAATGCGTCACTTGCATTGGCGCTGGCGCAGAAAATTGCTGTCCCGCAGAGTGTCTCAACTGCACATCGAGCACCAATTGCGTGCAGTGCGCCAACGGATTTGAGGTGTACAATGGCTTGTGCGTTCGCGCAAGTGTGGTTGCGTCCGAATCTGCTGTTTCTGCCAAGTCTGCCGCATCGATTGTGTCGATTACGTCGGCCGCGTCGGCTGCGTCGGCCGCATCGGTGGCATCCATCGCATCGGCTGCGTCCGCAGTTTCAGCCGCTTCAGTCGCATCGGTTCACAGTCCAACTGCATCTGCTACGCCTTCCTCGAAAAAGACCGACGACTCTGACCTTCCCACGATTGTTGGCGCCGCCGTGGGTGGGGCGATTGCTCTCCTGTTGATCCTTCTCTTGGTCGCAATCCTGCGTCGAAACCGATCGAAGAGCAGGCGGTTTCCAATTTACGAACCAACCGTGCATCCGATGGTGCATCTCGCCGGTCCCAACTCCATCAAGCAGCAGCAGCCAGCTGCCGCCGAAGAACAGTACTCTACGCTTGCGCCCAGACAAGAGGCATCGACTTATGCCTCTGTCCACTACGACGACGTCAAACCACCTTCCGAGTACGCGGTCGCGACGTCGGTGAAGTATTCCAGCTTGACCACGGACGTGAACTATGTGCAGCCCGCATTGCATGACTCATCGCGACCTGTGGCCGGCGGACCAGCCACTGCCTATGCCTCTGTGGTTGTCGCCACAAACCAGCTGTCAACCTCAGAGCCTGCTGGTGCCGAGTACGCTACTGTCAAGTAACCGCGCTCCAGAAATGTATATGGTGGTCGAGTTCCCCGCCCGCCCCCTGCCTCTCTCATTGTGCCCTGTACTGCTAGTAAATTGTTCTACACGCGTTTTTGTTGTTTATTGTTGTTTATTGTACTCCCAAAGCATTGCCTCCTCGCGTTGGAGTTCCGCTTGTGCATAACTTTTTGTTTTTGCTTTGGTTCAATCCATCTTCTTTTGGCGTTTTCTGCTCCGCTGCAGACAGACTCGTCATGCCGAGTCATTGCACAGAGCTCTATTCATCAGTACTGCTTGCAGACCGTTCACAAACCTCTCGGGTCCCTTCCAAAATGACGGATTCTGGACCCGGCTTTTGGCAGATCTGAGTGTGTCTCTCTTTTTTTTTTCCCCACTGTACTTTGCTTGTTTTTCTTCTCCATCTCCATCGATCGTCCATCTCCATCAACTCCTCACTCGATTCTCCTCCATTTGACACCTCCATTGACACATTTTAGTGTCAAGGCGAGCATTCTTTATTTGTTGGTACGTTTTTTTTTTTGTTCAAGCGATTCTTCTTCGCTACTCTTTTTTATGCAATCGCGGCCTTTGCTTTCTGGTTTGTGACCCTTTTTTTCCTCTCGTTCTACCGCCTGTCCACACAAAGCCCCCCCCGCCTTCCCCCTCCATGTTATACTCTACTGCATCTCGCTTCCTCCGTTTTGCTTGCCTCGCCTCGGCGTTCCGTTCCCCGTCCATCCCACAAAACCGCGAGTGTTCCATGCTTTTCGTCCGACCGTTTGTCCTTTTTTTTTTTTTTTTTTTTTTTTCAAACAATGTTCTCTCCATTGCTTTATTGCACCTCGGCCAGTACCGTTGCTGCCGCGGCGTCGCTGCCTGCCTGCCTTCCACTACCACTGCTTTGCCCATCTCACTGCCAGCAGTGTCCAAGCGTCTGATTCCGATTCCCGCAGCTTCGCACTCGGTTCTCCCTGGCTTGAAACACAATCAAGTTTTTTCTCGTTTTTTTTTTTTTGAGTTCTTTTTTTTTTTTTTTTTGGGTTAACATTGCAGACGCGATCCTCTGCTGTCGAGTGCCATTCAATCACAGACACCTCTCTCTCTCTCTGCTCGCATTCCACCAAGTCATGATGCTGCCCTGTCGAACCACTCGCAGCAGTGCAGTGATGGATTGGGCATGGCGTGTCCTTTTTTTTTTTTTTTTTTTTGAAAAGCCGCATTTTTACGTCCTTCCATCACTTTCTCCTTGTCAAGTGCGATGGGGTCCCAGGGTCTGGTCATGGATGAGGATTGCATACAGTATTCAATCACCAGCTTCAGAGCCGGCTCTGACTGTCCGGTTGGACAATGCGACCCCCCAGATCGCGGTTCAAGCTCATGTTCTTGCCGCTTGGTCGCTTTTCATGCTTTCCCACAACCTGCAGCAACCTGACTTTGTTCTTGTTCTTGGTCTTGCTTTGTTTCCAAACCCGACATGTTTGCTTGACGTAACGACAGATCACACGGGCTCTTCTCCAATGTCCGCAGAGCGAAACTTCCAAGCGCTCAACAGCCACGACGACGATGTCGAGTTGAGGGATCCGCTGAGCCACTCGCGCGCTTCTGCGGCCGCTGCCGATGTCGAAGCGCAGCCGGTCTACGACCGTAACGACCCTATCGAGAAGGGCAAGCGCCGCAAAATTGTAACGTTCCACAAAGCGTTGCATTGCCGCGATCAAGGCTGATTTGTGACTTGCTCACTTCGTTCTGTTTTTCCTCTCTCTGCTTGTAGCTAATCCGCGCCGTGCTTGGTGAGCTGGTCTGCACAACCATCTTTTTGTTCACAGTCATGGCTGCGGGCCTCAACTACGGCACGGGCGGCCCCGTCGCCGCTGCAACTGGCAGCCTGATGGGCGCCATTGTCACTGGATTTTGCGCTGTCGCCATCATTTACGCCTTTGCCGACGTGTCTGGTGCTCATTTCAATCCCGCCGTTACGTTTGCCACCCTCGTTACTCAAAAGACCTCGCCATTCAAGAGTACGTTTTGTCTTCAAAGCGTTTGGTGTTTGGTTTTTTTTTTGTTTTTACAATTTGTGGCGTCGCCTTTTGCGCACCACCTCGAGCTACAAACTCGAGGCCCCCCCCCCCTTGCTAGATCTGATCTGGGTCACTCACACCTTGCTTGTCTCGACTTTGTCTGCTTGCACCCATTCTTGGTAGGCGGTCTGTACTGGGCTGCTCAGATCCTCGCCTCGATTATCGCTAGCGCGCTTCTTGTCGCCCTTTTCCCCTACGAAAATGCTGCTGCTCACGTCGTCGTGACTGTGCCAGACGGCGTCAACCTGATCCAGGCCCTGTTGATGGAGTTTATCCTGACCTTCATCCTGGTCTACGTCATTTTCGCCACTGCTTTCGAAACCGTCGACAGCAACAACGTCAAGGTGGTGACTGACAAGGACGACACCAAGGGCACTGGTGCCAAGAACCTGACCATTTACACGACGACCGGCAACACCAAGGCCGGTTTCGCCCCGTTGGCCATCGGTCTCACTCTCGGTTTCCTCTGCCTGCTCGGCGGCTCTGTTTCCGGCGGTGCTTTCAACCCCGCCCGTACTCTTGGCCCCGGTATGTTTCTATTGACAAGGGGTTGTGTTGTCTGCCCGAGTTTGTTTTCGACCTCCTGCATTCTCTAACTTGTATTGCTTCCTTTGCTTGCCTTTGAACGTCGACAGCCATTGTTAGCTGGACCTGGACCGACCAATGGGTCTACTGGCTTGGCGATTTCCTTGGCGCTGCTGTTGCCGGCTTGATTCAGCAATTCTTTGCGCACGCTGCTGTTATGCAGTAAAACAAACTGCGAGTTTTGCGCGAGTTTGCTCTGTTTTTTTTCTGTCTTTTTGTTTTCTTAGCCTCTTTTTCTTCTTTGTCGTCGTCGCTTCCACACACCCCCCCCAACACTCGGAATCGGGACAGTTGTTGTTTGGTTGAGCATTTGTTTAATTTTTTTTTTGAAAAAAACTCTCTTTCTCCTACGACCCCCTCTTTTTCGCTCGTTACAGTACCTACCACGATCATGATTCCATATCGGCCCCATCAGTTGTCTCTGACTGTACAAATTGAGTGAGCATGTTTACAAACTCACTCTACTCTCTTTTTTTATCCTTGTTCCAAATGCTCCGCGCACTTGGTCTCTTGGCCTTGTTTGCCGTTGCCGCAGCCACCGCGCTGCCCCTGTCGTCCGACTACGTTCTGACCCCTGCTGGCTACCAGCACTCGTCCTGCGTCCACGGCGTGCGTTTCGGTCACCCAATTGCTTGAGCGTATTGCTGAATGGTTGAGTGAGCGGGTCTTGTGATTGAGATTGGGAGTCAGTGGCCGTCCACCTCTCCGAAGGAAGGAAGGGGTCAATGTTCAAGACCGCCCCGCCCTTGTTTGATGGATGGGGAGAGGTTTGTCGGACCCCTTTAAGAGTGGATTTGCGAGTGGCGATCGTCTGCGAGCGAAGAGCGCGGAAGGATGCAGACGAGGCGACCAATTTCCAGCCAATTGGAGCGCATACTCAACACTCACTCTGGTTGAACACGATGAACGATGAACATGGCGCTGGTTTTGAAAAACAAACTAATGGGCACGTTTATTGTTGCAGGTCCCCGCTGGATCGGAGGTCGTCCGCAGCGACGAGGGCCTGACGCTCATCCATCCTGATGGCACCATCATCCGCAAGGACAAGTGCAGCTACCCGACATTCAACTCGATGCGCGAGGTCAAGCAAGCTGCTGCTGCTGGTGGTGCTGTTGGTGGCAACCGCGTTCTGATCAATGACGATGGCAATGTCGAGGAGACGGCGAACGGCTGGCAGGCATACACCAAGCAGAACGCTGGTAACGTTACTGCCTACCTCGGCACCTTCAACATCCCTGCCGCGCCCCAGGATTACAATGGCCAGACCATCTTCTTCTTCACCGGCCTGCAGAACATTGACTGGGTCCCGCCGCAAACCCGCCCGTCCGAGGGCTTTGACATTATCCAGCCCGTCGCCCAGTACGGCCCGTCGTCTGCCGGCGGTGGCAACTACTGGACTCTGTCGTCGTGGTACGTCACGCTGGGCACTGGCACGGTGTGGAGCCCGCTGATCCGCATCAACGCGAACGACACCATCTTTGGCAACATGACCCGCACCGGCCCCGAGTCCTGGTACATCAACTCGCTCGACCAGACCCTCAACCAGAAGACGGACATCACCGTGACCAAGTCGCTGCTGACCACCCAGCCTTGGATCTACAACACGCTCGAAGTTTACGAGCTGAGCAAGTGCACCCACTTCCCCGCCGCCCCCAACAATGTGCTCAACTTCCGCAACCTCGCCCTCTACGTTTCCGGCCAGCTCACCTCGGCCAACTGGCAGATTGGCACCGACGGTCAAAACCCACCTCTCTGCTCGGCTGTTGCCAAGATCAACTCTCCCGTCTCTGTTGACATTGTGTTTTGAAGAGCTGCAAGGCGTGCAGTGTACTGTCGAGCTGGTGAAATAAAACAACAGCTTTTGCGTGAACAATCGCGTATCAAGTTGAGCAGAGTACTGTAGGTCTTTGAGCGAGTTTGTTTCCGTGGGAGGCTGAGAGCTGAACAAAGCAAAACAACCAGAACAAAACAAAACAAGAACAAGAACAAGAACCAAAACAACAACGATTTTCTCGTCGCGATGATGCGCGAACGCTTTTGCCGTTCCGATGGCAAAGCGAGCAGGATCATGTCGACTTCCTTCCGTTCGATTGGAGTGAGAGGTCGGGATTGTGCTCTCCGTGATGCTCTTTCCACGAACGACAAATGCTGAGCGAGGTAGATCTATCACGCGTTTTTGTTTTAAGACGTGTCCCCGTTTCAATTCTCGCTGCTGCTTACCGAACAGCCCAGATCTCCAACCCCCTCCAATCTCCTCCATCGCTCTCCCAATTGGTTCCATCCGACGCGTGACGCGTGATTGATTCCAAGGGGAAAAGGGGGTCTGACGCAGATCGAGATCCTTTTTTTTTTTTCACTTGTTTTTTTTCACTTTTTTTTTTGTTTCATGACTGATACTTTATTGTGCTCGCGCCCCTCACCTTGTTGTTCATTCCTTTGGCCCTTTTGATTTTTGACTCATTTCCTTGTGTTGTTTTGGCAATCGTGCCTTGCCACTCACACGGTCGCATCACCCTTTCGTTGGCCTTTTGATGGCATTGCGAGCAAAAGTCCTTCTTTGTGGGTGACTCACACCTTGTTGTGAAAAAAAGAAAAGAAAATCTCGTCACCAACAACAAAATAACAACAAAAAATTCCACTTGTTTTCCCTCTGCTTTTTCTCCCTTTTCTCCCTTTTCTCCCTTTTCTCTCTCGCTTGATTTCAGCTTCATCTCCTTGCCAACATCTCGCTTTTTATTGTCGCACCAAACGCGCACCATTTTTCATAGCGTTTGTTGTTTGTGAAAACAAATAAAACAACAAAAAACTAAAAAATCAGTTCTCCTTTTGATTTTTTTTTATTTTGTTATATTTTGTTAGTGTTATTTTTTTTCTTTTTTCTTTTTTATTTTTCTGCTAACAATTAACACACTTTCTTTTCTTTTTGTTCATTTTTTTTGACCAACAACTTTTTTTTTTTTTTTTTTTTTTTTTTTTTTTTTAAAGGGGGAAGAAGATGAAGATGGGACTCGGAAGCGTCGATGTGGAAGCCGCTGCAGCCGCCGCACCGCCGCACGCTTCGATGTGGAAGCCGCTGCAGCCGCCGCACCGCCGCACGCAGCAGCGGCGCGGGTCTCGGTGGCAGCAGCAGCAGCATGAGCAGCAGCAATGGCGGCCGTCCACTCCCCCAATATGGAAAAGCGGCCAAAAACAATGTTGGCGTGCAAGGCAGCAGCAGCAGCCTGAGCAGCCTGTCCAGCTCGAGCTCGAGCGCAAGCACATCGACAACAGCAACAAGCGCAACGCCAGCCACCAGCATGAGCCACAGCAGCAGCGCGACAAGCACGGCGAGCAGCGCAAACTCGAGCAGCAACGCCGACCGAAACATGTCCATGAGCAGCCCAACAACAGCCGTCTCGTTGTCTCAGCACCACCCCAGCAACAGCAGCAACAGCAGCAGCATCAACAACAGCATTGCGTACACCAACAACAGCACCAGCACCAGCAGCACCAGCAACAACCAAAGCGCAATGGCGTTCCAGCAGCAGCAGGGCCTTGGTAACATTAGCATGATGATTAGATCTGATGCGAATGTCATCGGTCAGCAACAAAATCCGCCTCCAATTCCCCCCCACCTCGCCTCGTCGTCGTCTGCCTCGTCCTCCTCTGCTGCATCCGCTGCGAATGCTCCGTCCAACGCTGCTGCTGCTGCAGCTGCTGCGTCGTACACTGCGCCTGTATCCGCGTTCGAGCTCGCAATGCAGCTCGACCCATTGCCGACAAATCCAGACCTTTTCTCCCAGCAACCTTTTTCCGACTCTGCTTCTTCCGCCGCTCATCATCAGCAGCAGCAGCAGCAGCAATACAGCTCCATGCTACAGCAGCAACTGCAGCATCTGCAGCAACAGCAACAACTACATCAGCTGCAACTGCAGCTACTACAGGAAGAGCAGCAACAAGAGCAGCAACAACAACAACAGCAGCCGCAGCAACAGCAAAAGCGGACCGGTTTGGGCAGTCGCTGGGGGCGTTTATCTTCGTCCGCCGCGACCCTCGGCGTCCCGTCTGCCGGCGCTGCGACTGCAAATGCCATGGATACCGCTGCAGCGTTATCGGGGTCGGACAACGCCGCGGGATCATCAAGGACTGCAGCAGCAGCAGCAGCAGCAGCAGGCGGGACCGACGCGGCGACTCTTTTGTCGGACGCGCACCATGCTCAGGCACTCACCCTTGCGGACGGCGGCACCCGCGGCGGAAATGCAGTCCAAGCCAGTGCCAAGGCGTTTGTCGACGGCGTTGCTGCTGCCCAGCAGATGATGCCGCTGGACCAGTTCCAGCGCTACTACCCAGCCGAGTTTGAGCACCTCCTGCAGCTGCGCCAGCAGTACGTTCTTGCCCAGCTCCAAATGTCCCTGTCGCCCGGCGTCAACTCGAACTTTGCCGGCTGGCTCAACAGCCTGTCCATCTCGGCCACCGACCCAATAGCCGACCTGACGGACGAGCCGAATTCAAACGGAGCCATGCTGGCGGTGGCTCGAATGCAAGCAAGCTCGCAGTGGCAACAACAGCCCTCCTCCTCCTCCTCCTCCTCGCAGCAAAAGCAACCATTCCAGGTGGGCCGACTCGGCCAGGGCTTTGACGACACCGATCTGAGTGTCACCGAGATGCTCTCCTCGTTCGTCGAGGCCGGGGAGCAGCAAGCACTCTTCCGCGACCTCGAGACGCACAATCCCACCAACATCAGCAGCCGTGCGAATCTGCAGCAGCAGGACCAGCTCAGCCAGCAGCTGCTACAGTTGCACCAGCAGCAGACCGACCGCCATGCCTTGGCTCAAGCCCAAATCCAAATCCAGCTGCAGGCACACATGCAGGCGCAGCAGGCTGCCCAGCAGCAAAAGTCGCATTCTGCATCCTACGCGTCATCCGCGTCGTACGCGTCGTCGTCGCTGTCGCCGGGCCACGTGTCCAGCCAGTTCCAGCTGCCGGCCGTGCGCGCCAAGCGCTCCTCATCCGTGGCCATGCTCGAAAATGTCGACCAATCATTCCAGCCGACGCCAGCGCCTGCCGTCCGGCGCCACTCGCTCGGCTCGCGCCGAAAGCTGTCAACGTCGTCCATTACGGGTATGAGCACCGGCGCCGACGGGCACGACGACGCCGACCGTGGCTACCTTGGCACGCACCCCAGCGACGAACGGTTGCACAACATGGCCTCGGCCAGCGGCGACGACGACAGCGGCAACGAGGGCTACGGCTTCCCAGGCGGGTTGCACGAACACTCGAACGACGACGAGAACGGCGGCCAGCAACAGGTCGTTTCCCGCACGCCCGGCCGCATGCGTCGTCGCCCTCACGCGACCACCAAGACCGCCCTGGCAAGCGCTCGCTTCCGGGAGCGCAAGAAGGAAGAGCTCCGCACGCTCGCCGATACCAACATTGAGCTCGAAGGCACCTGCGAGCTCTTGCGGCTTCGCATCCAAGAACTCGAGCACGAGAACATGATGCAACGCCAGCAACTGGCCCAGTACGGTCTGGTGCCGTACGGGGCGTCCCAGCCGCCTGCCATGCTCATGCAGCCGCAAACCCACGCCCAGCTCGCCAACTCAAAGATCCTGCAGTCCCCGACACGGGTGCGTGCTGGCATCGAGTCTGTGCTCGGCGGGAATGGCAAGTCTCCGCAGGCCTCCTCCTCCTCGACCTCCTCCACGCCGTCGACCAGCGCCTTTGCCATCATTGACGCCGTGTAGTCGTGTGCGACCGCACTTGCCTCGTTTTTTGGTGCTGTTTTTTTTTTTTCCCGTTTTTTATTTACTTGTCATTTTTCGTTTTTTTTTCTCTCTTGTCTCGGTTTGTTCTATTTCGGATTTTTTTTGTCTTTGCGTTTTTTTCTTTCTCTGCCACGCACTTTCCGTTCTCCGACACTCCTTTGGGTGCTTTTGCTTTCTTGCTGTCATGAACTGCAGCATTGTGTTTTTTCGGCTGTTCCTTCGGCTGTTCCTTCGGCTTTTCGTGCTTGTTTCTGCACTCGCTCTCTTTCACTTTGTTGTCTCACTCTTCCTTTGGGCGTCTCCCACCGACACCCGTTATCTTTTTGTGCTCTGTGTTGGACGGCTGGATCAAACACCGCCCCTGCAGCTGTTTGTCTTTGCTTTTCAACTGAGACTTGCTCTCGTCTCTCCCTCTCCTTCCCCCCTTTCCTGTTTTGTTGTCTTCGGTTAGTCCTTGTCGTTTCTCGTTTCTGCATGTATTGAATGTGCTTTCAGTTTGTTTTTGTCGAGTTCCCTCCTTGTTTTTTTTTGTTTGCTCAGAAAATGAAAACCTTTTCAATCATCTCAGCTCAGCTATATTCTCGCTGATAAGCTTCAACTCTTTTTTAAATGTTGATCCATTCACTTTTTTTCTTTTTCCTTGTTTCCGAATGCACTTGAGCTGTCGGCTTGTGCTGCTCGCTGCAGTGCTGTTTGCGGGCTGCGTTGCGCCGGGCGTCGAGGCGAGCAAGGGCTCTGCGTACGCGCACGCTGCCAGCGTCCCTGTCTTTGTCAACAAGGCAAGCTCACCTCAGCTCAGCTCAGCTCCCTGCTCAGCCCCCACTCGGCCAACTCAGCGCAAGCGTGATCACAGAATGCCACGCGCAAAGCAAAGACGATGACCGGTTTTTCTTTTTCGCTCGGCGTCGCAGCAGCCACACAGCCGTTCGGAAGCGTCGATGGGTGCATTTGGTTGATGAGCGAGTCCCTCTGTTTTGAGTTTGGTGTGGCGAGGCGGTGTGAGGCTCGGGGGTGGCGGAGGGGGCGAACCGGGGCGTTGTGGCAGGGCGTGCACAGCGATGTGGCTTTCTCAGTGCGTTGCATTGAGTGCTCGCTCAGCGCATACTTGCATCCAATCTAGAAAGTGCAAGTTCGTAAGGAGTGCGTTGGTGTTTATAGAGGCGAAGGGCGCACGGCGGGAGGGGGGGGGCAGAGATTGAGCAGCAGCTCCACGTCAATGATCAAGCAATGCTTTGCTGTGCTACTCGTAGTGTCGTGTCCTCGCTGCTGCCTCGAGCAAAGAAACCCCATTTCTGCATCATAGATGCATCATCGCAATCCCCTCATCAGGCTTCCCCCCTCCCACATCCATGCGTTGAATCGGCGCAGAACTCATTGAAATCTGCACCTCGCTCAACGTCGTTTTTTGTTTTTGGGACAACAAACAGGTCGGCCCCTACTACAACCCGTCCGAGACGTACGACTTCTACTCGCTGCCATTCTGCCAGCCAAAGCCGATCGTCTACAAGAAGATCTCGCTGGGCGAGGCGCTTACTGGCTGGAAGCAGGCCAACACGCCGTTTGACATCAAGTTTGGTGGTATGTTTGGTTGCCAAGGGCGCAGCACATGTTCTCAGAAGTCGAGATGCCACCCCAAAAACCCCCGAATCCTACGACGAGAAACAACAACTCAATCTCACTCTGAGCTGTATTTTGTTTGTTTGTTTTCGTTGGATGAAAAACAACCAACAACCAACAAAACAAAAACAAAAATGCAGTCAATGTCGACAACGCTGTGCTGTGCGACACGGTCATGCTCTCCAAGCGCGACGTCCAGGATTTGCGCGAGGCCATTGAGGAGCTGTACTTTTTCGAGTTTTCCATCGGTAAGGGAGGAAATGCCTGGTGGGAGACAATGAAGGGGGATGGAAAATGCTGACTTTTTCATGATGCACGCAGACGATCTTCCGGTTTGGGGCTCGATTGGACGGCTGGAAGAGGTGACCTTCCCTCATACACATCGAATGTTCCTCTGGCGCCACTACCATTTCTATTTTGAGTACAACGGCGATGTATGTAGCCAGTTCTGAGCCGTTGCATGTCAGTTTTGATGTCGGCTCGTTTCGCTCATTTTGATTTTCGCCCTGTTCTCTCCCTGGCACCGGGCAAAACAATTCCGACAAAACGCAGCGCATTGTGTATGCCAACGTCACAATGGACTCTGAAAATCCCGTGGAAATCTTTGATTTGATGCCCGACAAGAGCATCGAGTTTACGTACTCTGTTGCTTGGATTCCGACCACGTGAGTACTTTTCAAAAAGGCCACTCCAGTCGAACTGGCAATGCGGAAGAGTGCACGCGCTCATTGTTTTTTTCTTGCACGTTCTTGCATTATCGCAGACTGCCAGCCGACAAGCGCATGACGCACTTTGCGAGCGACAGCTTCTTCCCGACCGAGCTTGAAGTCCACTGGCTCTCCATCATCAACTCTGTGTCCTTGGTGGTCTTGCTGACCGGCGTGGTGGCCATCATCATGCTGCGAGTCTTGCGTGCCGATTTCGCTCGCTACACCCGTCAAATGGATGATTTGGACGAGCAAGTTTACGAAGACTCTGGCTGGAAGGTGATTCACGGCGACGTCTTCCGATTTCCCGAGCACCGCACCTTGTTCTGCGCCGTTCTTGGTGAGTCAAGATTTGAAGGCAGAGAGAGAGAGAGAGAGAAAAAAAAACCGAGGGAACCGATTTCCTGTCCGCTGGATTTGTTCATCTCACGCCTTGTCCAACCCTTTTGCAGGCGTCGGAACGCAGTTTCTTGTCGTTTGTGGCCTGCTGCTCGCAATGGCTCTCTTCGGCATGTTTAACGTGCACCAGCACGGTTCCATGAACTCGGCCGTCATCGCCATCTACGCGCTGACCTCGGGTATCTCTGGCTACATCTCGGGATCCTTCTTCAAGAAGATTGGCGGCCAGAACTGGGTTTGGAACATCATGCTGACTGCTTGCTTGTTTTCAGGTCAGTGTATGCAGTCGGAATCTTGCGCGCCGCTTTCCGCACACCTGCACATTGTTTTTTTGTTTTTGGACTCGTGCTGACCCCTCGTGCTTGAACCTTTCATCCATCAGTTCCATTCTTCCTGGTCTGGAGCATCATCAACTCGATTGCATGGGCGTACGAGTCGACTCAAGCTCTGCCCGTGTCGAAAATTCTCATCGTGATGTGCCTGTGGCTGTTTGTGGGCTTCCCATTGACGGTGGTTGGTGGCATTGTTGGCAAGAACTCTGCCGCCAGCTTTGACGCACCCGTGCGAACCAAGAACATTCCTCGTGAAATTCCACCAGCATCCTTGTGAGCGAACACGACGGCGTTTGTTGACTCTGTACCTTTTGTCACAGTTACTCACCATTTTCTGACCCCATTATTGCTGCCGCAGCTTCCGGTCGACCCCGGCACTGATGATTGCAGGTGGCTTTTTGCCATTCAGTGCCATTTCCATTGAGCTGTACTACATTTTCGACACGCTCTGGGGTCGACAGCCATACACGCTATTTGGCATTCTTGCGATCGTGTTTGTGATTCTCCTGCTGGTCACTGCCTGTGTGTCAATTGCTCTGACCTACTACTCGCTTGCTGGCGAGGACTACCAATGGTGGTGGCGCTCCATCCTCAACGCTGGCTCCACCGGCCTGTTTGTGTTGGTCTACAGCGTCTTTTACTACTTTCACCGCTCCAACATGTCGGGCGCCCTTCAAACGGCCAAGTTCTTTGGCTACACGTTGATGACATGCCTTATTTTCTTCCTGATGCTGGGTTCCGTCGGGTTCTTTGTGTCGCTACAATTTGTGCGGTACATTTTCCGAAGCCTCAAGGCGGACTAACGAACCTGTTCAGGTTTTGTTTTTCTTGTTGTCGTCCCGACCCCCATCCCCTTCGTCAAACTGCGCGCAAAGAGCCATGAAATGCCGGCCTTGGGTGTATTGATTGGAAGTGATGTCTGTAGGTGCTGGTGTTTTTCGTTGTTTTATTTTATGTGCTTACGTGTTGTGCGTGTTTTTGTAAAACATAAGTTCTGGAATTTCTTCCCCTGCTGCCTGGTCCAAAAGTTGCTCAAACATAAAAAAGACAAGCAATAACACCGGCCCAGTCGGGTCAAGCAAGCCAGAGCGAGACCAGCGAAATGTTTTCCGAGAATGTCAAGGGTTTTCTAGTCATCTTGAGGGGCGGATGCGGCGCCTTCGGGCTTGAGAGCAGCTCGCCAGTTTGTATTGCTCTTGGCGGCAGCAGAGTAATCGCTTGGGGGTTTGCCACCAATGCCGCACGTGCCCACGCCGACCTTGCCGGCAACATCCTTGGGCGCGGCAAAGATTGATGTCTTGATGCCCGATTTGCTCTTGGAGGCGAACGATCGCCAGTCGTTGACTTCCTTCTGCTTGGCCTCGTTGGCTGCCTCGTGCTTTTGCAACCGCTCTTTTTGCTTTGCCTGCTTGGCTTGGAACTGTTCGCGCGACTGGCGAGGCTTCTTGGCGAGGTGATCGGCGGCAGCAGCAGCTCCAGCTCCAGCCCGCTGGCCAGCGCCGCCACCCGTGGAATACGGCTGTGCTCCTGCTCCTCCTCGAGCTGTCTGTGGTTCAGCATCGCTGTTGTCGCTGTCGGCGAATGCTTCGCGAGCGGCTGCGGAGACCTTTCCATTGGACTCGTCGTGTGTTCGCTTCCGGCCACCGCCAGTGCCCGCCAACTCGGGCGCTGAGGATGCTGAAGCACCGCCAGAAGCATGAGTCGATACAGATGCAGATGCAGATGCAGCTCGCGGGCGCAGCGAGTTGACCGAGACGTCCATCTTGGTCCCGCCCTGGTCGAACGCGATTGTGCACGTTACGCGGTCGTCGGCGATTCCGTCAATGCGGGCGTCGCGGTAGCTGCCGTCCGACCAGACGCCCAGGCACAGATCGCCGAGCCGCCACTTGCGTCCGGACGATGCGACCGCAGCAACGTCGTTCGTCGCGACCAGCTCGCTCTGGATGCGAATCAGCTCGAGCATGTTGTCACGGAGCTGCGCGAGCTCAGTGTCGCCAGGCGAGTTGATCAACGCAGCCTCAACGGTCTGCAGCTGTGCTCGGATGGCGCTCAGCTCGGCCAGGATCGAATTGCTCATGACTGGATTGGACTGAACTTGGCTCGTGTGGGCTAAGTTGAATCCCGGGTGAGAATATAAAAGACTGGAACGATAGAATTCAAACTACATTGCGACTCTCAGACAACAATATAGTACAAGATAAAAAAACAAAGAAAAAGAAGAAGAAGAAGAAAAGAAAAAGGAAGGGACAAGGCAGTAACAAATAACATCTGCGGCGAGACACAATGGCGATGAGGAGTTTTGTGTCTCAAAGCGCGAGGAACTCGTCCTTGCGACGGAAGTACTCGGCAAAGCGGAGCAGGGCATAGTCGAGGTAGTCGAAATCAATGTCGGAGAAGCGAGCTTGCACCAGTGCCCACGAGCCCCAGTAAAAGTGGGCGGCCTGTTTGCAAACAATGAACGATTAGTCGTCGCTTTCCAGAAACCTCTCCCCTCTTTCCTCTGATTCCCAGCTGGACTTCAAGCCCTCTTTCTGCTATTGCGCAAGTACAAAACAACCAAACAATTGTTGCTCGTGCGTTACCAAAGCAAACTTGTTGACCTCGCGGTACATGGCCTCGACCTGCTGCTCGGTGACCTCAGCGTCGGTGATGCCTTGCGCGCCAGCAATGTACTGTCGCAGCCAAACCATCTGGAAGGCCCGGCCTGGATAGCGGCCATAGTCTACAGGGTCGTCCATGCCCGCAAACTCGCAAAAGTGGTTGCCAATGTCAAAGCCACGGTAGCTGTAGTTTGCGTACTCGTAGTCAATGAAGTGAACCGCGTCTGCATTCGAATGAGGCGGGGAGGGGAAGTGTTAGAACAAAAGCAAACAAGAAAGGTGAAGGTTAAAAAGAAAAGAAAAAAAAAAGATAAAAAAAGGTAGTTGGGTCACAACATTGCCGTCACTTACCAGACTCGGCGTGGAAGAGCACATTCTTGCACAGCAAATCGTTGTGCGAGAAAACAATGGGCGAGTTCAGACCCTCCAACACCGTTCGGAGCTGCTGCAACTCTTGTCGGATTTGGGGGAGGCTGAATTTTTCCTTGTACTTTTTGTCCTTCGTTGGGTTGTCCTCGAATGATTCGGGAACTAGGTACGGTCAATCGCACACGCCGACAAGCAAAGGTGATGAGCTGCAGCACTTCAGCCAAAAACGAGAAACCGACTGCCAAAACTCAGCACAAACTCACTGATAGACATCCACTTCTCCAAGGTGTTGAAGAGCATCGGCGTCGTGTCGCCGGGAATGTGAGTTTGATGCCAGCTGGCAAGCTTGCGAGCTGTGAGGCGCGAAATGTGCGCGTCTCGCATCATTTCGACATCCAAGGGCTCGCCCTGCAAGTAGCCGTAGCAGTAGCCGTTCTGGAAGCGGCCAAACACCTCCGGCCCGATGTTGTTCTTCTTGAGCGAGCAAATGTTCTGTTTCGAGATAGAGTACAAACGGGGTTTGGCTTAGTTAATGATGGACAATGAAACACGGGGTTTTGCGAGACGGCTCCCAACTGTGCTTTCTTTGAGTGTGTTCTTTAGAGAACTGTACAACGTGCCACATGCAGCACACCACGTGGATGGCATGATGAGGGGAGGGTTTGATTGTCAACGAGCGAGCGTAACAGCTTGGTGATTGCGTTGCTTTGATTGCGTACCACCATCTCTTGCTCGCGATCGATCAGGTACTCGGTCTTGTGTCCATACACGCGAACGAGGGCCTTCTCCTCAGTGCCATCCAGATAGCAGAGCATGACTGTTCGTGTGAAAAATCACAAAACAAGGACGAGCAAAATCCCCATCACCAGAGGGATGATCAGGCGGCGTGAGTGTTGATCCAAAGCACATCGGATCTCCATGCAATGTAATGCACTAACGTTTGTTGGTCATTCCGCCGTGGAACTGCTTGAACTTGGTCTGCTCCTTGGGCCAGTATGGCTTGATTTGCGAGATGATAAACCTGCAGCACCCCCAATCACAAACAAAAGCGAGTTGTTACAGCACCAGAGTCAGCGTGTTTGGAAGGTGGGCATGTGTTTCGCATCGTCATCATAGAGTTGCTGTTGAGTGTTGAGTGTTGAGTGTTGAGTATTGTTCAGCGTTCAGCCATCTCACGATTCAAAGTGCGTTCTTGTCCTTCAATTTCATCATCCATGACTTGCATTGCATTGCATTGCACATTCAATTGGGGGATTTGGTGTTTCGGTGCCACGACTTTGACTTTCCCCTCAGTGTGTGCTTCAGTGTGTTGAGCAAGGTCACGGTCCCTATCACCATCGCGTTATCATCCTCTTCCCCTCTCCCCTATCGCTCTCACTCTCTCTCTCTCGTATCAATCGTTCCTCCTCCTTGTTCCAATGCAACCCCTCATCGACTCTCAGTTCAAGACTTCCAACCATCGACCAAAATTCTGCCACATCCGCAAGCAGCAGAGGACCATGATTGTCGAAAACGCCACAGTGGCGCCACATCGCCTTCGTTCACTACTTTCGCAACCCCAACGACTCCCACCCCACACACCCAAACCCAATCCACGGTTTCACCCTCTTGATAGGACAAAAACGCAGGCCCGCGCTCTCAAACACACCACCACCGCATTCATTTAAATTGGAGGGGTAACGCTTTGAAAGCAGCAGAAACGTGAATCGCAGTGTGGGGTTTCGAACACGTCAACGCACTTCCCTCTCTCTCCGACTCGACTCGCTCTCTCTCTCTCTCTCTCACTGTTCCCAAAAGACAGAAAGCGCACCGTCTCGCATTCAAATGCGCACAACGCAGTTTCAACATTGAAAGAAAGCACGTCACCGGAAAAAAAAAGAAGAAAAAACCCGCATGCATCCGAAACTCCGAAACGTTCGCCAACGAACTCCCGCCGGAATCGCAAGCCAACACACACACCCCTAAAAGGAGCAACAAGAACACAAGAGCAACTGCGGCAATGAATGACGAGATGGAGCAGCGGAAGAGTGAGGCGGGAGAGAGAGAGAGAGAGAAAGAGACTTAAACTGCGTGATGGATCACCACCACACCACACCACACACACAACGCTATCTGCATGCTACTCACTGGGCACCCTCCAGCAATTTGCTGTGGTCGATCGTGTAGTCGACAAACGGCAGGTTGGCAACCACATTGCGCTCCAGATCATTGCGCGACTCGGTCTTCTTCATGGTGGTTGGTGGTTGGTGATGTGGATTGCCTGGACTGGACGCGGTAACAGAAATACAATGAAATGAAAAAAGACTGAGACTGAGACTGAGCAACTTTGGATTTGTGCGTGAATGTGTTCGCTGTTGAGGCCCGATTGAGATTTGCAGTTATGGTGAACAAGAAACATGAGGATGAACTTCTTGCTGGCCGGTGAATGTGAATCTGAGATTGAAATCCTTCCTCGAATCTGCACTGAAATTCAGAAATTCAGAGATTGAGAGTCATTGTCAATTGTCGCTTTTGATGAGAAACCATTCCTCTTTTTCTTTTTCTCTTTCTTCTGAAATCTCCGTGCAATGCAAAACCACATGACGGCTTTGGCGTATGGCGGCTTGCTGCTTGTCGCTCTGCTGGCGCTGGCTGCGGATGCGCACCTCTGCCTCATGACGCCGCACCAGCGCGGGTAAGTCCACAGCCAAGCGACGGCCACCACCAAGCGCGCGCTCTTCTGAGTTTGCTGCCGGGCTTGACCTCCCCCTCCCCGCTCCCTCTGCCATCCCACTTGGGATCAGCTGGTCAGTTGGGGGGGGGGGTCGCGCGGAGTTTGGTTTTTGGCGGAGCATTTCGTTGGGTTTGGGTTGTATTTGTCCCTCCTCGTTTCGTCTTGCGCACAGCTGCGTAGACAAAAGCAGCGAAATGGAGAGCACAGTGTCAGAGTGGCCGGCCGTGGCGGCGGTGCGGTGCGGTGCGGAGGAAGAGAGCGAGAGCGAGAGAGAGAGAGAGCGAGATGGTCGATTTGCTGTTTGTTTTGGATGGAGATTTTCAGACTCTTAACGGCGAGCGTCATCACAGGTTCGCCAGCAAAAACCATCCACTCAACAAACATTGCGCTGTCGATCGGATCTCGCCATGGAACGTGTTATGGATTGATGTGTATCTGTATTTGGAGTGTGTTCACTCGTCGCTTTGTATAAGTGAAGTCTCTTGTTTCCCTATCATCACTCTCATCATCAACCCATTACTCGTATCTTCGTGGAAGGATCTCTGATCACAACACTGCGACGAGTCTCGAGGGTCGAGTAATTGATGTCTAAGGTGACGACTAGAGTAGGAACCAGGAAATTGAATCAGAATCAAGCAATGCCCAATAACGAGCAGGGCGTCGATACGACGGCGCCCACTGCGGGCACGTCGAGCGCAACAAGCGCACCAGCTGAACCAATGAGCGCGCAAGAGATGATGCGAATGATGACTCAAGCGATGGTTTCCTCAATGCAGGAGGTCGTCAAGGAGGCGATGCGCAAGGGAACCGCTGAGATCGCTGTATCAAGCCATGCGGCCTCCACCACCACGGCAAGCCCCACCACCAGCACTGAACTGTGGAGACATGGCATGCAGGTGACACCCTTCGATGGGACGCTGTTGGATCTGGAACGTTTTGTCACGGACATCCGACGCAAGCTTGAGTCAGTGACGGCACCCGAGAAGGACAAGGTCGACTTTGTGCTTGGTCATCTGGGTGTCGCAGCGAGGCGTTACTGTAGCCATGTCAAGTTCGAGACTGCGGAAGCTCTGCTGGAGTACATTATGAATGTGTATGGCGTCAAGAACAGCAAGAATAACGCACTCAGGGAAATCATCCAAGCGGTGGCGGATCCAAAGATTTCTGCGAGGCACTTCAAGAAGGTCATGCTGTTGAATGTGCCCAAAGCGGAACTTACGGATGATTTGGTGAGGCGCTTCATTGTGCTGCAAGCGGAAGACAAAGGCGTGCGCGATGTGGCGAAGGAGCTGTGCAAGGACACCACCGAGATGACGTGGATTGATGCATTGAACGAGTTGGTCGAAAGCATGCCGAGCAAGGTACGAGCGGAGACCAGCACCAGTAGTCAAGCTCCCAGGCACGTCCAAAAGCCGAATCGAGACAAGAACGGTCATCACGCAGGCAAGAGCAAGGACAAGGACGTCAAGAGCTGCAAGCACTGTGGCAGGACGAACCACAAGTCGGAGGCATGCTATTCCAAAGGCGGCACTGCGGCTGCGGCTGCGGGCAGTTCCGAGGAGGAGTCTGATGACTCGGACGATGCTCCTGCTCCCAAGAAGGCTCCCAAGAAGGCTCCCAAGAATGGCCAGGACGGCCAGGGAAAAGCCT